AGAGCGCAGTGTGGAGAGGTGTATAACAGTGTGCGAATGGAAAGTGCAGAGAACCACTTTCCCTTGCTTGGCTGCACGCACTTGGGCACCCTGTAAGATGACTATAGTTAGGGATGTCAGCGCGGACACTGCGCAGGGCTTTGCGCATTCAATGATGTAATCGATTTTTCAACGCGGCGATGGCAGACTGAAAGAAAATGGCGATCGCCAAAAACCGGCTCAGTGAGTCGGTATTTGACGACTCCCCGATGCAGCCCGACCTAGATTTCGAAGTTTGGAACATTTTTAGAGAGAAAGAGAGGGAGAGAGAGAGAAAGAGAGGGCTAGAAAGAAAGATTACTCAAGCTAATGCTTCAGTAGAATCAATAGAAGTTCTGGGCACACTGATAGGCTAATATAATCTGACAATTTCCACAGCTTGTGCCGCTTGTTGCAGAGCATAAGTGAAAATGCGCCGTCAGAAGATCGGCGATCGTGAAGTCGGCTTTGGGTAGATTTGGCTTTCGCCATCCCGAGGAGCCGCTCCTGTTGCCTGTGAGAACCAAACCACGTATCCACACGACTACTCGAACAAAACCCTGTCCACACCTGACAATCGATGTCTCTGGAACAACGGCCCATATCATATGCACAGCGATATGTCAGAAATGCAGAAATTCACAAGAACGAACACCGTCACGTGGAGCATGAACGCTTCGGTCAAATTTCCTGCAAACTCTCAACATCCAACATCAAGTATTTCTGCCGGGTTTACCATTGAATCCAGAGCTTTTCCCCGGTTAAATCCAGAGATTTTCAACTCGGAGATCGTGGCAACGATCGGCATGGTCGCCATTTTCCGCTCTGAAAGAACCCTGTCGTTTGGAACGAAAACGGCTTCGCGCCTTCCAACGAAAGCTACAGATCGATTCCAGAACACATGGGCGGCCAACATACCAAACAAGATCCCATTCTGGTAAGCAGGTAGCCTGTAACCACCATCTCCTTGCAAGGAAATTTCAGCCATTTCTCCTTCGTTCAAGGTCTCAATTTTCTGCAAAAAATAGCCAGTGTTTGGCAAAAATTCTGCATGCCACTTCTGATGCGGGTTTGGCTGCATGCGCGAACTGCATGCGCAGTGCACGCGCTGAGATCCCTACTATAGTCGGTTAGGTCCATAAGTAAAATAAAAAAATAGTATCTACAACAACAACAACAACGACAACAACAACAACAACAACAACAACAACAACAACAACAACAACAACAACAACAACAACAACAACAACAACAACAACAACAACAACAACTATCTCTTATTGGCGATGGTGCCATCGTGAGAATAAAGAATTCAAACAACAACAACAACAACAACAACAACAACAACAACAACAACAACAACAACAACAACAACAACAACAACAACAACAACAACAACAACAACAACAACAACAACAACAACAACAACAACAACTTTACCCCCCCCCCCCACACACACAAATGTAGAACGTGAACTCCGATTACGCACCTTGTTGATCGTTCTTGCCTCCACCAATCCGCATCTTCCAGTTGTCGGCAACGCTTTGCAAATTGTTCTCGTGTAGTCGGTCCATGAGTTTGCTCACCGTCCAGGTCTGGGAGGCGTCGCTGGAGATGCCCTGGAACCAGATTCGCAGCGCCTTTCTTGCCTGCTCATTGATGCTTTGAGGGTATTCCCCTATGCACGTCCTGATCTGGTACTCCTGATTCAGCATGAGCACAGCGCCGAATAGCACAGTATGTACGCGCATGCACACACGCACGCGCGCACGCACACACACATTTTGACCTTTTGACCTGTTGACGTCCATCGCCAGAGGCGATAATAGCGAGGCTACAGCAGAAGCCATAGCAACTTGTGCTGGGATTGCACCATTCAACAGCTTGCAAGGCTGAAGAATTGACCGCCACTATTCAGCCTGGTCTACACCACACAGCTATGAAGTGGCTTTTTTCTGGCCAGTGAATCCCCCCCCCCCACACAAACCTACACACACACACACACACACACGCACGTACGCGCACGCGCACACACACACACACACACACACAAACCCCTACACACCAACACACGCACACAGTATACATGCAGATAGGCGTCTTGAAGAAAGAAGTTTCGAAATACATGTAGCTATAAATAAAACAGTTGATGCCGACATACTTCAGTACATGTAAGAGGGAAAAGTGCGTGCAAGAGAGGACAGGAAGGGTGCAAACGGTGCAGTCCATTGATTTCAGTAGAGGACTAGGGAATTTCCAATTCACGCGTCGACACAATAGAAGGCTTCAGATGAGCCGCCCTACCTCCAATCCAAGGTCAGCGACGAAATGCTGCCAGTCGACTGACAAGAACTCAGCGAGATGGGACAGTTGTCTCCAAGTCACGGATTTGTGCAGGTAATCTGAGCCACCATCAGTAATTGTAAGTCCACGGGATGCCGCTGCAGAGAATTTTTTATTTTTATGAATGCATACCAAACCCGGAAATTTGGAGAGAAATTTACGATGATTCAGTGAGTGTAAGACTTTGTTGGCGAAGAAGGAGATTAAGACATGCATGCCGTATCTTGCAATAATACGTCCATGTACGCGTATTCGACAGGTGTGAAGCATAGAACACTTCATTGCAGGTAACTAACTTGAAACACCCATGAGTTTCACACGGCCTCACTCAAGCGGCAAACATGAGAAGCAGTGGACATGTATGCATGAGTACAGACACGTACACCTGTAGTGATGTGCCACATGTCACCTGGAGGCGAAGCCATGCATGATTTTCGGGAATAGATTGGGCAAAACATGTTGAATCATCCCAGCGGCTTGCACCGCAAACACTTACTTAAGTTTCCATACAAACCAGTACACAAAATGGACTGTGACAGTTTGCCTGTAAAACAGAGGAGGTTGGGCTGGGACATGGTCAATGTGCTGGTACGTCATTTGGATTTCAGAGGCTCTGGTGAATTGCTAGCATTACAGAGGAACAGCAGCATTATAAGTTGCAATATGATACAGTTTTTCTGGCATTGCCATTAGCATCATCCCGCAAAATAACTAGCAATATCCGCCCAGGCCTATTCAGAGCAATCTTTATGCGGTAAGCAAACGCGGGTACCGGACAGCCTAGCGCACACCAATAAACTGTTGACATGGCAACAGTGTGCAGGCATTGTTAGCCGGCTTACCTCTCTTGCGCCTGCACACACAGACGGATACGATAACAACGATGAAAAGTAGTGCGCCCCCACCAGCGCTTGACGCGATGACTATGACGCGAGCCGTGTTCGAATCTACGGTGCAAAACAACCACCAGTGCTGTTTATTAAGATCTTGACAGCCAATGTGTGCGACAAACGTATACCAATTAGATATACAGAACCAGCTGAAGCGTCATTGCACGAAGGTTATATTGTAGGGCTGAAACGATTATACCAATTACAGTAAAACCTGGTTTAAGCGACCACCCCACGGTGCAAGCAAAAGCGGTCGTTAAAGCCAGGCGGTCTTTAAAACCAGGTCCCACAGTGTCTGTGTAGAACTGTCCGTGCATGGAAAAATGGTCGTTAAGAGCAGGTGGTTGCTAAACCCAGAGGTTGCTTACACCAAGTTTTACTGTACTCGGTAATCGATCAATCAAACAATCAACTAATCAGTTAAGAGTAGAGCCCACATGCTCTCTTCCATTAACACTGCAATAATTCAACTCATTTTATAATAATTATTACAACATTGTGAACCTGATGAAGGCAATTTGCCGAAACGTTGTAACTTCAGGGCTCACAGCAACCATGCCAAAACCTCGATTACGTGGGAGGACATCTTGGATCTGATCACCATAGAAACGAACTCGCGTGACTGCTAAGCGCAGGCGTAGAACGCAGTCGCGCAAGGAGATTTTGACTTGCTTGGGCTTAGTTGCTGTGACAAGGACTGAGTCGTGGATGGTGAAGGAGATGGCCGGAGACTGTCTCACTATCTCTATTTCATTTCGGTAGTTCTTGTTTCCTTCCAAGTGGATTATTTCGCGAGCAGTGTTGGCCTTATCGGCCGAAGGCTTCATTCAGACTGTCCGCACACGGAGTCCTGCGAAAAGTAGCCCCGAGCAGAATCCTGCAGTCGTTGACGAAAGAGTTTAACATCTACAGCCGGGCAGCTACGCCGCTGATGCACAGGCGCGGGTGACGGGAGAGGGAAAGGACTAGCATTCCTTGACGGCATGGAGCAATGACTCACGTCGTGTTCTAGTTTTAGTTTCTCCGCCGTGAAGTCCTGTTGTGTAAACGTAAATATACGGCTGGTCTGCGAAGAGCCGTGTAGCGCAGTGGTGACGATGTGGAGTTGTGAATTATTTGATTCGCCACTCCGTTTCGTTGCAAGAGAACAAGTCCAATGGCTTCGCCGTTGTGCTGGCCATGTATTTCTTCGGTCTGCCATAACCATGATAACTCCTGGAGGACACAGCGATGAAGCGCCAGGCGAGTAGCAAAAACATTTCAAAAAATTGCTTTGCTGCTAGTACTAGTAGTGTTGTTTCCGCATTCACAGTTAGTGCAGCGTGCGCGGTTCTTCCTGGCGGCTGCACTGCAGATAGGGTTGCCTTTGAAATGTTCGTTTGTACCCGTCGCTGGCCCGATTTTGATGGCCAATAGCTTAAAATTTTCAGTAGGAAAATTAGAAGAACTTCTCCGAGAGACTTTTCAATTTTAGTACAATAATCCAAATCAGAATTACGCCTGCACCAACTGATACTTTGGCTCCATATGTACGCCAAACCGTATCGATTAAAACAAAAAACTCTCGGACAAATTCTTACAATGGGTATTGAGAGTATGTTCCTAGAGTTTCAGAGGCCTAGGCAAAAGCATTGGTACAAATGAACATTTTGAATGCACCCCACTTTCAAGTTTTCAGAGATATCTGCCTGATCGCATGTACACGATTCAGGCATGCTGGCTGGCTCGTGTGACAGCGGCCTGTCCAAAATGGCGCCCACGCTTTTGTGTGATGCTGTGAGCCCTGAACTTGTAATTTTTTCTTAACTATAGGATACTACGACTTCGGCGGTCGGTGATATCTGAAGCAGGTTGTTGCTTTGAACGTTGAGCTCGCGTCAAGTGTTTGTCTGTCTGCAGGAAGTGTGAGCTCCAGCATTTGGAGCATCCACCATCCTAGTATTCTGATTAAAAACTAAAAGCCTGCATGCATAGTTTTCAAATAATCAGGTAAGGCATGGAAAGAAGCAGTGTGACACAATCAAAGTCTCCACAGTACCTGGTGTGACCTGTGGAGTGGAATTCGTAGGAGGACCTGAAAGGGACACAGGACAGAATGCAATAGGAATTGTCGGACAATGCCGCGGCGGGTTAAAAGGTACACACCCCGGCATCCCTGGTCGGGGGAGTCTTCAAAGTATTTTGGGCAACCAATTTCTTTCTTCAACGCCTTCTTCATGCCCTGCATCAGCGCATCTTCACACCCACCGAAGTTCTCACACCATGTGCTGAACTCCCATCACTCACACCCCTACGCGCCGGTCATGTTCATCCTTTTCTCGGGTGCCTGTTTCTCTTTGTTCGGCACCAGCCCACATATCCTTACAGCCAAAGCTGGAAGTATTCAAGTCCTTGGCCGGCCATAGTTCGCCACCATGGTACATCTTCACGAATAACGCACGTGTACTGGGATAGTGTCCAGTAAATGGCATGTATTCCAGGCTGACGGTTCTTTTGTGTAAACCCAATTTCGTCTTTATTACATGTGTTGCATGTAAAGGCGAGAGTCGGTTCCACTATAGCCACCCGAGGGGTCCGTGTTAAGCCATAGGGTGCGCGATGCCCAGCTGTCCTTGTCTTGTTCCACTACACTTCTGCTGACCCTCACACTGGCAAAACAACAGGGGTTGCATGTCTTCACGCGACAGTCTGCGTTCCGAACAGACTGATGGTCACTGCTGTGCTGGCGTTGTGTGGTACGCTCTGCCCCAACTCGGGCCGCATAGAGCACCATTTGCCGCAAGGATCGGCCGGACACTGTGTTGTGCTAGGTAATGTGTGTAAGCTCCTGCGTCACTCACACTCACAGGCTGGGGAGGAGGAGACTCCGGGAGGCTGGGAAGGAGATGGCTGAGAAGAAGGAGGAAGAGGGGAGGAGGAGGGGAAGGCGGGCAAGAGGTGGAAAAGAAGAGGAGAAGGAGGAGTAGGAGGAGGAGGAGGAGGAGAAGGAGAAGGAGGAGGAGAAGGAGGAGCAGGAGGAGGATGGGAGGGGTAGAAAAGGAAGGGGAGGTGGGGAGAAGATGGAGGAGGAAAATAGAGAAGGACGAGGTGGAGGAGAAGGAGGATCGTGGATGTAAGAGCACCGGTAACCATAGTGATTCTCTGGCAGGGTCCAGGTTTGTGCAAGGCATTCCAAACCAGTCACTGACATACAGCTCTGGCCAGAGAAATTTGAACTCATGAATAAACTGTTTGAGTGCCATAAATAGCGTGAGTGGTGCAAGGGCCGCGTAGCGCCTGGTCGCCATTTCATTCACGAGGTCGAATTTCCCTGGCAAGGACTTGAGCATCCCAAAACCGGTCACCATTGACACTGCGCACCAAAGCAGTCACCACTGATATACATGTACCATCCCAACATCAGTCACTGTTATTGCAGCAGCAGTACCCATACTGAAGAGCTGAGATGCAAACCCCGCTAAGGCCAAATTTGAGGAGAAAAAAACCAAACAGATTATATAAACCAGGACTGATCCAGATTTACTCATTACTCGAAGTACTGTTTTCTGATGATCGCTTAGTGCGTGAAACTCAGAGTTAAAACACTTTTTCCGTTCTTATTGTTCGAAAAAATCGATTAGCTCAATGTAATCAAAAGGTCTCCGCCAACACCAGGCAAAAAATTTACATTCAAAATCTGACTTGAACCATTTCAAAATTGGAACCCAAGTACGGATTCAGAATTTTGATGAGTCCGCAAAGGACGAAACAGTTCTGTCCGCAGATTGAGAATTTTAGATGCAAAAAAATTTCACGGCTCGCGTGAGACTCGGCTGGAGGGGGAGTTCTCCGCATCCGTAGGAACGCCACCCCGCTTTATGGATCCTGGCAAAGTGCAGATGCAGCTCGTAAAGCGGTGGGAGATGAGTGGATCAGACGCACCAGCAAAGTGGTCAATGACCGAAAAATCCCATTCGCTGTATCCGTGCTTCCCTCGTGCCAGGCAACGGCGGTTCGCAATAAAAATACAAATGAGATACAAATTAAAACAATAAGTGCTGTGGTTCCGTTGTTGTACCCGATCCGTTCCGGGATCGGTTATCCCTATACATTCTCGTACTGTGTATATATACGTATCCTGGTTGTACATCTTTGTCTTTCCTTGTTCTATGTAAATAAACTTTAGTTGTTGTCTGGGACTCGTGGAGTGAAGTTGATCTATGGAGTGCAGGAACTAACTTGATGTTCACTCAGGAACATTACACTAAGACAACGGAAAAAAATGTTTTAACTCTGAGTTTCACGCACTAAGCGATCACCAGAAAACAGATTCTGAGATACAAAATAGATACGAACCGCACACAAAATGAATCCATTCTCCGAAAAGCGATGAAATGGATTTATCAGATTTTTCATTCCAGCTCTTCAATTACATACAATCATTAAGTCCACGGTTCAGACTGATGCCATGTGGTCACATGGAATAGGCACACTGAGCGCTGCCACTATACATGTCGCGAAATTGTATTACGACTATGATTTACGCATGTCGTATTTGGTCCTTGTCTTGTGGAGTCCAGTGTCTGATGTCATATATGGTCTAGGTGTACGTGCGAGTATGGTGTGATGTGTGACGTTTATGGTATGTGGTGCATGCACGAGTACGCGTTGTCAGAGTGTGAGGATGTGCTTCCGTCTGTGTGAGAGTAACTGTCAAGTGAATGCTGTACATGCACAGTGCTAGTTTGGTCTGGGAATGAGAGTCATGTGTGATTCGTCCGTGGTCTGGTTGTCTTGGTCTTGGTCATGTGTTCTGTACGTATTAGTCCCTGATTGGTCGTCCCGATTTGTCGTCGCAATATTACTGCTTGTTCTTTGTTGTTTTCTTTGAGTCTTTTCCCGGGAGTCTTTCCCGTTGTCTTTTTTGTCGTGTCCATTTTCGTCTTTCTTCCCCGTTCTCTCGCCCACCAGTTTGTGAGTTATTCTCAGTGATAAATAACAGTGTAATATTCTTGCCGGACCTAATGAGTCAGAGAGACGTTGTGTGGCGGGGAGCGGGGGGAAATTCCACCACATACAGGCCAGGGTGTAAGTAGATGCTGGGAAGTGGTAGCCTACATACCTGCTGTTGTAGCTGGGCCTTCTCCTGGATCTGTGGCAACACACAGAATTATGCATAAAAAATAAATTTTCCAAAGCCAGATTTGAACCAGGCCCGTAGGAATAGCGTGGTTAAATGTGGCCTTGCAAAAAATTGTTTCCATTCCTAACTATCAGGTTTGGCCTTGTTTTCTCTGTGCTGCGCTGACAAGTCCACAAAGGAGGAGGCAGCTCCGTCCCTTAGAGTGAGTGCATAATTATATAGATCTCAATAGTCGTCTCCTTGTGAGAAGGCACCATTGCCTGTTTGGTTGAACGACTAGAAATAAAAGCAAAACAACAACAACAACAACAACAACAACAACAACAACAACAACAACAACAACAACAACAACAACAACAACAACAACAACAACAACAACAACAACAACAACAACAACAACAACACATACGCATGCTCAACACCCCCGCTCAAGTTACGGCCCAGTACAGCCTTCGACACGCACGCACTTGGCACCTCCCACCCTCCAGAACCGATCGCTGTAAAGACTCCCCACTGTACAAGTCCCTAGAATACTACAATGCCCTCCCTGCTAGCATTCGTGACGTCTCCTCCCGACCTGCTTTCAAACAAGAAATCTGCTCACTGCTGATTAACTCAATCTGCTCCTGCAGCGCTCACCCTCTCCCAAACTTGTAAAGTTCAAAGTGATGTAAATCACTTTCCAACTGTTTAACCCACAATCTCACCTTCTCATATATTTATCTCTTATTGGCGATGGTGCCATCGTGAGAATAAAGAATTCAAACAACAACAACAACAACGCAGACCTATCCATCAGGGGTTTAATCCAGCCAGTCGCTGCACCCCCTCGAGCCGTACCACCTCCCACCCATAACACCACCCTTTGGAAATGGTCAAACCAAAGCATCAGCAGTCTGAAAGCCGAAATTGAACGCACACAACTGCTACCGGAAGGTGACACCCTGAACACTACCAACATAGACAACCTGTGGCACTCATGGAAGGACAAAGTGCTCACTTGCGCCCGCAAACACTGTGCAGTAGCTCACTCCCCGAGGCATACTAGCCACCCCGCAAAGCCATGGCTGAACCCAGAGCTCACTAACGCCATCAGAGAAAAACACCGGCTCTACCGTGCCTACTTGCGCACCCGGACGCCCTGCAACTGGACAGCATACACCACCCAACGCAACAAAGTTACTCACCTTCTCCGAATCGCTCAGTCTACATATGTCAGTAATGGCACTGGGACGAGCCACTCCACACCAAACCTACACAAACTGATGCGCGGCCTCCAGTCCTCACAACGACCTACTCTGCCAGACATGCTCTCCCAGGGCCAGACTCTCTCAACCCCCGCTGAAAAAGCAACCGCCCTGAACGCTTTCTTCATCTCGCAGAGCCAACAGTCAGTCACAGGGTGCCACGAGGAACTCCCCTCCATTCATTCCCCCACACCCAATACACCTGGCCTCACTACACTTGAAACAACAGCCCAGGAGGTCTCAAAGTTACTGTCTAACCTGGACCCGTCAAAGAGCCCGGGCTGTGATGGCATACCAACCCGCCTACTGAAAGAGGCAGCCAGTTCACTTGCGCCATCCCTAGCAACCCTTTTTAACATCTCCTTCGAACGTTGCACTATCCCGCAAGAGTGGAGGGACGCAACAGTCACCCCCATCCACAAGAAGGGCAGCAAAACCGAGCCCTCCAACTATCGACCGATATTGCTACTCAGCGTGACGTCGAAAGTACGAGAGAGGATAGTTGCTGACCGCATCTCGAAGCACATCCAACCTCACCTCTCCAACGGCCAATCAGGCTTTCGGCCAAACGATGGCACCACACGGCAGCTATCTCGGCTAATCCATCAGATCACCGAGAAAAGAGACGCCGGGCAAACAGTAATTGCTTGCTTCTTCGACCTATCTAAGGCGTTTGACCGGGTGTGGCACCAAGGACTGCTTGCAAAATTGGCCCACCTCGGACTCGATGGCAAATGCCTCCAGTGGCTCGCCTCTTATCTCACCAACAGACGACAACGTGTGCAAGTGGAGAGCAGCAAATCAACCTGGCTGAACATTCCAGCGGGGGTCCCCCAAGGCTCTGTCTTGGGGCCGCTTTTGTTCATGGCCTACACAGTCGATCTGCCAACTGCCTGCATAAATGCCAACACTGAGTGCAGCTAGTTTGCCGACGACACTGCCATCATTGCCGCTCACGAGAATGTTCTAGCCGCAGAAGAGCACCTCCAGTCAGCTGTGACAACCGCGGCACAGTGGCTGAAGGATTGGCATCTCCTGGTCAACGAAAGTAAGACCACTGTCATCCACTTTCACCACACCAACCGGCCACCTCCCAGACCACCATCAATCACACTCAACGATACCAACCTCACTGTGGCCTCAAGGCATCGCCACCTTGGCCTCCACATACAACAGAATCTATGCTGGAACTCGCATGTTGACTACATCACTAAAGCGACCAGGCAGATGTTCCTTCTCCTGCGACTACGCAATTCCTTAAACACTTCTGCTCTCTCCTCCATCTATCTAACCTACATCCGCCCTATTCTTGAGTATGCTTGCACTGTCCTCTCACCCCTCCCCGCAACCCTGAACGACCGGCTTGAGCGCATCCAACGGTGCGCCGCTCGCCTCTGTTTGCATCTCAGGGCCCCCTCTTTGAACACAGAACCCACTCCGTGCTGCTGCACCGACTCAAATGACCATCACTCAGCAGCCGCCGTACCATCGCCACATGGAGAAAAGTAGCATGACATGTGTGTTTGATGGGTGCCATAGCGTCAGCGATACCAGAGAAACACACACAAAATACACACACATTAATGTACACACACACACACGCACGCACACACGCACTCTTTCTCTCTCTCTCTCACACACACGCACATACACATACAGACACATATACACACATGCAAAGAATGACTGATACACACACACGCAGATACACACACACAAACACACACAGATACACACACACACACACACACACACACACAAACACGCACAAACACAAACACGCACAAACACATACGCACAAATACACACACACAGATACACACACACAGATACACACACACACGTGACACACACACACACACACGCACCATACAGCATGTATACATACGTGTAAGTTTCAGCTCCATGATCTGACTCAGATTCACAAGTGAGTTGTCCCGAGAAAACCTCACTGAATAGTTTCCAGCAGTCAGGTCGCTTGCGCTGAAAATCAGTGTGGACACTATGTAGCAACGTACAAGACCATCAGATTCCTTTGGCACAAAAAAGGTTGCGGGGTCTGAAGGCATCTCCACTCCATTTAGATACCAAAGTATGACAATATCATCAAACGCCGCCAGAATGCTCACTGTCAGCTCGACCGGCGACTGCGAGCCATTTGCTCGCTCTATGACTTGGTATGCGGGTAGCACCCCGCCCTGAGCTTGAGGGCAGTCGGACCCTTCGACAATGCCGCACCGTACAAAACTGGCGTTGGAGATTGCCGATCCTCCGGTTTCAAACTTGAATGTTTTTAGAGAGCATCCGTGCTCTGCAGTGAAGAACAGATCAACATAATTTGTTTTATTCCAAGCAATACATGGCTGGGGTAACCAATGACCACTTTGCGTGGCGATTGCAGGGTTTTTATAGCCAACCATGGCTAACAAGGAAAAGAGTAAGAAGTCAAAAAGAAAGGGGAAAGAAGAAAGAAGCAAATATGGACTAAAATTGTGGTCTACTGGTAAAGCAAGGCGTTCCTGAATGCTGTTAAAGTAGAAAGGCCCTTTGTCTCCTGGTGCAGCTTAAGCCAATGCAAATAGCCATTGAAAAGGGGGGAGTGTAGCAATGCAGAAGAGCGGGCTAGACGAAGGGAGCATGTACATGTGTGTGTTGACTTGCTTGTAAGAAAGAACATGACTGTATTGAGCCGCCATGTATGTTGCCATTATGCACTTGGAAAACATTTTTAATATTAATTTGAATTCTGGAAAACGTACAATGTTTGTTCCGCTCTGCAGTAAAGTACAGTCAGACCTCGCTTAACCGCACACATCCGTGTTCCACGAAAATATCCGGATAGGCGAGGGAACCGGATAATTGAACACACACACTGCATGTATGCATGGCATATGCTGTACATCGGTAACCAACGATTTTCTTCCGGATGGCGAGGGATCCGGATAAACGAGGACTGACTGTATACAGCTTTTTCATCTTTTTGTTCATGTACAGTGCACATGATCGTGCCCTTACCATCAGGGAGTAAACAAATATCGTATTTTACGGCCCCCTGCTCACCGGTGGCCATACATGTTCAGTGTATGCTTCGTTTTCTCTGTGCTGCGCTGAGGAGTTCACAAAGGACGAAACAGTTCTGTCCGCAGATTGAGAATTTCGCTTTGGCTCTTGTAGTAGTTGAGCACTCTCGTGTGGGGTAGTGCCTTTGCTGTCCGCGTTACGCAGAGCTCACTGACTTGTCAGTTTGAGCACTCTGGCAAGGTACGTTTGAGCCGGGTTTAAATCTGGCTTTGGAGAATTTATTTTTCATTACTATCAGTTTCATCCTCATGTTCTCTGTGCTGCGCTGATGAGTCCACAAAAAAAGAAAACAGTTCTGTCCGCAGATCGAGTGGTCGGTGTATGCGTGAGCATGCAATCTCACTCCCTTTTCAGAGTGTCAACGTTGTAGTGTATGCATTGTCCCTTTGCACCAGCCCAGCACAGAGAGACTAGAGATACACTGCAGATAGGGTAAGATATTACACTAGATAGGCATCAACATGGCACCAACACAGTGGTGTTCACTGCTGACTAGAGTTGAGTGTTTTTTTTTAGGGGAAGTTCACCCTAAAATCCATTTTTTGCCTGTTGTAGTCTTCAGGGTGCTGAGTGGAATGGTCTTGGTCCGAGGGAGCTGAGGCGCTCCCTTCCTCCTTTATTTCTAATCGAACTCGCTCCTTCCATCAAAGCTGGGTGACTGCGCCCTACTAGACAGGGATTTGTATGCAAAATGTCACTAAAAGCACCATTCCGTTCTTATATCAGCACGAATGACCGCGATTGGCCCATATGTTGTAGTCTTTTGGACGCTGAGTCGACTGGTTTTGGTCCGAGAATGCTGCGATGCAGCGTTCGGCCCTTATTCCCAATCGAACATGGTTGAATAGGCAGTCACGTGCTCGTTCGTACACCAGTCACCTGGACACCGTGCCTGCAGGCTACAAACTCACTTTGAACTTTCACACCAAGGTTCAACTCGAGTGACAGGAACGCGCCCAAACAGGCTGTAAGTTGTACCCTGCAGGCATGGTATATGCATGATCACGTGACCGCTTATTCAACCATGTTCAGCTGGGAATAAGGGTCGAACGCTGCATCGTAGCCTTCTCATATCAAAACCAGTCGACTCAGCGTCCAAAAGACTACAACATATGGGCCAATCGCGGTCATCCGTGAATGTATAAGAACGAAATGGCGCTTTTAGTGACATTTTGCATACAAATCCCCATCTAGTAGGGCACAGTCACCCAGTTTCAGTGGAAGTGGCGAGTTTGATTAGGAATAAAGGAGGAAGGGAGCGTCTCAGCTTCCTTGGACCGAGACCATTCGACTCAGCACCCTGAAGACTACAACTGGTGAAAATTTGATTTTAGCCTTTACTTCCCCTTGAAGTCCTTCCCCATTGCTTTCTGTTAGGGGCATAATTGTGTTTACCGTCTTCTTAGTAGTTGACCTGACAGATTTCACGGACACCTCAGTGGCCAAATATGCTGTCATATTGACTGCTTATATCTCACTCATCTTTACAGAAGATGATGAATAGATTATGTAATGTTCTACTTCGAAGTAGACCTCATAGCCGTTCTATACAAGTCATGCCATACAGAGTGACCTCCTACTTGGTCAATAATCTAGAATACGGTATTACACAGGCAGCTTGGCTCTTAAAGATGCGCACACCGGGGTCATGTGACCGTCCCAACCCGCTGTGGAGATGTGACGAGCGGCAAGAATGTGCTCAGGTAGAATAAGGACACTTTTCTGGTGCCGCTGTACTTCAAGATCAGCGCTGCAACTCGCCATGGTGATAATGTGGCTGACGTCATGTTACCAAGGAAACATGGCGTTTGGCCGTGTTCGCCGCACTCGAGCGCTCAGCTTTTTTTCACAATCTTGTTTTGAAAAATACTTGAAGTCTTTTGCAGCACTTCTGGAGGCCAGTCACATCGCGATCTGTACGAGTATCTTTATCATGGCCATTGTCTTGTGTCGTTTTGAGCTCGAATAGCTTTCTCTGATGAAGGATTCAAATATCATGACGTTCTCTTTTATCGTGGGCATGAAGCTCCCCACTCGCAGCGGGGATGACATCGGACGGAATAAATGTGTCGAGTCCCGAGCAGGAGTTCTGCTGACAAAAGTGATTAGCTCCTCACGACCTGGGGCATGTGAGGACTACAGTTCTAGTTGGACAATACCCCACGGACACATCTAGCTCGAAGCGCAGAGTTGATTGAGAAAAATGACCAAGATCATAAAGAAGGCTTGTTTGCTTGCACAACATGTTTTAGTGGCCACGCACTGAAAACTGCACTTGCATTGTTCCTGTCCAGTCATACGGTACATCAGTGCAGTACAGAGTGCACTTGCAAGTCACAACGACACGAGCACAGTCGTCGCGTGTACAGACTCAGTTGTGACCAGCGATCGAGCGTGGGAGTCAAGTACCCTACTCAAGTGCGCATGCTCGGCTTGCTGCATGCACTGTCTGTAGATCTACAGCAGATTGCCGGTGTGATGCACTACATGTACAGCGCAGTCATTTTATGTGTAAGAGACAATGTCGGCTATTTTGAAACGGCAATGACAGCTTCATCCATAAACGCGGAGCGTGGGGAATGTCTTTGGCGAATGAGAGCTGTTGCATTGGCTAGCTGAACATCCCAGCAAGCGGGAATGTGCTGGATATCGATACTAAACACCCGTTCATCGCGGTGGTGAGTCTGAACAGACCCCGAGGTACGACAGCTTCGTATACTAAATGTGTACAGTGCGTATGGTAAAACAAGTCGATACTGGTTTCCAGAGAAATGTTGTTATCTATGTACAATATCCACCAATATCCTTTATCTAGGGCCCAAAGGCTATCCAGTCCACCAGGATTTGTGGCCTTACTATTTTTCGTTTTCTCCGCATTTTGGGTTGAAATCTGAACATAAAAAGTAGCACTGATGACGTCATTCAGCTCATAATTTAAATTTGATATTGGAAATCGATGAAAACTAACCCAATGTATCAACACAGAAGATTTGGTTGAAAAATATTAATGTATGCCAAAGTTATTACCAATACAAGTTTTGTACACACATGATTGTTTCGGGGTAAACAAGTTAGTTGTTTACGATAGGATTATATTCTCACCTGGCCATTGTAGGCAAATCATAAGAACCACGACATCTAAAGGATGCTGCATGAAAGTAGGCAGCTGCGAGATGCGTATCTCGCGCATACTCTTGCATGGCTACGTAATGCATTACATCATAATACAACAATGATCACCTTATTATACCTGAGTGGTGCATGATCACCCGTGGAGGGAGAGAGACACGGTTAGCTAGCATGAGTACACAAGGTGTTTGGAGCGTTGTTTGCACGGACAGCGGCTGACAAGCAACTGAAAAGCAACTGACGAGCGGAAAGTATGGCCAAAACTGCTTCCACCTATACTGTTTAACCCGTGGTCTTGGAAGTGATCCCACTTATGGGCCCACCACACCCGAGTCAGCAAGTTAGCGAGGACAAGGTGCAGAAAAAGGATAAACGGTATCAAGGTATCCTCCCCGAGATCAAACTGCATTTAGGGCCTGGTCAGGCTGCGGCAAAAACGAAATAATCCTGTGATTATAATCCGAATCTCCATAGTAACTTGCCGCCAGAGCGGCAAAATCGAGAGTTGACACTCCAAAAAAAAAGCAAGAACGGACCACGCTTTTCCGCTCCAAACAGGAGTTTGACGCTGATACGCCATTGACGCTGATATACACTGATTTTTTCATCTTGATATCGAGGAGCTAATTGGCCACGGACAACAACACAACTCATAAGGATGGTTGCAAGGATTGCACTGAAGGTGTTGGCGACCCCCAAGGTGAAGGAATTCGACGTGGTTCGTGGAGATTACCACTTGACGCTCGAAATGAAGTTTGATTTTTCATTCTCCCCATGTGTGTAGTGTGATTGCGATTCTAATCCTGGACGCTTTTCTTTTTGTCAGGCGTCGAAAATTTGCCGCAGTCTGACCAGGCCCTTAGCCCTGCCCCCAGTTAGGGTAATATTTACTACTAGTGTGGGTAGCTAAATCAGAGTCACACACACACACACACACACACACACACACACACACACACACACACGTATGCAGACATGGACGCACGTACGCACACACACACACACACACACACACACACACACACACACACACACACACACACTTGTACTTGTTGCTCACTGCCAAAACTGGTCACGTGGGTCTCCCCGGGAGAGGGGAGAGAGACTAAAAAGGAATCTTGGAAAGATGACTCAATTGGCTATTGAACCGCCCAACGGCCGACACCCCCTGAAATCCCCAAAACTCTGGGTGGACTTGAAAATAATCCCACTTATGGGCTCACCACACCTCAGTAAGTGGGTGAGGACAAGGTGCAGAAAAAGGATTGACGGCATCAGGGTATCCGTCCTGGGATCCAACTGCAGGTACCCCTGCCCCCAGTGAAGGTAATACTTGCTACTAGTGTGGGTGGCTAAATCAGAGTGGATCTGATACAAGCTTCACTAGCACCATGATTACACAAGAGTTAATCTAGCCAGAAGTAGTCCATGATTAACAGGTATGTATACTTCAAATAGAAAGTATATGAACCCTGAAACCAACAAAGGTGGTAGGTACAACATTACACCTTCAAGCAGCCGAGCCCGTTGGCAACAGACCCAACACTATCCGGCATAAGTGTACCCACCAACCGAACTAGCTGGCACACACATGTACACACAAACACACACACACACATACACACACATGTACACACACACACATACGTACACGCGCTCTCGCACACACACACACACACACACACACACACACACACACACACACACACACACACACACACACACACACACACACACACACATACACACACACCGTATGTCAGACAGGATTACATACCTGGGACTTTAAGCTCCATGATTTGACGGAGCTGCACAGTATGGTAGTGCTCGTGAGCAAACTGCACTGAATAGTTTCCAGCAGTCCGGTTGTTTGCCGTGAATGTCCATGTCAAGGATATGTAGCAAGGTGAACCACCAGGCTGGTGAAATTCCGGGTTGTCTGTATATTGATCCTGCTGTCCAGTTCGATACCACACTATGCCAATTTCCTGAGGATCCATCTCATTCACCAAAAGGCTGACTGTCAAGCTGACCAGTGAGCCATTTGCTCGCTCAATGACTTGGTATGCTGGTAGCACCCCGCCCGGAGCTTGAGGGCAGGCGGACCCTTCAACAATGCCGCACCGTACAAAACTGGCGTTGGAGATTGTTGATCCTCCGGTTTGAAACTTGAACGTCCTGGTAGTATACCTGGAGCATGGGTTTTTTTCTGTAGTGAAAAGAGCAAATCAACAGACACGTGCCCTATGTAGACTGGCCTCTCTGAGCAAAAATGTGTACTGTAGAACGGGTAATTTTAGCGACGTAAAAACCCTAGCGAATTTAGCGATCGACTCATTTTCGCTAAAGTTTCAAGTCGCTAATCCGTTGAGACATTAGTAGTGCACTGGTGGTCCGTGAGTAAAATCGCTGCAAATCGCTAAAATAAAACGTCGCTAACCGGTTGACAATGAGAAAACGCTAAAATTAATAGTCGCTAAAATAATTAATTACCCGTTCTACAGTACTTCATCTATGTAGTGACGCTCACGAACTATGTCTACGCGTGCTGCATCATAGATAGTCGTTGCGCACACTTTGTACGCTCGGCTGTTGTGCGCACGCACTGTGTTTACGCATACTACACGTGCGTACAGCTTGCGACTCCGGATATGCGCGAGTCGACTTGCTGTTTTGGGATGCGTTTCGGAGACTGTTCTTCGGTAGTGATAAGGAGTTTTCATCTCTCTCATTCTATTGTAGCTCTGGTTGACAAACTAATAATTTATGTACGTATACCTCCGAAAAATTACATGAAGGGAATGCACCACCAGAACAAACACGTGATAAAGTTATCACGTGTGATTACGTGGTTTCCTGCAAATTTCCGCACCGCTCCATACTTTTTAGTGTTGCGTGAACTTGAGGCGCGTAAGAGTATTCTTGCTGCTTCTCTACCAGCCCCAGTATAAACTCTGGCTTCGTTTTCGTTCTTGCTCACTCCCATGTAACCACTGATGATAACGGGTGAAAAGCTTCTGGTGTTATGACATTGACGTTGTTGTTTGTATATAGTGCACGGCACTTGGTTACGAAACCATGACGGCCTACACCGGACACAACACGGACATACGATGATCTTGACCCCCGGAAATACTACTACTGAGCAAACCATTTTTACGGGCAGAAAACAATTCCAATATGAGCACACACGTAATTGAAGAGAGAGGACAGAAGACGGTTCAGCCGCATGTACAGAGCATTCAAAGATGGCACGGCAGCGTGCGCCACGGGTCAGCAGCATGTACGACAAAGAGACGCAAGCGCAGCAGCAGGTACGACAAAGAAACACGAGTGCAGCAGCATGTACGACAAAGAGCTACATGCGCAGCCACACACGTACAACGAAGAGCTACAAGCGCAGCCGCGTGTACAACATGATTGTCAGCCACGTAGACCAAAACCTTACGTCTGCTGTAGGTCACGTCGTAGCTGAGTGATCCGAACATTGACGTCAGCGTGCAACGGTAACAAGCGGAGAATGCTTGGCAGCCGACACCCAAGTCATTCCAGCCTGTCGTTTCACTGGTTACATTTCGAGTAGCCGTGCTCTTACTGGATTTGTTAAGGGCGAGCAAGCACGGATCAGGGTCACAGACGCCAGGGTCGCCAGAGCTGTCACACGCATCCTTAATAGCCTCTGCCGTCGGGTAGGATCGATATGCACCTCTGGGCCAATTGCACGGGTTCGACGATATCAGGTTTGTAGTTGAGTTGAAGCAACCACCTTTGGCAGGGTCTGCAACCGTCCAGGTCAAACTTCCTGGTGGATTACTTTGCTTCAGTGGACACGTTACCAAATGGGGGTCGGTCCAGCTGACTTGGACACATTGACCTAGCTGGCAGGGGGCCCATTGGGGTTTGTTATGGAGGCAGGCCAGGGGAGAAGAGGTAAGGTCGTAGCTCTGCGGATCTGCACACGACAACACAGAGAGAAAACCTCCAGATACGGGGGGGGGGGGGGGTCGACCTATAACCGGGGTCGACGTATAACCGGTAAAATACGGTATTTGAAATTTATTTTCGAAGACGGAAGTCCGCAGCAGCTCAACAAGTGCACGTCTTTCTCCGAAGCGAACGCGAACGCGTACTCGTACCGGTGCGGTGCTATAGAGCTAGATAGATCTACATTCAGTGCGGATCGTAGTCTCGCATGTTGTATATCTATGTACAAGACTACAGTGTACCACTTGAAGCTGCATAGATAGCGGACCGCTCTGGCCTGGGCAGACTGGGCCATAGTATGGGCGCGCAAGTCGCATGGGTTAGCTTAGTGGTCACACCTGAACTACGGTCGGAAAAATTGGGGGGGGGGGGGGTCGTTCGACCCCCCCCCCCCCGAACCCCCTGGATCCACCCCTGCAGAAAATAGTCATCATATGCATAGTGTTTTCCTCTCTCATTGCTTTTTCACCCTGGTGTTCTGCTGGCATGGTCCATGTTTTATGGTATTTTATACTATTTATACTATTTCCGGCATTTCGAGACGGCGAAAGTTTCGAGAACGACCAAAATTTGTTGATTTACCGTAAAAAAAACCACCAGAGTATAGAGTGCTACTCACATTGCACGATGACGTTATACGAGTGCCCGCCGCAGGTAACCATACCGGCATCGCTCTGTGCCACACTGCCCATGTACAGCTGAAACGCCCCGCCAGGCGCCACGCTCGGGCAGCTTGCCTGGCCGCCGCCGGGACCTGTGGCCCCGGCGGCGACGAGCAGGTTGTCTGGGTCGGTGTAGTTCAGCGGACAACTGGTATTGACTGTAATTGTTACCACTCCGGACTGTGCCGGCTGGACTTGCTGGTTGCAGGCTGCACAGAATAGAACGTAAGCGCGCAGAAAGAAGAACCAATCGAGCCCAATCCCTGCAGCTGCAAGCTGTAACGCAAAATGTGAATTTGAGGCTTCTCACAATATCTCTCTTGTAAAGTGAACACTTCCATTCTCTGCACCCCATGGTGGCGTACGAAAACTACACGACACTTGAAGATAACGATTGTTATACCCTGAAGACTGATCCTGTCCAACGCCACAGCATGACATGGCCACAAACCGGCTCACCCAGTTGCTGGAACCAGTCCCGTTGGAGCGGTTACTAGCACTTTCTCATGCTGTCAAAGATGCTCATGAGCTTGTGGCTGGCACGAGGGAATTTGGGTAGGGCAGCAGGAAGCAAAGCAATCAAGCTAGCGCTATTTCTACTACTTCAGTAGTATGCTCAGCTCTGACGTAGCTAGCCTGTTCACTGCTGTACAGCAGGGAGTAGTAAAATATCGACTCCCCGGGAGTTGTAAAATACCGACTCAGTGTTGTACAATGATGCACATCATGGCTCAAGGAAACAATTTGTTTGCGATTACAGATGTTAAATGCGACGATGACACACTCCCAACACACGCGAGGCCAAGGAACTTTTCAGAATACTGTTGTTCAGTGCTACAGCAGATGTGCAATGAAGCTTTAAATGGCAAGGCACCCATTTCCGAGTCTTTGATCTTGACCTCAAAGTTATGGGCACCTCGGTCTACCTGGGAACATGAGGGTGAGTTTTAGTGGAAATGTTGCTACTTTGGAAGTACTCTTTTGCCAATTTCTGTGGAAATAGTTCTGACCTCAAGCAAGATCTGACTGGTCGAACGAAGTCGCTAGGTTTCGTTGCCGGATGAGGTAATGGCTACATTATGGACTATGGTCTGAGTCTGTGCAGCTGTGCTGATAGAGTAGGGCATTTTGCAGCCGTCCATTTCTGGCACCCCCTCACTGTACATAATACCCTCACTGTACATAATACCCCCCCCCCCCCCCCACTGTACATAACACTGTACAGGGCGCGAAATAATGGTCGGACATCGGACAATTTCCGACCGTTTACGGTCAGTTTCCCGATGTTTTTATACACATCCGGACAAAGTGTCCGCGCACTTTTTTGCAAAGTACAAAAAAGAAAAAGGCACGTCAATCCTTTGTCTCATAGTCATTAGTGATGTCGTCTGGCAAGAGAAAGCCAAGCACGGCTGACTCCGGGTGCTCAGCTTGGAAAGAAGCCCAGAGCAGTCAAGACGACCACTTGTGACAAGTGGGTTGCTGAGTATGATAGGGAGCTTTCAATTTACTTCTGTTTGGCTGAGCTATGAGTACGAGCGCAGTCCCTCAGATCGTAGCGTTGTGGAAAATTTGAAGTGTAAGATGTGTTCCGTTTTTGCTGATAAAATTCGCAGCATCAAGAATTTTTCTGACTCCTTCGTCGTTGGCTCAAGGCACCTGAAAACATCAGCCTACAGAGATCATGCTGCTTCTGAAATGCATCGCCGTGCCATGGCATTGTTTGGCAAGGAGCCGTGAGTCAAGCGGAAACCCAATAGAGTATGCGCCAATCGCTCGAGCCTTGTGCAAACTTGACGACGCAGCAGCAGCCAAGGTCGGACTCTTTTCACGTCATGATAACATTTTGATGGTATTAATTCTACACTGAACACTGTGTGATTTGATGTGAAATTTTGCATGTCCGGACATGTCCGGCCATTTTTGCAACTGGCAGGACATTGTGTCTGAGCACATTTTAATCCTTAGCGCATGCCCTGCTGTACATACATGTAATACCCCCCCCCCCCCTCACTGTACATAACACCCCTCACTGTACATAATACCCCCTGTGCTCTCCTACCTATATGCTGTACCTCTCCTCCAATGCGGTGAGACCCTTGACAGGCGATCAGCCTTCATCCAGCCCACAAGTTTACAATGGAGGAAGAGAACTGCCCTTTCCTGATGCGTGGATAAGACAGTTCTGCTCAGAATCATTCCTACAATTGCATATGCCGAAAGCCCGCATTCAAAGGCCTATCGTCAGGCGAAATAGCACGTCATAGTACATTCGAGATCAGCGGGAAGAAGATGACGACGTCCACTAATTTAGTATCTGTGTACACGAATCTGCTGTGTGTGATACTCTGTGTGTCAGCTATGGCATCATCGCCTGTGGTTCCATGCCTAGCATGTACGTCTGAACCATCCTGCAAAGTTCGAATGACGTAGGTTGAGCGATCGCTCCGCGAAACATACTTTTTGAAATTCTCTTCATAGCATATCTTCCACCATTGAAATTTCGAATTTCTTCGAATTTTTTGCTGAGAGGGGTGGCTTGCAACCTCGATATGGCTTGTTCCAGGCATGCTTTGGAGCCATCGCCTGTTGAAACAGTGGCGGGAAGCTGCCCTGCAACTGTTCCAACAGGAAATTAATCGATCCGAGAAAGCGCGAGTCCGCGAATCTCGGTTGAATATTGAGTATTTCAAGCCTTTTCACGACGAAGATGGAGTTCTTTTTGGAGATGGACGTCGCGGCAAAGGACATGGTGTCCGACTTCTGGCGTCTGGTGAAGCCAGGGATCATTTGTCCAGTCAGGTCGGCAGCCTAACCGTCGGTAAGCTTGTGTTTGGATCCCGTTCTGCTCGATGTGGTAGATCACAAACAATTTCATATCGCACAAATTGATCTCAGCATCGTGCGTACGGTATTTTATATTCAGAAAAGCCCAAAGTGTCTCTGTGTGGCCGTCCTATGCCACGAGAAACTCCAATCAGGCTCCTATGTCCTCTGCCTTCATGATTGAATGTCCACTTCGTTTGAACAACGAACACAATAATCGAGGACAGCTTTGCAATGAAAAATACAGCTATACTGGAGCTGAAAAAAAGAAGAAAAAAACGTGCTCAGGATGAGACTCGAGTACACGCATACTCTCCCAGCAGGTGAAACGCAATTTTTTGTGAAAAATGCGTGTCGCCGACTGACCAGTAATTCCGCCTGACGACGCAAGCTGAGACTCATGCAGCATGTAACGTTATCAAGTTGCATATAGTGTTGTTTGAATTTCGGGATCTGGCTATTGTAGGCAAAATGTCCTCACAAAGCACAAGCTGTAGCAGATATGAAGAGTCTTTAACCAAGAGTACGGAACACTTGCCAACAGTGCTCTTATAAAAAGTATTCTATGGGCCAGGCGGTGCAATGCCATCTCTCTCTTTTTCTCTCTCCCTCTCTCCCCCCCCCCCCTCTCTCTCTCTCTCTCTCTCTCTCTCCCTCCCTCCCTCCGTCCTCCCTCCCTCCGTCCGTCCTCCCTCCCTCCGTCCTTCCTCCCTCCGTCCCTCTCTCTCTCTCTCTCTCTCTCTCTCTCTCTCCCTCCCTCCCTCCCTCCCTCCCTCCCTCCCTCTCTCTCTCTCTCTCTCTCTCTCTCTCTCTCTCTCTCTCTCTCTCTCTCTCTCTCTCTCTCTCTTTCCCTCCCTCCCTATGCCTCTATCTCTCACTATCTCTGTTTCTCTGTCTTTGTCTGTCTGTCTGTCTGTCTGTCTGTCTGTCTGTCTGTCTGTCTGTCTGTCTGTCTGTCTGTCGGTCTGTCTGTCTCTCTTTGTCTTTCTGTCTGTCTGTCTGTCTGTCTGTCTGTCTGTCTGTCTGTCTGTCTGTCTGTCTGTATGTATGTATGTATGTATGTATGTATGTATGTCTGTGTCTTTATCTCTGTCTCTCTCTTTCTCTCGTTCATTTAAATTCGCGATGCAAATCGCCAACACCATGCATCCAAACTCACTCGCCAACACTGTGCCAATCTGCGTGTTTGCAGAGAAGGACTTGCCGGCAAACCTGGAAACTGCACTCTCAATGTATCGGAACCAAATTGCAGAGCTACAGAGCCAGAAATGGAAAGGCAAGACCATTGTGCCTTATCTGTTCGGTGATTACGAGTTCCAAACAATGAACTACGGCTTGTCGGGTTCCAGTGGCGTAAGGCCTTGCCTCCATTGCTTGTGCACAAGGAAAGATATGCAGGTCCCACCAGAGAACCGTGACGTACAGTATGGAGCACGGTCCTTAGAGAAGATGGCGGAGGACTACACACAGTTCACAAGCGCAGGTGCTCTGCTGTCAAAGGCAAAGCTGTTTAACCCTCTCACTACCAGCCATTCAAATATCTCGATGCAATAGGCGATCACTAAATATTTCGTCACACGCTCAAATATTGTCGGATTATTACAAATGAGGGCTCTTCGTCTTCAGAAAGACCTTGACTATCGACTGCAACTATCGCTTTCACTCCTTGGTGCATAATTGGCGCACAACGAAGTATTCTTGTAGACTGTAAATTGACTCAATTGCGAAAATAATGGGTAGTGAAAGGGTTAACAACACAATCAGACCAGTCCTATTGCCAGTGTCTGTTGCGAGCGCCATCATTCCAGTGCTGCACCTAGACCTCGGTGTATTCCCGCGGATCTTCGATGTATTCACACGCGAGGTCTGTCTTCCGAACATGCAGCTTGCAGAACAATGCGATGCTGAAGAGCGAGACAGTGAACGATTTAGAGCCTTATCAACTGCACATCACAAGTTGTCTGGCTGCAAAACAGCGTTCTCAGAAGCAACAGCGAAAGCCACCGCTCTGGAGAATCATCTGCACTTCCTCGTTTTGTTTGGCCAGCAACAGGGCATGGCAATAGAAGCACTCGCAGGCGTGCTACAACGGGAGGTTGAGCAAGCACAGGCCGACACAGAGCAGTGTAGTTCGCAGCTGAAGATTGCTGAAGACGAACTGGCCAAGTTGCGCCGCAGCAAGGATGTTCTTGGCCCGTGCGAAGCGTCCGTAGAGCCAGTACTACAGAAGAACATTATCCATCGGCAGGCCTATCACGGCGGTGCTTTCGTAGGGAACCATATCCACCGTGCCCTCAAGCCCGCCATGATCACAGCTATCACTGAGGCCCCAGCAATTGTCATTGGAGATCGGTGCCCAGCTCTGCGGAATGACGCTCAAGTAGTCAGTGAGCGGTACAAGTCCCTGTTCAGCCAGTACGCAGCGTGCAGATCTTCCTTCAGCCATTGCAACAATTGTGGAGAGAAGGAACTGCAGCAATCGGAGCTCTCCATTGTCTCGTTCTTACAGAAATGTCGGAGCGAGGTGGTGGAGAGAGGCTTAGGTCACATCACTCCAAAGCTGCACCTCCTTGAGGAACACACTGTGCCGCTGATGCGGAGAGTGCACGTCGGGCTTGGTCTACTGTCGAAACAGGGCGCGGAAGGAATTCACGCCGAGTTCAACCTGCTCGAGAAGAGATATGGTTCCATTCCCGGCGAGCTGGAGCGCCTGCATGCTGTTGCAGAACAACACCTCGTATGCACCCTGCCAGACGTTGCAGATCAACGGCCCAAAGTTCGATCGAAGCAGCGGACTGCTCCATCGCAGGCAGATCAACCAGCCAGTCCGCCTACATGCAAAGCCAGAGTAAGGACCAACTGTTCACTTCTACTTCCTCCAATAACAATAATTCTTCTTCTTGATGTTTTCGACAGCATGACTTCTGTTCTTACTTCTTTGTTGTTTCAAAAATGTTTGGGTTTAGACCGACTTTACAAAGAAACTACTACTTCCTCCGCGTCATCGAAATTGTCGCAGTTTGACTAGTGACTTGTCACTTGTTACTGACAACTCCATAAACTAAGCCATTCGAAACTTATTACACAGTATGATAGTCTGAAGACTAGAGTAACGTTCTAGGACAATTGGACTGAGAGTTTTCATGCAGAGATGAAGTCCTCGTCGTCGCTGATGTCAATGGACGCAAAAATATCGTTCCCAAATATTTCAAGGAAGGTTGAAAGTTGGTCGCGCCTCATCTCAAACGCTTTGACTTTCTCCACAGGACAAGAGCTGCTATGCTTGTCGTCTGCTAGCTCTGGATGATTTCTACTTCACCACCAACGAAGCCTAGTAAGAATACACGATCGTTGCGAGGTCGGTTGATTACCGTCGGCGGAATCACCTCGGAATCACCTCGATCTTGAAAATAATGAACTTTTTTTTAGCCGTGGCATGCCCACAGCTCATGCAGGTAAGTGTAGTATCACGTCCAGCGCGCCCTCTTTTTCAGCACTGGTATACCATGCCATGGTACGGCACCTGCGCGTGCATCACTAGCACTACGTGTAGAGTCTACACGGCTCTTGCAGGTACAATCATGTACTAGTAGTGGTACTGAGTGTCTCAGCCAGAGCGACAAATTTTATCGCTGTTGCAGGCATTTAGTTTGCCGACCCCTCGATGTTTCTCCAAGCGCTGCCACTTGTTCCACGAAGTCATTCTCACCCCAGCTAAGGTAAAGCAGTGATGGGGCTTGAGTGAATGGCCATAAGCACGAGAAATATGCAGGCTGCAACACCTGACTGATCTCAGCGAGTCGAAATTACCAGCGCAGCGACATCAGCGAAGAAATTGCGTCTAGTTCAAAAATTCCAGCTTCCAATAACAGAAAATAGAACTTTGCCGTCACCCTATACTGATGACTATCGCCTATGTCCGATCCCTTGCCTCTGGTACGAGTGCTGGTGAGTAAATACCGCATTTTACATCAAAAGTCAAACTGCGACAATTTCGATGACGCGGAGGAAGTAGTCTTTGTGGTCCACTTCACAACAATAACACACACAGAAGTCTCTGCTGTGAGCACGGTGGCTCGGCTAAACTACTAAATCCGGCGAAATTGTATAATTCTACATGTTGTACTAACTCGAAAGGATTTCAGTAAATCCGCAGCGATTTCCAAATTTTCGCCGCCATCTTGTTAGATGTCCACTGCGTAACAGCCGTGAGATCCCCATACTTTTTAAGCTTGCAAAACGCGTCGTAGGATAGATTTTCAGAATTTCCATTTATGAAATGAATTGGTGCGGCTTTGGTCATACATGCCGCACCGTTGCGACGTCCCTGCTATAATCTATCTCTAATATTCATATGTTGAGGGAAGGAACAGGGAAAAGTCTGAATAAGACATTGACTGTCACGAGCGTGATGAAGGCAAGTTATCCAATGAAGACCGCACGCCGCACCAACCCATAGCCACAGTTGCATGCTCTTGCGGGTCATGGACTCTTGCCGACATACATGCACACGGCTGATTCATTCCTTTTTCAGTCGACTCACCGATCTCGCAGCGATCTCCATGAAATCCTGGCGGGCAGCTGCAGTGTACCAGCGGATTCTGACGTGGAAAAGAGCCCCACAGTGCTTTCACTTCAGCTGGCTCCCGGGGTTTTGTGTCGGCGTTGTAACAAACACCCTTGTTCTCGCATCTGAACCTCGGGAGCGTCGAGTTGCACAGATCGTGGACTAAATTCAATGCATGGAAAAATTCAACACATCACACCATACAGTGTACACATGAATAAGTACTAAAACTTCGACACATTTATACCATACAATGAACACATGAATAAGTACTAAAACCTCGACACATTTATACCATACAATGAACACAGTCATGAATAAGTACTAGAACGGCAAGCAGCAGCTTTCGGCCTGTGGATCAATAGAGCAATTGAACTTCCACCATATGCGCTCTCTGCGTGTAGAGACTACTAGAGAGCACATGTGATGGAGGTGGAGTAACTTTACATGAAAACAGTCATATTGGCACTGAAGACCAGCCACATCCAACACAATCATAGTCAACCTTCCCAACAATGAATGAACCCGGCTATATTCGCAAAACGCAGCAGCCATGAACAATGTTACTGTTTTCGTTGCTCAAAGCAAACGCTGGACCAGTTGACTACAAACTTAAACCCAGGATGAATTGGAACTATGAATATCAATATTCCAGCCAATACGATTCCCACATAACAATGTCTGATAATTCAAACCTCGAACTGGGCATGTCCGGTTATTTAGAACTCCCATGGAATCCAAATACATAGAAAATGTGTGGGATTTGTGCTGATAATTCGAAGTTAACAAAGCATTACTCGAAGTTCACTGTACACCATACAAGTCAGTTCAGTGTGCATGCGCATGCTGTCCCGGCCAGTTAAACAAGTGTCCGTGAAATCTATATCTGAGATGTGACAGCGCAACTCTGAGTGACATTGCGAGCAGTTTTGATATACATAATGTCACTTATTAATATGTGGTGGATACACGTTTGGATAATTACAAACAAGGCCGGGCAGCTCGAGGTAGAGTGCTCAATGCACAAATGTGCAGAGCCGTATACACACACAACGGAGGCGAAAGGCCGTGCAGCTGTAACTTCAAGGTTTCGCGCATTTCAGCGATCATCAGACAGCGGCATCAAGTTACTATCGAATCCTCTACGAGCAGGCCTAGATATTTGGTGCTAGTGTGGAAGTTAGTGCATATGTGTGAAGTGTAGACTTGGCAATGGGATAGTGCTATTGAGCTGTTTGTGAGAGCTAATGGATTTAAGAGAGAATAGAGGCGATAACAGGGCCCCTGAGTATTACCAAGTCATCGAGGGCGATAGCGACAGTAGCGCAAGAATATAGCAGGCGCGAAGAGGGGGAGAAAAAGCACCATGGCGTCAAACCTGGTACAGGTGGCGCCATGTTGAAAACAACGTATGTAACTGATGGTGAGAGTTAGGACAGGTAATACTTGTTGTCGTGTCTGCATTTCAATACCAACTCCGACTTTTTGTTGATGTTGACAATTTTGTCTGCTTCCAGTATCTCCAATTTTTCAGCCAGGCATGGGGACACCGCTTGGTCGCGTTCGAGTAGGCCGGGGCCTTGGTAACGACGCCCATTTGACAGAGTGCGGAGTACGGTTCTTCTGCTTGAGCTTCCATATGCACTTGGACAGTTCCGTGCTTTTTTCCATTCTCTCATGCCTCGTCGTGCTCATGCCACTGTTGTATCTCTGTGTTAAAGGGTGGTTCCATTAGGCTGAGGTACTCGTGGCACTGCTCTCTTCCGGTGTGTTGGACTGTGGCCGTGTACACGATGCATCGTACTTGGCAGTCTGTGACCATGTTCTTATGTGACCATGTGGGTTGTACCATGTGATGTTGCGCCGCCTATTTTTTTCTTTCTTCGTCCTGTCTCCTCCTTCCTCTCGTCCGTATACTCGACTCGGTCCGCGTATCCACTCTCCCTCTCCGAGGGCATCGCCGTACGCTGGTGCCGATTCCTCAAATACGTGTCGGTCACTTGATATGTCTGTTAGTCGTCTGCAGATCGTCTTTGGCAATGGTTGGATGATGGATGATGGCCGGTGGGTGATTGGAAAGTTGGTGGACATAGAAGGGCTTGTTGTTCGGCTTACGGTAAGGTTGATATTTCCCGGTTGACAAATCCAGTGTCACATCCCAGGAATCTACCGTCTTCATGCCAGCTCTGATGGTCAGTTTAAAACCAAGATTTGCAAAAATCTGGCATATAGTCTTTCTGGCTCGGTCTGCTGCACTGCCCGTCGCATCTCTGATCACCGCTAATCCATCATCGCGGTACAGTCCGATGCCGGTCTGCGCTGTTGAACTTCTCCGATAGCTTTGCCAGTCAGGGCATATGTTCCGACCAGTTCGCAGACGTCTGCACTGTCAAAGCAGCTCATAGTCACGTCGAAAAGGTCCTCATTCGTCTTTCGTCATCCATTCCCGATCACCGTTGAAAAACAGGGACTTCCGCGAGTGCATGGTGATTTCTCTAACCTGCCGCGTGATGTCGCGTGTACTGTGTGGCGAAAGTGAGCACTTGTCCGAAGAGGTCCTCGGATATAGACGGATGAAATTCTGCAATATCAAAACAGATGAACGAGCATGTGGGTTTATTTTCCAATCTTCGGAACCACTAGATCACTGCTGTTGTGTTCTTCCACGAATTGATATTGAGTTCTGTTAGTTTTAAGGTTTGAACTAAACCCGAATCTTGCCATGGCAATATTTCACGTCACGTCGCACGTATAACTTTTAAAACCTCTAAAATTTACACGTAACGTGATATTTTCACCGCGCTTTTGAAAAAAGTAAAAACGTGTAACTTACTAAACCTCTCTAATATCGGCCCGCTTGAGCGGGCGGATATAGAGATGTATGGCCCGGTGAGGAAGGTCGCTGATTGGCTGTAGATGAGGCAACGGTCAGGTGGCATGTAATACTAGAAACATATTACATCTAAGGTACACAACACTGAAATTTCATTGAAATGATTTCTACCATAGTGGAACCTAATAATTTGCACACACATGCACATGCTTATCCTCGGAAACGCTCCCAATCATTGATACTTTATTTCGCTTGCACAACTGATATCACGCCGCAAGTTTCTACTTCCATAGCACAATTGTCTTCACCATGAGACCAATCCTTATACACAACCCTATTGTACATAAGCGTGTCACCGCGAACATGTCGATCATGATATTGTATACATATACCTGCATCAAACAGACGCATTGTGCCGGATGTGCGGAAGGTGCGCGCCACCGTACGGGCACTGTCTCGATAGACGGTCACGTTCCAATGCTGAAAGGGGTCCGAGGCCACCTCTGTCCCACCCTTGATGGTGACCAGCCAGGACTTGAAGCACGGCTCGCTGGGACGAGTCGTGACCTGCAGCATGTCGATGTCGTCGTCGGTGAGAATGCGCGACGGAGACGCCCAGGTCACGTCGCCGTACACCTGTCCTCTCACAGTCAGCGACAGGCTGAGAGGCCGCTGTGCTGCCGATTCAGAGAGATCAGTAGGCGAGAAGTGAAAGTCGACAACGAGCTTGTCGAGCGGCCACTTGCAGTCCGCGGCTTGCAGTTCTGTACACAACCAACATATAAAAAATTCGTTGAGACACGAGCTGCAGAGAGAGCTCAATGCCGTATACCGAGCTTAGAACATAACGGACACAGCAGAGGACGTTAAGGTTGGCTGCAAATCTGAGTTTTCATGCTGCGCGGCAATCATTGTGTTATGAATGCCTCGCGTCATGAAACTTGGAGTTGCAGCCAATCAACATCTATAATAATTTACTAGTTGCCGGAGAAATCGCTTGAGGTGCTGAGTGTCCGGCCACCTCGTTCGCTAGATATGACCAGGTACCACACAACAGCAGCCCTTCAAACACTGTCCGGTGTATCCCGGTATACACGTAGACCTTAGTTATCTGGGCACCGCGATTACGGCCCCTTCAGTCTACCTGGCACCCTATGGACGTGTTTTAGCGGAAATATTAGTGAGATTAAGCTGCACGTTATTTTGACGTGACGCGAAAGTTCCGCTTGCGTTATTTGGCTCGCGCATTGGAAACCAACGTGAGAGAGCTGCATCTCACGTCAACATTTTTAGCGTGTGTATACCAAATTTCGACCCATTTGACGTGAAATTGCACATCGCGTTAAGCCTAAAATCTAATTTTCACCAGTTGTAGTCTTCGGGGTGCTGAGTCGAATGGTCTTGGTCCGAGGAAGCTGGGACGCTCCCTTCCTCCTTTATTCCCAATCGAACTCGCGCACTTCCACCGAAACTGGGTGACTGCGCCCCTACTAGATGGGGATTTGTATGCAAAATGTCACTAAAAGCGCCATTTCGTTCTTATAAAAGCACGGATGACCGCCATTGGCCCATATGTTATAGTCTTTTGGATGCTGAGTCGACTGGTTTTGGTCCGAGAATGCTGCAATGCAGCGTTCCTCCTTTATTCCCAATCGAATATGGTTGAACAAGCGGTCACGTGCTCCTGCGTAAACCAGTCACCTGGTCACTGTGCCTAGCCTAGCGCCTGCAGGGTACAACTTACAGCCTGTTTGACCTTTTCGGGGTGCACTCCTGTCACTCGAGCTGAACCTTGGTGTGAAAGTTGTAGCTTGCTGGCGCGGTGACCAGGTGACTTGGCGGCAACATGTCGTACAGTATGCAACCCCCAGGTCATTCAGCAGGTCATCCGCGCATCACCGCATGCTGCACTACTCGTATGCTCTGTGCTGTGTGCTGTCCTCGCACGTACACAGGCACTTTCTTACTCGCTTCCTGAAAGCATTTCGTGACGTCAGCGGGGTTTACTATAGGCCCAGTATGTGTGTACTGATTTCTCTGATTTTCTCTGATTTTCTCTGATTTTTTCTCTGATTTCTCTGTTGTCGGAGTCTCTTGCTTAGCTCTGGTTTTGTTTCCCGATCGCATTCTTATAAAACTTGAAAAATTTCGAAGGGGGAGGGGAAAAGACCCAAGTGCCATCAGTATGACATATACATTGTGTGGCACATGTCGCATGCCGCACATCCGGTGCTGCAGAAAGTGGTCCTGTGAATGGGCCCTGAGGCCCGGGGTCTGTTCACTACGGTTTTGTCCTTTGTCAAGTGTCCCCAACCGAACGTGCGCACGCTCCGAGCATTGGCTACTTTGTACTCCAGATGACTGAGCCTGTGTGGCTACCTGGCTGCACGCTTTGACATCATCACTGCATTAGGTAGAACGCGCACGCACGTTCGACTGGGAATACCTGACGAACGATGGACCGCAGTGCAGCCCGCTCCTCAGACAAAGAGCATTCTACTCAGTGCCCCAAACTCTATGGACTCTGAGCCATTCATTTCACCGGCCTGCCCCTCATGATTAATACGATGTCTGCAGCTACAGACAGTGACTGCTCATCTGCGCTGCGAGCCTGTCTAAATGTGTCCGATCGGAGCAAGCAGCGCACAGCTAAGCGACCACTCCAAGCCAGCTAGCAGCTGCTGTGCAAACCCAGCATCAACTCTAGCAGCTAGTTTAACCCTCTCAGTGCCACGGGCGACTTTAGTCGCCCAAAATGAGTATGTGTGTACAAATAAATTCGTATCTCCACTTCTACACACAGGCGAGTTACAAACGACCACTCTAAGACCTTGGCTATCGACTCATCACATAGTTTTGTGTCCGTGAGGACATATATCGCCAGGGCGAAGCCTGAAGCGCGCGCGCTCGGACAAACAATTGTCGCCCGTAGAAAACATGACGCATGCGCATCGCGGGTTTCTCTATTTCTTTCGCGGCAACCCATGCGTATTGGGTATCAAAACATCGAGATTTTCAGTGGCTTTCAGGCCAACTTTGTCCGAATTTCGTGCGTTGAAAGTCGACTGCACTGTGATCGATCGCGCGCGTGAGAAAGTGCAGATGCTACGAAAATGCAGAAAACGGACTTCGCTCAGGCGCCGTCGCGAGGAAGACTATTTTCGCTGCATTTTCTCTTCACAGCTGTCTGCCTGGCCACGATATCTTTCCAGAGAGCCATCGTTTGTAAATATCCGTGGATATACAGCTGAGCTATGAAAAATTTGAGTTCAGCTCAACTGATCCCATTGGCACTGAAAGGGTTAATACAGTCAGACCTCGTTAGGACGAACACTGATAAGACGAACTTTCCATTAGTACGAACTAGAGCCAATCCTATGGTTGACCAGGCATCATATCAAGTCAAAATGATTCGTTTACGACGAACTCTTGTACGGTGAGCTTTCAAGAAGACGAACTGATTTCAAGCGGGATTTGAACAAAATCAGCGCATAGTACAAACTTTCAGTCCGCATGCGTGCACTGGCGCATGCGTGCACTGGCGCATGGCTGCAGGCCCGGCGGAACCGGTCCGGTTGGTCATGCCATGGTCCGGCGGACCAACCTTTTGGCCACCAGCGTATGTTTAATGCTGAGGAGGCCATGTGTATCTCCTCCATATCATACACAAACTGTATGAAAGGCTAGGGTATGGCCGGACCAATCAAAAGCTACTTCCGCCGGTCCTGGCCGCTGTAGTTTTTTCCCATAGTCGAGGCCTCTTGTACGGACAAAACGAATTGACAGCATGTTACAAGGCGGAGGACATGCTGCCCGCATCAATTCATTGCACATAATTGTACTTGCATACTTACGATACCTATTGCTGGCATATGCTATGAATAAATGCTTTACATGTGCCACAGCATGCACCGGCTTCACATAAATACAATCCATTATGATAATTATGCAATTATCATGCACATTATTTTGTCAGATCTGGACAAGAAGAACTCCGGATAAGACAAACAAACTTGTTCAGTCCCTTCAAGTTCGTCCTAACGAGGTTTGACTGTACTGTACCTTGAATGATTACGTCTTACCAGTGACGAGTGCGGACAGGTGCACGTAGAAGATGAAATAGCGCATCAGCGCAGCCAGCCGGGCCATTGTTTTCCCAATGGTCCACTGAGTGAATACTTCATCCGGAATCTGGCAGCAACTTCGCTTCCCTATGGCTAGGGCAGTAGGGGCTGGGCCGCCTTCGAAGCTGCCCTTGAGTGTCTTCTTCCAGGAAGCTTACCCCATCAGACGGTCTACTTTCTCTCAATAGTCGATGGACTCGAGCAGTGTAGGTCCGCTATTGGAAAGCCGGAGAAATTTAATTCGACGCATCGAACACCAAAAATAAATTATTGCTCCCAATTCCCGCCGAAATACTACTACACGTGTCCGCGTAGCACGAAAGCAGTTTTCGATCGTAAACTAGCTACTACTTGTTATTGTTGGGCCGGTGTCATGCCAGGACAGCTTCGGGCCCATACCAGCATACAGTGTGTGGCTTGGCAGTAGCTGGCCGGCTGTCTTCACGACCACAAACATGCACACACTCGGACTCAGACTCAGACATGCCCATCGCGGAAGCGATGATAGCGAACAGCCATGTAAATTGTTAGACATACATGGACATGATGTAGCAACTAATTACCATTGAATTACATGTACCGGTACATGTACTACAACTTGTAGTACTTACAGTAAATAGTGGATATAACGTGCCCCTTTGATTTTCGATAATTTATCACTATATCCGGTGCATCACTATAGCCGATTTGCATGTATGACTGACACATGCATGGCACATGACTGTGCATGAAATGATGCGTACATGCTGGAAAAACCATGAAAAGCAGCCACGTGTACATGTGGCTGCTTACACCATACAGGGAAGAATTTTCTCTCAATCACGTCTGCTGCCAGATGCATCCAGGCAACACTGGATGAGTTTTGGAAGAAATGAACTAAATTTGAAGAACAATTGTTTTGTGATCATCACTCTTGATCAGTATATACGATATTTTCCTGTGCATTTGATATGGTTTGCTTCCTGAAGCCCATCACAATAAGCGATATATCGGTATAGCCGATAATAGTGTGTATAGTGATATTTTAGCTGTATTTTTTGTGATTTGATTTTGATTTTGGCGAGTTCGATCATTATAGCCGGTATATCGTTAAACCCGGTCACTTTATAAACGATACTCACTGTACTTGACACACTCTTTAGGGCCGATTCCCACTACGGTACCGTGAGTGCCGTGCCGTGAGTACCCATGGTGATTTGCTCACGTGAGGGGCAGTTTTGGCGCGAGTTCATTCCGTGGCTCCTGCCGTACCGCGCCGTGGACATTCCTGTGCCGAGGGTCGCTGGGGGGTGGAAATGGCATGCCGTGGTATTCCGTGAGGTCGAATGCAGTGAGTAGTAGGTATTTTACTACTCCCTGAAAGGAAGTTTTTTCTTTCTTTTGTATTTGTGGTACGAAGTTTTTTCTTGGCTTTTGGCTTTTCGATTGGTTGATTCTTGAGCTTTCTCCAGTCATCTCCCCCGCTATTTCCCCTCAGGACCAAAGTCAGAAATTGATAAAAATGGTGATCCGGCCTGCCGACGGAATGCACGGAATGATTGGGCGCAGGTGTAAATCACTCTCAGCTTCAAGCTCGTACCGTGGGGTACACGTGACCTACCCAAATCGTCGGCACGGCACTCACGGTACCGTAGTGGGAATCGGCCCTTAGGGCACTAGGAAACACTATCATGGGACACTGTTCGGCAAATGTCTGTGAGGTACCATTACGCTCACTAATTACTTACTTGTGCTACAGGATTACACCATTCAACAGCACACCCACCCACCCACCCACCCACACACCACCGAGAGTATAAGCTCTCCTTATTTACTCTTGGTACAATGCATCACCTAGAGTAATATGTTTTCACTCTTGATATCGCTTTTCTTTCATCATGCAGTTGTGTGGTGTCCACAACCACAATCACACCTTCACGAACGAAACGTCGCAGGTCCTCATCCAAGGCCTGCCTAAACGCGGCCATCCTTGTCTCGCGGGGCTGCGCTGACAACAGCTGACACCGGGAGTAGTCCTCCCAGGCCTCGCTCCACGATACAAATTCAGCTAGATTCGCCGACGACAACAATATTGGCCGATCCACAGCGACGAGCTTGGTGGATGGAGCAGGAGCAGACGAAGCAGGTGCACTCGTGCTGCTTGATGATCCTTGCGACATTGACTGCAACAGAGTTTGGAGCTGCGCATCGCGCTGGGCAGATGCTTGCACTTGAGCTTGGATCAGCTGCACCAGTTGGTTGATGTCCGGCTGTGACTTAGCACCATCCGCCATGGCGAAATCACAACTATCGATATCGTACTACAAGGCTACGAAAAAATTCTAGAACTTCGAAACGGACAATTTTCGAAGCGAAACGAAAACGGGCAGAGAGCAACACTACAGGTGGGCTACTCTACAACTGCAATGGAACTACTAGTATACTAAGACTACAGGTAAAGTAAGACGTTCACTGCGCCATGTTGTGTCAACAAACGCAAACACACGAGGTAGGGTTTGTGACTTATCTTTCAGAAGACAAAGAGAAAAGACTTCTTGTCCATAGCAAAGGACAGGCAGAAAACCGTGATGCATGTGTGTACTAGTATGCGTACACACGCGAGTGCAAAAGGGCAATGCGTACAACAGGCAGAACATATATGGATACACCAGGTATCACCAAGACAAGAGTAAAATAAGCTCCCAGATATCCATACCATCAAAAGTCCGGGCTTATGGACTCTTGATACCATCTTGTACTTGTAGCTTGGCTGAGTAGGAGTCCTACAATTATATACCTAGATTTATAATACTGAGTACACGAACAGATGGAACAATACTACTACAGTCCATTTCAAAACTATAGACGCGTACCTACATATAGGCAAAAACCGTTATGCCAGCATCTATACCACATAAAATCTGTGATCACTTTGTGCATAAATTTTTCCAAATTGGGCGTCTGTTATCCAATCCTTTAGAAACTATATGAGAGTAATTGAGGAGCGATCCTGAGCAATATTCCGAAAACTATTCTCAAAAAGTTCCAGCCAAATTTGAAATATTTCAAAAACCCTACGCGTCTATAGTTTTGAAATGCACTGTAATTATACCTCACTCCATATACACCCACAGTCATAGCAAGAGTATATTTGGGGGGGGGGGGGGGGGGTTATATGCTCTTGGTCATAGGCATGCCCCCAACATATTACTCTAGGTGATCAGGGATGAATTTACTGTCAAGTTTTTGCATAGCAGTTTTTGCTATGCAAAATCTCAGTTGTGGCGTAAGCTACAAAAAACTTGGATAGCCTGTACAATGTATGTATGGCAGTTTTCTGCGAGTCACTGTGATTTTTGAGTAGCAGTAAATCGATTTTGCGTAGCAAACTGCGATGCGATACAGGATAAATTCATCCCTGGTGATGCATTCTACCAAGACTCAGTAAATAAGGAGTCTCGTGGTGGTACTGTACTACTACGCACTAGTGTTGACAGTGGCCACTGTGACACATGTACAACACACCCCTGCATCACGTGCACACATACATAGACTGTTATGTCACTTCATTGCTGTCGCTCTGGACAGCCAGCCAGCTGTTTTGATGTTTGGATCGACCTATTTGTAAGTCCTTGCCCAGACCTTGCACAATATACAGCAGGGAGTCGGCTAAACCGCTCAGTGTTGGCCACTGATATGTTACGTTCATGAATAAAGTAGCTCTGTGTTGAGCGGCATACATGCCGTCCTGCCAACTAGCATCGGCAAAGCAGCAGTAGAGCTGATGTATTTCAGAAATCTTGCAGTCACTCAACCAGGATTAAGAACGAGCGGGTGGCAGCACTAAACAGCAGAGAGGGCAAGCTGGCATAACAAATCGACAATAGCAAGTGTTGAGCTGCAGCGGAGCTGCCACGGTATGTCACAAGAAATTCAAGCTGGCCAGGAGAAAGAAGCAAAATTCAGCAAACATCAAAAGCATGGAAAGCCGTATATTTTATGAAGAACTGGTCACAGCCTGTCAAAGCTTCGCCAAAATGAGCCACTGAGTGGAGTGCAGGGAATACAGCAGAGGCAGAGGCGATGAGCAGAACATAGAGGAGCACAGTAAACTGGTTAGCACGGTGTTGTCAGTGCTGGCCGGCCTGCTTGACGGTTGCCACCGGAGAGTAGAACTACCCAAAGCCACGGCGCAAACCGAGCAAGAGCACGTCACATGTCTGCCCGTGTGCCGGCAATTGTCCGACGACACCGATGTGTGGGATCTGATGAGACACACGGGCGTGATGGCCGACGATCCTCGACACGCATGGACATGGGACGCAGGCAGAGAAACACGGCGTACACCTTCAGCAGCTGCAAGAAGAAGCACGTACACGTGCCTCGTCCCACTGGTGAGGGCCACCATTCATCGCGAGACGGCAGGTCACAGAGTCCTACAGGCTCCGGCCCACAGCACAAACATGCAACGTGATTGCTTGCAGAAAGCAAGGACTCACACATACGCAAGCACGCACAGCACTTGACTTGCTCAATCACCATCGGCACGAGGACGAACTCAACAAGATGTCAAATCAACCAGCAGTGGCCTGCACAGCCGGCACATCTCCAGCCTGTCCAGAACAGAGAGAGTCTACATAGGCATCCAAACAGGATAACGCAATGATACGGAGAACGTCGCCTGTCACCCTTAGCTCTTGCCATGCCAGAGAATGCCACGCGCCGCGGCGTACGACAGCATGACAGTGCCGGCGAAGACGATCGACGCAAGGTTAACATGGTTCTCCCACCACCATTCCCTGCGCTTCATGCGCTGCAGTAGCGACGTGCTGTCCGCAACTGCTCCGCATAAGCATAGGAATGCGTGCGCAAACAAACACACACACACACACACACACACACACACACACACACACACACACACACACACACACACACACATGCACGCACATACATGCATACATACGCACGCACAGATGTTCACATCCAACATGCAATGGATCAGTGGAATGATACACTCTTCTCTTTGTTCTACAAACATGCCCCTGGGCCAGGCAGCGGCCAATGGCCGACAAATTTGGAAGCCTGAAACTAATCTCAGGCCAGGGCGTTGAGAAAACAAATCGGAGCAGCAATCGGAACCACAGCACCACCGACATCTTGAAGGCGCGTGTTACACCATACATGCATGCCATGGCATACCACGTCTCGGCAATGGCCAACAAGTTTGGAAGTCCTAACGTCAAGAAGTCCAAGGCGGGAAAATGACTAGCATTGGCGTTGAAGGCACAGTTGACAGAATCTCAGAAGAGGAATGCTGCTGCTGCTGCAAAAGCCATCCGACAGCAGCACTTGTGACGGATAGCGGACTACCACGATCTCGATCACAGAGCAACATGCGAAAGGTGTTGAAGTCAAATTATGCAATTCGTGCCATGCCTATCTATGCAAAGTACAGTATCTCCAAAAGTCACATTCTGCCCTTAGTTAATCTTCGAAGAACCTGAGGTGACTAGTTGCGCCATTCAACAATGTATCTGGTGTTAATGCCTTCACTAAGGTTCGAAAAGAACAGCATTACTACCGCAGCAAATGACCGCAGCAAATACTACTGTCTTCGTCAACTACTTCTGCCACGCTTGTCCCACCCCAGCAGCCTGCACAGCAAGCCATGCCAAACGCTCCTCAAATTCCATCCATATCTTTTCTGTGCGAAGGTTTTTAAAGCGGGGAGCGAAGCATGTCCTTTTTAAACACACTGCGCGCTGTACACGTGAATGATATCCATTCCTCGCTCCTCTTACTCGCTCCTCTTACTCGCTGGACTACAAGCAGATTGCATGAGAACGGCACACTGACACAGCCCAAGCAGAGATACTGTTCGACGCCAACAAACTCAGTCCGCAATGGGAGAAGGCTATCGTTTGCTGCTACTCCGTGTTCCACATGAATGTATTATGCATTAGCTCCGTGTATGTATGAGCGACATATCCACCACGCATGGCGGTCATTTTTTTCGCACATATCGAGGTTTGAGCAAAGGTTTGTTCCCGTTACTATTGCCACAGCTACATCATGCTGCAGGACCGCATAGTGTATCTCTTAATTTGCTAAATCCTTATTATAGGATTTTGGTCATATTTTTCAACTAAAAATGGGTGTGGCATGAGAATAGCAAAAAGTATGTCACCAATTCTTCCTTGCTAGGTCTTAGTAGATATCGAGAGTTGAATAAGATAATTTTTTCAAACACTAACATCTCAGGCTCATCTCCTTGCCCAGTATTACTAAGGCCTGTGCCCTATTTTTCGAATCCTATAGGATTTGAGATTTTATTGGACCTTGTTTTATCCTTAAAACTGGTAGTTTCATGACGGCATGTGCGATATGTCGTCATGAAGCCACCCCGTGCCACACCTGCAATGTTCTTCTGCACATTCACTGCTTCAGTCCTTTCCATGACAGCAGCTGAACAATTATGCTCAAATTTCCAATTATTGCGGAAAATAGGTATTCATCAGAAATATTATCGCCCTATGAATCTAAAATGTAAACATTCATGCCTCAAACATATTTACAACTTCCATGAAAACCATTATGCCGTTATTATTGGTCGTGATGACCAATAACAACGGCATAAAGGCACACATTTTCAAATCCTATATATAGGATTTTCGGCCAGCAAATTAAGAGATAGCACTTGTCTTGTCGCTCAGGCTGAATGAATTAGCCACCAATAGTCACAGTGGTCCGCTATCAATTATCGTTTATGTGTATAGAGCTGCCGGGGAGCTTTGCTGTGCAGCTGTGCTGGTACAGCCATCATCAAAGCGCAGCATTGATCCTCCTAGGTAGTGGCAAGTTCATGCCATTAGTTCTCTGGAAAGCTTTTCTGGCAAAGAAGTGCCTTTGTAAACAGAGAAACTGAGAGAGAGGCAGGGAGGGAGAGAGAGAGAGAGAGAGAGAGAGAGAGAGAGAGAGAGAGAGAGAGAGAGAGAGAGAGAGAGAGAGAGAGAGGGAGAGGGAGAGGGAGAGGGAGAGGGAGAGAGGGAGAGAGAGAGAGAGAGAGAGAGAGAGAGAGAGAGAGAGAGAGAGAGAGAGAGAGAGGAGAGGGAGAGGGAGAGGGAGAGGGAGAGGGAGAGGGAGAGGGAGAGGGAGAGAGAGAGAGAGAGAGAGAGAGAGAGAGAGAGAGAGGGAGAGAGGGAGAGAGAGAGAGAGAGAGAGAGAGAGAGAGAGAGAGAGAGAGAGAGAGAGGGAGAGAGGGAGAGAGAGAGAGAGAGAGAGAGACACACAGAGAGAGACACAGAGAGAGAGAGAGACACACACACACACACACAGAGGAAGAGAGAGAGAGAGAGAGAGAGAGAGACAGAGAGAGAGGGAGAGAGAGAGAGAGTGTGTGTGAGTGTGTGGATGTATGTGTGCGCGTGCGCGTGTGAGAGTGCACACAACAAAGGCAGCCCTGTTGCGAACAACAGCACAATGACGAGCTCTACTCACACGACGGTTCTTTGCCTGAGTTTGGCAAGCGATCAGCGTACGTCGTTTGAATGAGCGCCTTGAACGCGGTGAGCGGCGGACAGGCCTGGATGTGAGTATTTAGCTGATTGTGACACACTGGTGTAGCTTGTAGCAGAGATATGTAAGAGTAGATGATTGCGTCAATGCTTGTCGGCCTGAGCGGGAGAACAACCAATAGCAATAGGATGAAGACGAGAGAGAGAGAGAGAGAGAGAGAGTGTGTGTGTATGTGTGTGTGTGTGTGTGCATGCGTGTGTGTGCACGTGTGTGTGTGTGTGTGTGTGTGTGTGCGTGCGTGTGTGTGTGTGCGCGTGCATGAGCATGCATACGTGAAAATGACCCTAATACTACACACAGCACAACGTACGTGTCACCGAAGAAGTACTTCTGCCCGTCCAGCCGTTCCGAGATGAGATTAAGACACTCCCGTGCTTGACTGTACACCTGATGATCGCAGGCACACACACACATACGCACAGCCATCGTGCACAGGTAAATACAGTCAACCTCATGAGCAGGAACAACAACAACACGGATAAGAACACAATCTTCAGACTAAAGCTGTGTTCACAACTGGCGCGTGTACGCGTGAAACCACGCGTTTGTGCGTATTTTTGCTGGCTTTTGGAGCGCCATGCGTACGGAAACGCGCCGAAATGGAACTTCCAACATGTTGGAATTTTCAGCGCGTATTAGGCGCGTATCAGCGTACATTCCAGTCACTTTGACTGGCGGGGTCAAAAAATTAGTACTCGAAGGTGTCGCACGCGCTGGGATAGTTGTTTTTTTGTGAAAGCTTGAGCGCGCGTTTGGGCAAGCATGAACCGCAAGCGTACAACGTCCACGCGCCAGTTGGGAACACAGCTTAAGTCACCATTTGATTGCATACTTTCAAGTTTCAACCTCACACATAACGACAGCTCGGGAGTCGCGGCACTTTTCTCATGCAGGATCGAGGATCGTCCCTAGCAAGGTTGGCTGCATAGTGAAGATGGAAACAAGCGCAACAAGTGGACAATTGCATGGAAGATAGATGGCCAGGTCCGTAGATGAAAAAATTTATTGGTTCGCGCTATACTCAGTTAGACTGGAGCTATCCACATCCATAGGAACGCCACCACCCTCAAGGATCAAAGGCACAGATGCAGCCCCTAAATCGGTGGATGGTGAGTAGATCAGAGCCGCCACCCAGTGTTGGTGGCGGTCCTATGGATGCGGATAACTCCAATCCAACTGAGTATAGCGCGAACCAATAACTTTTTGCATCTATGGAACTGGCCATCTATCGGATACACCCTCTAGTGATACCATTCTGAAGACTGTTAGCACAAAGAGGGCAGGAGGAAGATGAATGACAACGAACATATGCCATGCCGACTTGAGCAGAGACATGGAAAGAGATGCAGGACAGGAGTCTTACCGTTTCCTTGACCAGGCTTAGATCCGACACGCCATAGAGTGCCATGAGAGATGACTCCACCAGGCGGCGACGGCGTGACGCGTACCAGAAGTTGCGCGGGAACGGCACCACGCGGCCGTACCAGCGGTACGTGTACGTGCCGTAGGTGTCGTCCTCGCACCACAGCGAGTAGAGCTGTGTGCACACACAATACACACAAACCCATACCCACAGTCACACACACACAAACCCATACTGTAAAACGGCTAGTTTTAGCACCGGTGATATTTTAGCGATCTTAGCGAAGTGAGTGTTTTGCTGCCAAAGTTTTGCCGCGCCAATTGAAATTTTGCATCTACAGTACAGTACAGTACAGTACAGTACAGTACAGTACAGTACAGTACTATATTGTAGATACTGTACTTTGTTTGAAACTCACATCGCTAAATATTTTATTGCAAATTGGTCCTGATTCAGAAATGTTGAAAATTTTACTTGCTAAAATAAGCCATTCGACAGTACCCACAAACATACACGTTGTTAGCAATGGCGTCGAGCTCCATGCAAAAACACACACACGCGCACGCACACACATACACACACACACACGCGCGCGCTGGCCAAGTAGTACGCACAAAATCACCCTGGCTCAGTACACCTATGGCTTAGAGTGCGGACAACCTGGCAGTGACGAGCACCGCATGGTACGGCTACATGTATAATAATCGTGTCAGGTAACCTACCAGAACGGAGTGGAGTTTCTGCTGCACCATGGCTGCCACAGCCACGCATTCAGTGCTCTGCTGCCGCGTCAGGTCATAGTCCGTGTTGTAGCCCTGAAGAGTCAGGAGGATGACACACACGTACACACACATACACATGCGCACACACACATACACACACACACACACACACACACACACACACACAAACACACACACACACACCATGCAAAATGGTCAGGTGAGCACTGATTCACACGACCGTCACATTACACATACCACCATACCCACTCAACACAGCACACGCATTGTCCACGTGTGAATCACGTCCCCGCCATACCTTTTTCCTTAGGTATTGGAGAATACTCTCCAGTGTATCAAAGTGCTCCGTTCCAGCTTGCAGGCAGGGCAAGGTGCCTGCACAGGCACACAGCAGGACAAAATTGATCACGAAAATAGAAGTAGAAGGCAACAACAAGAAGACCAGTAACAGTAACAGCACACAGCAGCTGATCAGATCTGGCTCACAACAACTACCAAAGCTCACATTCACTGTTCTGAGCTTCACTGGACCTGTCAATGTCTTTCTGCTCAATATATACTGCAAAAGAGAAACTACTGACACAGGCGTGCTGGATGCAAATCTCGATGATACGATGCTAGCCGCTGATGGCTGGATAGCACTGTTGGAACTTGAACAGTACTTGGCTCAAACATGAATCAACTCCACAAGGCCAGTCAGTGTTTGTTCACTTATTGCTCTCTCCAGTCCAATTTAAAAGCCCACTCTAAAACATTCATACACACGCCCAGCCACATGCACGCACGCATACGCTGTACTGTGCATGTACTGTACTTGCTCACTGCCATGACTGGTCACGCGAGTCTCCCCCGAAGAGGGGAGAGAGATTCACAAGGAACCTTGGAAAGATGACTCACTTGCCTATAACCGCCCAACGGCTGATACACCCTGAAATCCCCAAACTCTGGGTGGACTTGGAAATGATCCCACTTATGTGCTCACCACACCTCAGTATTGTGGGTTAGGGCAAGGTGCAGAAAAAAAGTATTGACGGCATCAAGGTATCCGTCCCGGGATCCAACTGCATTCACCCCTGCTCCCAGGGAAGGCACACACATACACACACACAAACACACACACACACCATTGGACCATTGGACGCCCATCGCCGGAGGCGATGATAGCAATGCTACAGCAGAAGCCATAGCAACTTGTGCTGGGATTGCACCATTCAACAGCTTGCACGGCTGAAGAATTGACCGCCACTATTCAGCCTGGTCTACCACACAGCTATGAAGTGGCTTTTTCTGGCCAGTGAATCCCTACTTTTTGGTCTTTTTCATATTTTTTCCGCACACACATCACACCACATACTCCAACATGCACTGGCTGTTGGTAACCAACCAGGAGAATGAAAGAAAAGTCAGGAGGAGTCTGAGAAAGAGAAGAAAGACGTGTGTGACCATAATCGTCGGGAATCGAACCCGCAACCTATCGATTGGAAATCGCTGCACATACCACTGCACCATATGGGACACACACACACACACACACACACACATGCCCAGCCAGATGCACACACACACACACACACACACACACACACACACACACACACACACACACACACACACACACACGCGCGCACACACACACTAACCTGAAGGAGATTGGCTGGGGTGAGAGCATGGCGTGCGCTTCACATCAGCTTTGCTCATCTGCATGTAGACCTGGAGTGGGAGAATAGGAAAAACAAGCACACAAGCACAGTGGTGTTCTCAGCCTAACGAAGTACAACTCCAAACCGAGTATTCCAATCTACAAGTACTTTCTAGTGAAACACTTTTCTCTTTCAAGAATATATTTCTTCCCACACAGTACTCTGAGTGACGTATGAGCGTGCATGCTCGTCCAAACTTTAGAGAAACTCTCTAGCGTTGGGAGTGAAGCATGTGTACATCCGTGTGACACAATGCAGCCATCTAAAAACCCTCAAAGAGAATAGTACGGCGGCTTGAAGGCACAACAATAAACAAACAAATACATGTAGCTAATCGGAAAGACAATCTGTTGGACGAGAACAAATCAGCGCACATAACACATAAGACCATGGAAAATACAAGACCTTTCCCATCACTAGGTGGTGTTCATAACAGCCGCGTGTACACACGAAACCATGAATTTGCCACCTAGCCTAGACCGCTCTTGTTTTCATGTATTAGTCTACGCGCAGTTGAGTCACCGTGTATACATTGGTATGCTGTGCTTAGTGAAATCCTAGCCTGGTCGTTCTTCGGCGCTCCGTTCATCGGCGCCCGACAGTAGTGTAGTTCCCATCTCAACCTCTCAAATTCTCATCCGTTTTAACGAAGGGATTCCACGAAAAATTCAGCGATTCCGCGTTTCCATTGAGCTGTACGGCGAGTACATGTAGTGGATTTCCATACCTTCACAAATTCAGGTCCATAACTAGTGCTGAAACGAGTACTCTATAAGCTATCGAGCGAGTACTGTCACTATCGAGTCGAGTATCGAGTACTCTATAAGCACACATGCGCATATAATTATGTCAGTACCACATACAGTACCCATTTTTTGCACACCATTTACGCAATTCAATATCCTTCAATAAACACAAATTTTCATTGCAAAGCCACATGGACGACGGACGTGTACGTCGCTATCAAGTTTTTTTAGTTTTTTATTTTATTTATTTATTTATCGAGTATCGAGTCCTTTTTTGATATCGAGTCGAGTACTCAACGAGCGGGTACTCGAGTACTCGGCGTACTCGTTTCAGCACTATCCATAACTAAGTTACATATTACGAAAGCGGTCATACAGTAGAGTCGCGCGCTGAAGAACGTGGAGCCCAAGAACATCCAGCCTGAAATACTAAGAACGCCACAGCCTAAAGCTATAAGAACGGCGGTGTTGGTTTTCTGGCAGCTTGTGGGATACATATGATCCAGTATGCACTGTTTCTAAGAGTTAGGGTGCGTTCTTATATTCTCTAGCTTCTAGAAGAAGAAGAAAAGAGAAGTCGAAGAAACTGGGATTACTCAAGAACGGGTCTCGAAGAATTTGGAGATATTTTGCACATGTCAAGCAAAATGAAGCGTCAAAGGGATCTTGAGTGATGAATGTATGTACGTATGCGAAAAGGGAAATGCGTACACTCATGATGAACACGTGGCTTTTAGTTGTAGTTCGCACGCGCTGATCCCAAAACGTGGGAATCTCCAAGTTTCAACCACCTCTGAAGCTTGGAGAGCTTTGGAGAGCCTCCTAAAAGTCGGAGAGGATATAAGAACAGCTCTCGAACTTTTCGGAGAGTCTCCAACTTTTCCGAGAGAATTTAAGAACGCACCCTAAGAACGTGCTATAAGAACGCAGCCAGATTGCTGAAAAAATAAGAACGTCCCAGGCTAACCCCTTGGAAACAACGTTCTTGGGCGCGCGACTCTACTGTAAGCGAGGGTACCTGGTTCGAGTGCTGGTGGTGACAGTCAATTTTTTCTTCAGACTTTTTTTTCTTCAGACTTTTCCCGTTTGCGCCTTTCCCTCAAACTGATGAAGAATTAATATAAAATAATAATAATGAAGTAAAGTGCAAAGCCATTTCAAACCCTTGCTAATGCATGCGTGCATAATATTTTATTATATTATGCGTGGCTCACTTCGTCTGCTATGTTCTCTACCTACGGTGTTGAGAATGCAGGCACCGCGTAGTACAGGGCCGCCGGAACCACTTTCCCAGCTGGATGGCCAATGTGATTCGTGCAAAACCGGTTAATTTTTGCGCAATTTTCACATGAATCAAGATTTTAATTCATCTGTTCTCAGGCTGCATTTTGATATCACATTGTGATTCGCAAATCGATTGGTGTCTGATGGTCGCAGGAGTAGATGTACTAGGTGCAAAAGCGCAAAAACAATGCAGACATCCAGCGTGGAGTTGTAAATAATTGACTCCCGCCTGGAATACACGATCCCAGCAGTGTTGCTCCGTGCTGACCGGTTCATCAAAATCCAAACGGGTACCCTTTTACTAACGGTACCTAAGATTAACGGTCGGGTACCCGGGTACCCGGTACACCCATTTGACCCCTAAAAAAAATCGGATGTGCACGACTGTACTGTGGACATGTCATGTGCTTCGAAGTAGCTCAGGAGTCAGGACTCTGTGCGCACGGCATGTATGCACTTGTGCATGTACACCAGGCCGGGCCAGGGACTGAGGCCCTCGTAGTGACTCAGAGGCAGTCGATCATATCACGAAGAAGTCGACACGAGATCATAGTTACTAGCCTTTATCAATCATTTTGTTTTTGTTTACCTTCCTTACACTAAGTTACAGTGTTCAATCTCTTCGATGCTACCATCACTGGCACTGTGCGACTATGGATATAAAAAAAGTTGTGTTTCTGTTCTTTGACTATGATTTTCTGCATTTCCGGAGCCTCACGAGATGCCCAAATTCGCTCTATTTCACATAAATTTTCAAAATTTCTCCCGGGGAAGGACCCCCCACCCCCTCAAAGGTCTGCCGGACCACTCCAAAACTCCTTCCTCCGGCTCTGGTACTAGTAAAACACACAAAGGCAACCCGCGTGCATGCATTAGGGAAATGGCTGATACAATTGCTACGTGATGTAAAAGATTCCATTAGCACTGGAATTAGACAAATTCACAACACATCAATTGCTATTGACAGTAGAGTACTCTGTATTGCACCATTCTAATAATTCCTACAATCCACACTAACCAGAAGGGCCAGGCTGTGAGGGTCTTCCGACGGCTTTCCACACCAGTAGAACAACTCCATGATCAAAAGATCAACCAGCTCCCAATACCACTTACCAGCTGACAAAATAATTGCAAACACGATCAAGATACTATGCTGCATGTACATGTAGCTGCCTTGTTCAAGCACACACAATCACGTACAGAGAGTCTAGTAGTAGTAGTAGACTCTATGTTGCACTGTGCACATATAATGTGCAGTCCATTCGGCATTCCTCAACTCAAGCGTGCAAAAAACAGATCTCTCCCACTCGAGACTTTTACACTGATTTTTGCGCTTTTGGGCCCAAATAAGTCTCGATGCCGCAAAAATATTATTGTCAACTGAATACGGAACCGGAAGTGAACGAATTATTGGTCGAAACAGGAAAGCAGGGAGTGGTATTGTACTACTCCTTGGTCGAAAGTGTCAAACCACCTCCATGACGAGCAACCGTTTGTGGGCACTGTTTGTGAAATTGGAGCTTGTTATGGTGTGTGTCGGCAGGGAATTTTTATGGCGATCAGGAAACGTTTTTCACATCGAAATCAGTGGTTTAATACCCTTTGAAATTGAGGTGTTCAAACAACGAATTTTCTACGTCGAAATGAAGTTGGAGCACCATCGAGTTTGATTATTCCGATTTCCTTGGTGGGCTAAGGTAAGGATAATTAACTACTAGACATAAAAATCTCACCTGTTCACGATCACGCCCTGTACAATGCACTTCGACCTTCAAAGTTGGGTGTACTCAAGCAACATAAACCGTACATACCGTATACACAAACCTTTTCAAACGAGCATGATCACACACAAATGCATAGCTGTGTATACACCGTACAGGTGGAATCCTGATAATTCAAACCTCAAAATAGGGAGGTTCTGCTCTACGTTTTGGGAACGCGACGCAAAGAATCACGCAAACTTTCTTCGCGTTCCCGTAACGTAAAGAAATGCTGTTCTGCTCTACGTTTCACCTAGAGAAGTCACGTGGAATGTGTACTGGGAATTTCCTCTTCCATATTTGGCAGTTTTCTGCATGCAGTTGATCGATACCCAGCAAATCCGTACACATTTTCTCTGCGTGTGCCACAACGTAGAGAACCCCATCTCCGCGTAGAAATCTGGAGCCAAAACATGCGAAGCCGTAGACTCTAACCCAGACACCTGCTCTCTACGTGATTTCTCTACGTTTCACGTATAGCAGAACCTCCCTAATGCCAGGAAAAAAACTTCTAATTATCCGGTGTTATTCGTTGCGCACGTTTCTTCAAGCAATTGCAGGTGTTGGAAGCTGTGTATATTCGTACTCGTGACCCTGTGCTATGTAAACAGAAAGAAAACGTATCACTCACACTCTTCAAGTAATACACACGCACCATTACATTCATTCACACAGTATCACATTCATCTGCCACTACCTTTCTCACATACACTATATTCACACATTGCAAAGGTGCAAACTTCGCTTTTTGTACTTGTTAGCTGCTGTATTTCTACCTGAAACCATATTAGCTACATGTATATAAGTGTGTGTTTTAGTTATTACATTTTTATGTGACGGCGTTCCACTGATGACAGTCACAAGAAAACGTTATGGAACTTGACTTTCTTCATTTTTGCTGTTGTTATGAGTGCACAATTTATCTTATTTATTGCCAATTATCCGGACATTCTAATTATCCAAACATGAACCAACAACACAACAGTACATGTATGTCAAAATGCTCTCATGGTCACGCAGAGTTGCGTAATGGACCTTAGACACCGACTTCACGGATACTGAACTGACCAGCGCAGCCTGGTCATGCAAACTGAACTGACCAGTACAATGTACAGTGAACTTCGAATTACACTTTGCTAACTTCGAATTATCAGCACAAATCCCACACATTTTCTATGTAAGTGGAATCTGTGGGACTTCTAATTAACCGGACATATCCAGTTCGAGGTTCGAATTATCAGAAATGTTTATGTGGGAATCGTATCGATAGAAATTGGTCATGTATGTCACCCTTGTGTACACTGTAGACCCTAGTTTATGTTCCTCGTGTGTCTCGGTGTGTATTCGACGACCGTAAGCATTAGGAGAAAGTTGCCATTGTACGCGCTCTTGTGTGTAGTATGTGTGCCGCGTTCAGTCGCTGTCTAGTATGAGATAGCTGGGCTGATGGTGCGTATTGCCTTGATGTGGATCACATAACTCGTGGCCTTCTAAAGCCGGTCAAAACGCATGCCGTTTCAGATTTATGGTCTCGTGGTGTGTGTGTATGTGTGTCAGTCTGTCTGTCGCGCTCACAATATCTCGTTTTCTGCTTATGATGCTATCAAGAGTACATAACCCCCCAGAGTGTGCAACGCCTGATCCAGCTCTGCATAGGGTCTTGGTCGAGCGGAATCGGATCTTTGCGTCATAATACCGTACAAATCTGAGGGGAACCCGGGAAGTCGCGGGTACTCTTGGATCAAAAACAATGGTGCCCTGCTTCGAGACCGGACTTGCACTGGTGTGGAGTGTACGCATGACATCAGAAGATCCGATTCCGCTCGACCAAGACCCTATGCAGAGCTGGATCAGGCGTTGCACACTCTGGGGGGTTTTGTACTCTTGATGCTATGTGTTATTTATAGGAGATTAGAGGTGATTGTCTGCTTTGCGTTCCTCTCTGCTTCGCCTGCGTTATCAGCACTGGTTTCTGCTCTTCACACGTACATGTATGAATCGAACCCGCAACCTATCGATTGGAAATCGCTGCACATACCACTGCACCATATGGGACACACACACACACACACACACACACACACACACACACACACACACACACACACACACACACACACACACACACACTTGTGTATACGGTTTCTTTGAAAGATGCAAAGTGTCGTGTACATGTTGTGTGCGTCTGATGCATTCACACGAACTTCAGCGGTCTCTGCATATACCATGCACGCGTCACTTCTCCTTTGAGGAAAGAAACCCAAAGCATATCAATGCAATCACATACATGTACATGTATACAAACTTTGTGTGTGTGAATGTACAACGCACGTTTGTCTTGTTTATGCTGTGTGTCATTTGCTCTGCCACCCGTGTTGCGTTCTCTCTGTTTCGGCTATTGCTACTGCGCTGTTCTAACCAGAAATTAGTGTTGATAGGGAAACCGAGTGCGAACCTGGCTTTTTTGGTGAGGTACTCTCATGGGTCCGTATCCGTGCTTGTTTGTATTCCTCCGACGGTGTGGCACACACATGTGATGTATGCGAACTTGCGAAGTATATCTGGCATGTACGAACAGTGTGTGCATCTGCGGCACGCATGTTTGGCATGTTTGTGCTCCACGTGTGCGTGTAGGATTCAAACGTGTGCAACACAAGCGTGTGGGGCACGCCCATTACGTCTGCGGCACCGTGACATGGCCAGTATGTGATGTGCGACGCGGGTGTGCAGTCGACTCGACTCGGATTTGCAGTCTGTCGAATTTTTTCCCGTCGAAATCGGCGCATTTTTTGCATCGAAATGCAGCATTTTTTTTGCAGTTTCTCACATGCACATGCACAGTCCATCCTCGAGGCTCGTAGCGAGGTGATTTGGCTTTTTTTTTTTAACATTTGGCTTTTTTTAACAAATGTGTAAAATTATTTGCTTTTCTTCTGGCTGTTTCTCTGCTCCGGATGGCTGTATCGAAACATGGGTGGTGCCGATGGCAAATGAGAGCCAGTTTATCGTAGATCAACATTGATCAGAAAATTTGGTGCATATAATTTAATTTTCCCTGCTACGTCGGTATAACTAGTTGTGGATCGAATGCTTTTGCCATTTTGTGTAAAATAAGCCCCTGAATGGACGAGGATGGTAGTGAATTGCTTCCGCAGGGCCTTTGGACGACGTCGGGCCGTTTTGCCGTCACTACAGACAATAATGAAGAACAGTAGGCCATGGAATACACTCTGTGAGAACGAAAACATGGCTGCGATGCTATGCTACCTATCCAATTCTACCGTATGACACAGCCACTAGCTACAAATACAAAAGCACGGCTTTCGCAGCGTACAATGCAGTTGACAGATTATTTTTCATCCACTAGCAATCCTCGAAGTGATATCTATCAACTTCAGGACATTGATGACCGAATATGCAGTTTGTGACGCCATTTTACAAATTTGTTAAAAATGACACACCAATTATTTGAATCCTGAGAATACTATGAAAGTAGGACATGATTCAAGACACTTTCACAAGTGGGATCATTCCCATTTTTTGAGACAATGGGCATGAAGGATAGCACTTCCACTTGCAACAATTCATTTTGACGTAGCTTGCCTAGAATTCTAGAAGTGGCTGAAAAAACGTTATTTTACAACCATTTTACAACCATGTTAAAAAAAAGCCAAATCACCTCGTAGTCGTAGATAATTATTAGTGGTGTGCACGGGTAGTCGGGTACCCGTGCTACCTGTGAGGACCTCGGGTAGACGGGTACCGAATCGTACCCGAAAACCTGAAGCCGCAGATGACATCATGTAGAAAGAGTAGAGAGAGAGGTCTACAGTACACGTGTACAAATGATTCACGCACATACCGTATTCTCTCTCTTATAAACACAGGTCTCCAGTATAAGCACAGTCTCCATTATAAGCACAGGTCGGAGGGCTGTTGAGATTACAAACGCACAGTCTCCAACATAGTCACAGTGATAATACTGATCATGAAATCTGAGTTTAATTCCAATTTGAGTGTGTTACCGGTATGCAACTTTCTTGACTTTTTCATGGTTGAAAAATATAAACACGGTCTCCAGTGTTATCACGGTCTCCTCTATAAGCACGGGTGCGAGGTGAGTTGAAAAACTATACCGGTAAGTACCGTGTTTATAAGGGAGATAATACGGTAAGGGAAGCCCCCCCCCCCCCCCCGGCCGGGGGTGCATTGTGGTCTTACCATGGGAACATTACCCGATCGGGTACCCGTGCTACCAAGAGTACATAACCCCCCAGAGTGTGCAACGCCTGATCCAGCTCTGCATAGGGTCTTGGTCGAGCGGAATCGGATCTTTGCGTCATAATACCGTACACATCTGAGGGGAATCCGGGGAGTCGCGGGTACTCTTGGATCAAGAACAATGGTGCCCTGCCTCGAGACCGGCCTTGCGCTGGTGTGAAGTGTACGCATGACATCAGAAGATCCGATTCCGCTCGACCAAGACCCTACACAGAGCTGGATCGGCGTTGCACACTCTGGGGGGTTATGTACTCTTGGTGCTACCCATGCAAAACTACCCGGACCCGAAACCCGAAGAAAATGCTACCCGCCTCAGCCCTAATCATTTATAGATCTTCTCGAGGTGAGTCGTGCGTGGACCGTATGTACAACCACAGCCCACATAGCTATGTGATCCTGCCAGATCGCAGACATGCCAGTCTTGCCAGATATGGAGGGACTTGGGAGTACCGGTACGCGGTACGGTAGTGCAACACCGTACTACGTCATGTAGACCTACGTTTTGTGTGGCGTCGTTTCAAAGTCGCTCGCGCTCTGATCTGACACGATCCGCGGGGCCGGGGCCAGATTTGTGCGCGATGTATCTTCCATATCCGGAAATTTCAACCATACACCACTGTAAAACAATGGTAAAAGCGATCAGGCAAAGCTAAACAAGTATGAAACTGCCCTAATTGAGTAATTGTCCCACCGTCCTGAGCTTCCTTCCCCCTTACCTAGCCTCTCCAGGTGGAAGTAGTGCAGTATCTGGACGACCGAGCTGACACATTTGGGACGATCCTTCTGCATATGTATGCCAAGTAGATCAGGAGTGACCGAAGATCGACAAAGGTTCACGAATTAGGCGTGGAATGACCTGAACTCATTGTGGTTTGGATGGAGAGTTTGGGAGAAGTTGCTGCCTTTGCCATCCTAGTTCAATGTCTGGCAGCGACCGTCATTGCAGTTCCCGTGGAGAAATGTCATGACCGTAAGTGGAACCACTGTTTGTCATGTCCGAGCAGAAGTTAGAAAGCCCAGCTGCTTCCTGCACTCTCTCAGTCTCTGGTGTTCAAGAAGGATAGGCTTCCACAGTCTTTGCTTGATCCTCAAATAAAAAAAACAAAAACAATCAATCACTGAGAACTGAAGAAGTACAGTGCAAGTGCACGGCGATGATTGTAATGATAAAAGAAATCATTTCGTTGACACAGTGATGTAATCTTGACCCCACATCTCCACACTGTCGCACCATAATTACTTCAAAACATGGTGGGATTTTGAAAAGTTTTTTTGTCTAGAATTTTTGATGAATGCATGCAATTAGCTATATCCACTGTAAGGCTCAGTTGTACTCCGTGTAGCTCTGCCTGGAATACCCCCCCCCCCCCCACGGGATGTGTATGATAGCACGGGACATGTACGGGATACCAACACCAGGTGTTGTCCATCATAATGTGATTTAACTGTCACCACATGTCTGTCAGGGTGCCGTAGCGTCTAGGGAGACGACAAGCACGACAGGAGCGCGGAGCGATATGGGTTTCGCTGTCGGGCTCCCCGTTCCAGTCGCCCTCGTGGCAGGGGCGATTGATGCAAGCTTGCGCATGCGGCATGTTGTTTGGGCTGGGCAGGTCAAGGCTGTGATCATGACTGCGACTTGCGTAGACCGCAGCTCACATTGTGTAGCATTGCAGTCGCCTGAGCTGTCTCTGTAGCTGCTAGGGCTCCCTAGTGTGTATGTACTGTTCTCGTGCAGTGCATCAGTGGACTTGCCCACCTATCGGAAGCCTACCTACCCTCTTGCCAGAGCACTTAGAAGTTGGACGAGTTTCGGCTAAACAATCCGGTGTGTCGTTACTATGGCTTTCAAGGCTGAGGTTGTTTGTCCATTGGCTCTGGGTTCCCAGTACACAGTTGCCGAGGCTGGTCGGCAAAGTACAGTAGAGTGCCGATTATCCGCACCCCTCGGGCTGTCTCCAGGGGAGTTTGGATGAGGAGTGTGTTCGGATAAGGGAGCAGTCACACATCCATCTAAAACATGCATACTCCCTTATGTTTTTTCATCAGTAATTTCTCTCAATCTCTTCGGCAGTACCATAGGAACTAGGCACACTCCAGCTCCTCGAAAATGAGACCATGGGGATACACGTCGACTCTGACCTGTTCAGGCTGTTGCCATACATCTTGTGCGCTGCTTGCATGCAGCATGGTGCTTCAGGTGGGGAAAATCAGCAAAACGCATTGTCGCCCCTTCAACTCAACGCACCTTGACAGGCAGTTCGGATAGTTGATCGTTCGGATAGTTGATTGTTCGGATAATCGGCATTCTACTGTAACTCCAATTTCGTTTCAAGGTACCAGTACATCAGATTCTGGTGTCTGCTTCTATCAAAGCAGCGTGCCGTCTATACTGGTTTCCTCAGCAAGTGTAGGGTGTGCATAGGTGACCTTGGCCGTCCTATTCCCACGTATTCCGAGTGGCGCAGACAAGGTGTGCATGGGGGGGGGGTCTCACATGGATTCGCCAGTTGAATGGATTGGGCAGTTATCTGGCGCCAGTCTTGGTCTGTTTCATTCAGATATTGTCCGTTGTCGTGGCTCTTGTAGGAGAAAATCAGTGTGTGTGTGTGTGTGTGTGTGTGTGTGTGTGTACATCTAGTGCATTTACGGATCTGCGTGCTTCTCATGTGACACAAACATCCCCTTTGTCTTGTTTTATGTTTTGGTCCACAGTCATGTTTCCCAGTTGGCCTGTGTTCATAGTAAAACAAATTAAATTAAAAATTTCATGGTTTGCGTGACACTCGGCTGGAGGCCGAGTTTTCCGCATCCGCAGGAACGCCACCACCCCCTATAGATCAAAAAATAAATAATATTAATGTCCGACAATAATATTATAAGTACATGGTACATGTGTATATCAGTGGATCACGGCTATGGTGGTGGAGCTCTGGAGTTTTATACACCCAGTGTGGCCACCCGGCAACGTGTTACTAGTAGATGGTGCTGATTATGTCGTTGTGTGTGTGTGTGTGGGGGGGGGGGAGAGGTACGTTTGCTAACAGCGGGAATGTTGAGATGTCGGTGATGATCATGGGTATGCTGCTGTTCCCGCTGCTTGTTTCGCAGGCCGGCCCCTGGACGAACACATCCAGCACTATGAGGCCGTCCACTACGACCTGCAAGAGTTTGGCAAGCGGCATAGGCGCGCTGTTGATAGCGTTGGCCGATCGGAGCAACGCCAAGACGTGATGATACACTTTCGCGCTCATGACAGGTAAGTTAAAGTTGGCCGACCCCCCCCCCCCCCCCCCCACCCGCGTTTCTTACCTTTGCTGCACAGTGAAACCCAGCCTAAGGCGACCACTCAAGGGACGGGGAAAAGTAGTCCCCTTGCCCGCCAGGTGGTCTTCTTATCCAGGTTCAGTAGTGGGTCACGTGACTACGTTCACTTGATACTGTAAATCAACAAATTTTGGCCGGTGAGAAACCTTTAGCCGATCTCGAAATGAAACTTTTGGCCATCTTTGGCCGATCGGGGTTTACAAAAAAGAAATCGATCGGTATTTTTTTGTTATAGCTTACAAGGACGACTAAGGGGCCTTCCGTAAATGCCGATATGTATTTAGAAACGAAAACTAGTCGTTTCTCTTCAACCCCCCCCCCCCCCCCCCCCCGTCCCCTCCCCCTCCCTGAGAAACAAACACATTCAAATGGTATATACTAAGGCGAGACCAAAATAATCGAGATTCCCGGGCAGGACCCATGTGAAATTGGTGCGGGCGGGCGAATTTAATTTTTATTTTTTCCCCATGTATGTACATGTACATGCCATGTTGAACTTTTTGTACAGCTTTTTCCGGTAATTTTATTCAATTTTTTACAGACAACAGGTACGCGGTTTACCCGTTCAATTTTTCTATATTTCGGCCAACGATGGCTCTGATCTGTACATCAGGGAGTCATACAAGCCCGGGTTTGTGTGACTCCACGTCACAGATCTACTCACACGATCAGTACTGTACATGTATGAACTGTTCAAAAAAAAAAAAATTTGGCTTTGGCTCGATTTTGGTGTAAAGAGCACTTAGGGTTCCCTGTAACAAGACGGCAACGTCTGTAGGGCCTTCCCTATCAAAATAATAAATTCTACTACTACTACTACTACTACTGGTGCGGGAGGGCCCGGGAATCCCAATTTTTTTTTTGGTCTCGCCTAAGCTTATAAGTAGCGATATTTTTGATCTTTTTTTTCTGGACATATATACATGCTCACGCATGCAAAATGTACATCGATATTTTTCGAGAAACGAACAGGCGCTCAACCACCTACCCCCTATTAAAACGACTAATTTTCGTTTCTAAATAAATATCTATTTTTACGGATGGCCCCTAATTGTACTGTAAGCATTTCCTAAATGTAGCTATATTAAAACTGCTGTCTCCGAAACGCTTGTTTACTTATTTTTTATTGCTCTCACATGCATAGCTCAATTACGTATCATTTGCCTGTATGAAAAATTTTGGCCTGCGATCATTTAGTTCACTTTGGCCGGTGGGTAGCAAGCAGCAAAATCAGCGGAATTAAATCGCCGGCGAAAATGGGTTGATTTTAACAGTATACATGTGATATAAATGTACAGTGTATGTACATGTGTATGTGTGTTCATGAATGAATAGAGAGGTTAAGTTTCACGTAAAATTCTTATGTCCGTGAACTTTTACGTCAAAAAGTGAAAAAACTCACGTAAAATTTGACGTGTTTTACGTGAGTTGACTGTCCTGCACGTGAGTTCATGACGTGGGTTTTTGGAAGTTTCGCTTGGTTATCCCGACCGAATTTGTGTGAGTTTCCGGAGTTTTATCGAGTTTGTTGGAAGATTTGATATTTGTGCGAACTAAACCCGAATCCTGCCAGGCAAAATTTCACGTCACGTCGCACGTGTAACTTAACCTCTAAAAATTACACGTAACGTGAGATTTGCACCGCGTTTTGAAAAAGGGCAAAAAACGTGTAACTTAACCTCCCTAATGAGCAAAGTGTAAAGTATGATCAACACCATAGCCATCACAATCATGCCACAAATGTGGTGTGTGTATATTATGTGTGTACGTGCATGTGTACAAGCATGCGTACCCATTAGTTTGTGTGTGTGCGCGTGTGGGTATTTGTTTTTATATCGGTATGTGTGTACCCAATGCTATGCATGTGTATGTGTGTACCGTAATGGCGCGTATAAAAGCAGGTGCTTACGGCCGTATAAGCCGGGGTTCAAACCATGCTTATAATTCAAAACATGCTTCTATGTCAAGATCATCAGTGTAAACTGTGCAGTGCATACTGCCACGTATGTGCTGTGCACGTACTTGCACGTGTCTTTGCACAGAGCGGCTTCTATTCAAACCGTGCTTCGTGTCACGGTGCGCTTTGAAAAATCGCCTTCTATTTGAGTCATGCTTTTATACGCGACACTACGGAAAAATATATTGTGTGTGGGGGTGGGGTATGCCCTGATGCCATCAATCTTTTTTCTGCACTTGCTGACGTGTGGCGAGCCCATAAGCGGGATAATTTCCTAGTCCACCCAGAGTTTTTGGGGATTTCGGGGGTGTCGGACGTTCGGCGGTTCAATAGCCGATCGAGTCATCTTTCCGAGCTTCCTTTTGAATCTCTCTCCCCGTTCCCGGGGAGACCCATGTGACCAGTTTTGGCAGTTGGCAAGTACACGTGTATGTATGTATGCTCCGTTTGTGCACATGTGTGCGTGTGTACTCACTTGTGTGTGCATGTGAATGGTGCTTATGTTGAAAACCATGCAGGCATTTTCACTTACGCCTGCGGCCGGACACGTCTGACCTGACCAGCCATGCCGAGTTCCACCTGCACACGGCCAATGGTGTGGAGCACCCCGACGACTACGATCCAAACTCGTTCCTCGTGGGCCGCGTAGAAGGTGATGCTGGGTCCTTTGTCTCCGCATTCAACGACGACGGCATAATGTCGGCGAATATACATTGCTCCCATGGTAGCTACTACCTGAAGCCGGCCAGGGACCACTTCAGCACGCCGCAGGCGTTCCACAGCGTCATGTATCGGCAAGACGACATCTCCACGTGGCCTGTGTCCATGCTGAAGAACGAAACGATGCGTGCCAAGCTCGAGAAGCAAAGCCTCTGTGGGGTGAGCGGTGCCCAGCATGAACACTTTCACGACGTCATGAGGGAGAGCGAGGACCAGCACGTCAAGTTCTTCGCGCGCAAGAGAGAGGAGGCCGAAGCAAAGCGGCGCACCAAGAGACAGGTTTGTTACCCCCGTGTGTGTGTGTGTGTGTGTGTGCGTGTGTGTGCGTGTGTGGGTGGGTGTGTATGTGTTCTATGTGCTGTGTGCACACATACATGTGTGGGTGGGTGTGCATGGGTACCGTGTGCTGTGTGAACAAGTTTATGACTGTGTGTCTGTGTGGCTGTGCTTGTGTTAGTGCCTGTGCCCGTGTTCATGAAGTATTCGTGTTGGCATCTCCATCCTGATTCACATTCTGCTGTGCGATGAGCATTGCATGCGGGCAGAGGGCACCTGGGTTGTGGTGAGGAGCTAGTGTTCCCACACACGTTGACCTTCAAACCTGTGACTCACTGTGGCTCTGTCAGACACCGCTAAAATCCTGGTAATTTGAGCCGGAAATTGCCGGGGAAACTTCTAATTACCTTAACATGTACCCACAACACAGTATTGTACAGTTATGTGTATTATAATACTCAGTCATACTGAATTTTTTTACTTTTATAACTAGCTCTGTGGTGGAATTTTTTAAATATTTTTTTTAGCTCTTTGTGTCTATTCACCTCCCCATCTTCTTCCTGTCGTTGCATTTTCCTCTCAGGACTCAAGCAACGGGCGTCGCTTCAAGCGGTTTGTCTGCACGCTCGCGCTGTACGCCGACTACCACTTCTTCTCGCAGCGCGCCAGCGGCAACAGGAACCGGGCGATCTCGATCATGCGCCAGCACGTCAACAAAGCCATCAACATCTACGCGCCGACGGACTTCGACGATGACGGCCAGGCTGACGGGGTGAGGCACGGGTCGGGGTATGCTACAGCGGTGCCAACTGAAATCCGACTGACCCCTGATTTACGAGCTCGAGTGCAGCACCGATTATAGCGGTCTCTATTTCGTAGTGTTACAATCCCATGCTGGGTCTTTGCAATGTGAGCGCACCGCTCCAGGGGTTGAATTTCAGTTGCCAGCACTATGGTGCAGTAGTGTTTGCTACAGGGACATCTGAGCACGGGAAAGTGCGCGTCTGAATTGCACTGTGCCACACCCCGGGAATTCTGGAAGATAACCGGTGGGTGCAGGCAGGCCGCGGAATCTGGTGCCCGTACGGGTGGTTTGTCAACTGATGACCCGCTCCGCTCAGTTGCTACTCACCGTGTTGTGTGTCTGGGGCATTGCATTCTACAGCAGGGTTCTAGCCAGGTTAAAATAGTAGGGGTACCGGGTGGGGTGGCAGGGGACACAGTTATCCATTTAACCCATTTTTCCAAAATTGTCTTGCAAAATCCAACGGGGGTGGGGGGGGGGGGGGGCCCCAGACATGTGTGCCTTTATGAACCCTCTGATTATCGACTGCGTTTTTGTTGAATGGCATGAAAAAAACACAAATATCGACCAATAAGTAGAGATAGACTCGGATAGTGGACTCGGACACGGAAATGCTCTTATGGATCGCGTAAATCTCGATACCTCCCTTGGCCTCGCTGCGTGCCAGTTCAACGGCATACACCAAAGAAAACAGCCCGCAATCGGCGCCACCAATTTGCTTTTGCAGCACCATGTACAGGAATCCTAGAGAGTCTTCACCCTCCTTACAGAGTGAACAGTGCCTTGCTTAAGTCTGCTTCTGCAGTGCGACGCCTGTCGAGGCTGTCGAAGACAACAACTTTATCGAAAGGACCATCACGGCCACCCCGGAAGGTGCAGACCCAGTGTTCACGCTCCACATGCATGACCTGTATTGTGTAACCAAACATGGCCTGTACAGCCGGCCCCGGGTACCTTAAAGGGGCACTCCGGGAATTTTTTCGGTAGTGTGTTCTCTTCATGGGGGCTTCGTATGGCCCCCAAGGAATGGGGGGGGGGGGGATCACAAAAACTAGACCCCCAAGAAGTCGATATTATGAAGCCAGGGCCTATGTAGGGAGGGCCAAGTAAGTCTCCTCCGCGCTGCGCGGAGGGTTTTGATGACGTCATGATTGTGTGATTAGGAGCTCAATATGCAATCACGCTCCTGGACTGGAGCTCGAATGGGAACACTAATGAAACCAAGAGTACAGTCATGATTGTACTCTTGATGAAACTCAGTCGAGGTGAAGCATTGCAGGGTAGTTGTCAAGTAGTTTGTTTCTTTCATGTCGTCGATGTGCCAGCTCCAGATTTCCTGTCTGTCATGCCGAGGTGCTGTGCTCCCGGCTGTTCAAACGATTCGAAGGATGAGGCATGCACAAATTTGACGTGGTTTACGTTTCCCCACGACGCTGAGTTGCGTCTTTCGTGGGTCAAAAGCATGGGTAGAGCAGCTCGAGTCGCCGGTGGGAAAACGCACAAGCTCTTTGAGCCAATAAAGTGGGATCGTTTGTGTTCAGCCCACTTTGAACCGACCTGCTTTCAGCGCGATCTGATGAGCGAATTTATGACAAGCGGAGCGATGAGCAGCCAGTCAGGCAAAAAGCGACCTCGTAAGCTCGTCGCGTGGAGGGTGCAGTGCCAACGTTATTTTCGAGCTCAGCCGTGTCTGCGAAGTCTAGTTCTACACCGAAAACAACACCTCGAAAGGAATCACTTTACCTCAAGCGAAAACGCGAGCAGGAGGAGGAGGGATCGGACGAAGAGCTGGTAAGTGTTTAGACAAGCTGACGGGAAGTCGGGGTGATGCGTAAAGCTGTGTTCACAACTGGCGCGTGTACGCGTGAAACCACGCGTTTGTGCGTATTTTTGCTGGCTTTTGGGGCGCCATGCGTACGGAAACGCGCCGAAATGGAACTTCCAACATGTTGGAATTTTCAGCGCGTATCAGGCGCGTATCAGCGTACATGCCAGTCACTTTGACTGGCGGGGTCAACAAATTAGTACTTGAAGGTGTCGCACGCGCTAAATACGACTCGGATTGCTGTTTTTTTGTGAAAGGCTGAGCGCGCGTTTGGGGGCGCATGAACCGCAAGCGTACCGCGTCCACGCGCCAGTTGTGAACACAGCTTAAAGCTGTGTTCACAACTGGCGCGTGTACGCGTGAAACCACGCATTTGTGCGTATTTTTTGCTGGCTTTTGGGGCGTCATGCGTACGGAAACGCACCGAAATGGAAATTCCAACATGTTGGAATTTTCAGCGCGTATCAGAGTACATGCGGACTACCAGTCACTTTGACTGGCGGGGTCAAAACATTAGTACTCAAAGGTGTCGCTCATGCGTGCCCATACGCACGCTCAGGCTTTCACAAAAAACAGCAATCCGAGTCGTATTTAGCGCGTGCGACACCTTCGAGTACTAATTTTGTTACCCCGCCAGTCAAAGTGACTGTGGCATGTACGCTGGTACGCCCCTGATACGCACTGAAAATTCCAACATGTTGGAATTTCCATTTCGGCGTGTTTCCGTACGCATGGCGCCCCAAAAGCCAGCAAAAATACGCACAAATGCGTGGTTTCACGCGTACACGCGCCAGTTGTGAACACAGCTTAGATACGACTCGGATTGCTCTTTTTTTGTGAAAGCCTGAGCGCGCGTTTGGGCACGCATGACCCGCAAGTGTGCCGCGTCCACGCGCCAGTTGGGAACACAGCTTAATGCATGTCAAAGCGCTGTCAATGCTAACAGCTCCATCGCTCTCTCGACAGCAAAGACAATCGACTGCCCTCTGCATCACTCCACATTTCTGGCAGGAACACCAATCGTTTCTTCCTTGTCGACCAGTGAAGTCGTCTGCTCCAATCTCCTGGCCCTCATCACGCTGCGCTTCTACCAGGGGCACCTGAGGAGGCCCTTCAGGTTCCTTGGAGTGTGGCCGCAGTTGTGAAGCTTGGGAATGTCGACCAACGTCGTTCTTCATCACCAGAAAATTAAAACAACTAACACCTTCAAATGCAGGGAATTTGAATACTAATCACACGTGACGTCATCAAAACCCTCCGCGGAGGAGACCAATTGTTTACTTGGCAGTCCCTGGCTTCATATATCGACTTTTTGGGTCTAGTTTTCGCGATTCCCGATTCCTTGGAGGCCATATAAGGCCCCCATGAAGAGAACACACTCCCGAAAAACTTCCCGGAGTGCCCCTTTAAGGAGTGCGGGAGATAAAAGCCTGCCTATGTCTGGGTATTCTGCTTTGCGGTGAGTGCAAGAAGAGTTGATTGCACCATCGCTAAGCATGCTACTGCCACACAAATCTGACCGATCTTCCATGGAAAGGTCATCCATGGGAGATTCGTGTGCATCTGCCTCTTCCTCGTGAGAAAGATCTACTTCATCTCCCGTGGAAGCTTGTGTCTCTCCGCCTTGTGTCTCTGGTCCCTCTTCAATCAAACCGCCATCCATGGAGGCTTCATGTGGCTCATAGTTCTCCTGGTTGCCACAAGTGGTGCCTTTGTGACAAGCAGATACACAAGATTCACCGGCAAGAAAGCCACGGCATTTCTTGCTTGTGCACCTACCCTTCGACTTGCACTGGAATGATACTGCTGGCTGTGATGTGGACGACGTTCCGCGATTAAAATGCCTGCAGGCCTCTCTCAGGGAAACCTTAGGACATGCAGACCAACCTAGGGTAGTGACGCCTACCTGTCCCTGGAAAAGCTCGAGGTCATCCGACCGGTAACAAGTGTGCAGTGCGCCTGCAGAAGTTCTGAGTCTGTACAGGCTATTGGAGACCTCCACCACTGCGCCAGGAACCCTTGAAGCATCCACACCCATCTGAGGGCCGCAGGAACCGCGTGAACCTTGGTGCTGCTGTTGGCTCGTGGGTCGGATTTCCTTGGCCACGGCACCGTATGTCGTATCCAGGGGTGACTTGCACTGAAGTTTCACTGCACAGGGTACTGTAATGTAAACACAGCGAATTGTGACGAAGAGGCTTGGGGCTTGGGGATTTAATTCTGGTGGTATTTTTTTAGCGGTACTACAGTGCATTTCAAAACTATAGACGCGTAGGGTTTTTGAAATATTTCAAATTTGGCTGGAACTTTTTGAGAATAGTTTTCGGAATATTGCTCAGGATCGCTCCACAATTACACTCATATAGTTTCTAACGGATTGGATAACAGACGCCCAATTTGGAAAAATTTATGCACAAAGTGATCACAGATTTTATGTGGTATAGCTGCTGGCATAACGGTTTTTTGCCTAGGTACGCGTCTATAGTTTTGAAATGGACTGTAGAACGGTAAGCAACAGCTTCCGGCCTGTTTTTGTTTGTTTTGCTTTTGAAGTACAAGTAATTCCACGTCCACCTCGATGAGGTCAGGCAGAGAGCACATGCGGTGGTGGCCGTGAAATTACCGCATTTTCCGGAGCATAAGCCGCACTTTGAACACTCAAAACTCACCGAAATTGGGGAAGGGGTGTGACTTGTACTCCGATGATCAAATTAACGTTGCTAAAGAGAATAGACTTTGTGGCAAGAAATGGGGGGGGGGGGGGCAAGTGATTGAAGAATTTTATCTGATTACTGGTATCGTTGGGTGCGACTTATACTCCGATGATCAACGCTGCTAAATAAGATAGACTTTGTGGCAAGAAATGGGGGGGGGGGGGGGGGTGGCAAATGATTCAAGAATTTTATCTGATTACTGGTATTGTGGGGTGCGACTTATACTCCGATGATCAAATTAATGTTGCTAAATAGGATAGGCTTTGTGGCAAGAAATGGGGGGGGGGGGGGCGCTCAAACAAAGTAGGAGGGCGCTGCGTCCCCCTGCCCTTCTTTGGTTAGAACCCTGCTCTGCCTGCACACCTTGTCATTTCTGTCAGCCGAGCAATGGACACATTCTGCATGCCTGTGAAAAGCATGCATGTTGCAGGCTGATCCGTGTTTCACTTCATTCGAAAACAAAAATCCACGTCTCTGTAAAGAATGGGGTTTTCTGTGCCAATACGTCATGTCAGGTTTGCCTCAGGTTCGTCTTTGGACGACATGAGTGGCTTCGATTTTCTTGCTGCTGTGCTTACACGTTGGGTGTATTAATTCTGTGTGTGTGTGTGTGTATGTATGTGTATGTGTATGTGTATGTGTGTGTAGGCTAAAAATAGTGGCGGTCAATTCATCAGCCTTGCAAGCTGTTGCATGGTGTAATCCCAGCACAAGTTGCTATGTCTAACATAGCTGTTCGCTATCATCGCTTCCGCGATGGGCAGGTCTGAGGTCTGAGGTGTGTGTACGTGTGCGTGCATGTGTGTGTGTGTGGTGTGTGCGTGCGTGTGTGCATGTGTGTGGTGTGTGTGTGTGTGTGCATGCGTGTATATGGGTGTATGTACTTTGCAGTTTCTGTTCAAGATTGGCCGCATCACCGTGGTGACGGACGTCACCGTGGGCCCGTTTTCTGGCCCCACCAGCCAGTACCACCGGACCGGAGAGAGTGGCTCGTCCGAGTCCATCGTGTCACGCTTCACCTACCTGCAGGTGTTCAGCGCCATTCCCGGCCACGAGCAGTTCTGCGAGAGCATAGCCTTCACCTATCTAGACTTCAAGGATGGCGTGCTGGGTCTGGCCTACCTGCAGCCGCTCGGCATTTGCGCCGACAAAAACGTGAGTACCGTATTTTCCCGTTTGTAAGTCGACCCCGGTTCCGTTTTCAGGTCGTAAAAAGTCGAATTATATTCGGGAAAATACGGTCGGCACCCTGAGGGGAGATTGACTGGGATATGGTCGAGGGTGCCAGGCTTGCTGCGCACAGGGCAACTATGAGTGGGAATAGCTATTATGATTCAGATCAGTGGCCAAGCCGGCTGCCAGAGATGCTTGGGCATGAGCCGTATGCAGCCAATTACTGTAAACCGTGAAATTATTGCGATGGTCTAATTTCTGCGAAATTCGCGACCGTGTGGAAATCGCGAAATTTAAACAGTGCGAAAAGGAGATCCATGAAAGGTTTAGCAAGAATGCCACAGGTTTAGCAAGAATGCCATTCTGCAATCGCGAAATTTAAACCTCGCAAACCTGTCCGGATTCTGAAAACGCGAAATAAAAACGCCGCGAAAATTCACGCTTAACAGTAGTTCATTTTACTTGTGATTAATTATAAATACCATACCGATGCATTACCACTTTCATTTATCAGCATAGCCACCTCTGCTTTAGGAGCTGCAGCTGACGCCTTGATCTTTTATTGTGCTGTTGTGTCTGCGGATAGTCGGCCTGCTGAGTCTTGACTCTTGGGTGAGCGGTGGCCGTTTATTTCTTCTTCTAAACAAATAACCATCCGCTTGTGTTGCTGCCTCTGTTACTGCTGCTGCTGCTGCTGCTGATTTCTTCTATTATCCCCGTACCTATTACTACAGCAACCGCTAAGAGAACCGGTCTCTCTGAACGGTGTCACCTATCGCAGCTACACGCCAAACTCGGCCTTTGTCACGTTCGTCAACCACGGCACCCAGCAGAACGACGGCATCACGGAGATCGTCTTTGGCCACGAGCTCGGCCACAACTGGGGATCTGCGGTATGTGCACGCACGGTAGTTCGCGCATCATTTTGTTTCCCGAATTGGTCGAGAACTCACCAATCTAACACTTTTGAATTTTGATGAAATACTCGAAAAAATTGACTATTCGATCGAATTATTATGAATGAGTGATCGATTGGTCAAAGTAGATACTCGTTTCACCTCTAGTTCACGAACTGCAAAACTGTACGGGCGTCGTGGCAAAACGCACACATGTACTAGTAATCACCCGCCACCTCGGGGCGCAGTTTGTCGCGTATGCGGTGGGCTCGGTTTCCAAGTACATGTGTCCTTTAAAAGAGTGGAAACTTCCCGCGAGGATTTGTTCTCATTGAATTCGTTATCAAATACAGTCGCCCCTCTTTAATCCGGCACTTTATAAACCAGCACCCTCGATAAACCAGCACAATTTTCAGCAGCCAAAATGTCCTCTTCATGCACATTGTAGCAGTAAATCCGATTTGTTAATCCAGCACCCTCCCTAATCCAGCACAATTTCCCTGGCACAAATGTTGCCGAATTATAGAAGGACCACTATACCAATACCTTCAGTCCATTCAGAAAAAGATGGACTTCTAGCTTTTGGCCATAAATGGGTCAAACCTTGAGTTTTTTTAGAATTTTTTTCTGCAATCCCCTACGGAATCCTCTTCCAATTACGTTTCTGAAGTCTATTTCTCCAAAAAGCAAGCCGTAGCAAGAATAGGATTTCGGCCAGGTTTTGCCCCAAGAGCACTGAATTGGGAAAAACCATCAAAATCCAGGCCGTTGACCCTGCCTGCACCAGTGCACTGTGCGGTTCGAACCCCAGTTCAGGTACCCTTTTCGGACCCTTTCTCAAATTTCAAATTTCGCAGCACTGCACTGTGTACGATAAAATCTTCAAAAAATCGCCAAATACGGGAGCTCACCAGAGCCAGGGTCCATCTTTTTGTGAATGGACTGTACATTTAATTTTAAACCTGGATTGTTATTTCAGAAAGTGGTGGACATCACGCAACTGCATTGTAATTAACGAGAGAGCTTGGAAGCTCAGGGCCCTACGCTATGCTTTTTTGCCTTGATGACCTAGACAAAAAAAGCATAGGGATGTTATAAATTCTTTAAAAAAATCCTCTTTTTTTTTTAAGACATAACCTGGGATTCGAACCCGCACTATCGCGCGCCCTGCATGCATCCCCCGATACACTTCGTATACATACTAAGGTTGCGTTTGGTTGGGCATTTTCAGAATGTAAATGACAACCATTCTGGAATGGGAATCGGCAGGAATCACCTGACCAAACTAACACGGCAGAATCAATTAGGAATCACTTGACATAACCGTGAATTCCATGATGTCGTTGTGGAACGGCGGCTGTCTTTTCTTTTACCCGCTTCTAGTTTCCTGAGAGAGTCATGGTACTTCTGAGTGCATGATTTGAGGCACTTGAACCTGTTGCTACATTGTTTGGCTCGTGGCAGCCATTATCATTTTTGATTCCGGAATGAGAATGCTCATTCCAGCATGTGAGGTGGAATGATCATTCTCCAAAAAGAATCATTCTCAGCGATTCCCATTCTGGAATCATGTGGAATGTGACCAACCTAACGCACTTTTTTGACCAACCAAACGGGCGAGAATGATTCCGAGTGATTCCCATTTGGGAATGTGATCAACCAAACGTAACCTAATTCTTCCAAGTTGTTTCACATTGTGATCTTGCATTTGAAAGCCCTATTTGAATATGCATTGTGGCCAGCCGTCTTTGATGGCACGGTACGGCAGGGGATAGGTACGGGACAGGTACGATCGAGGGTAATACGACACCGTGTACCGTACCATCAAACACAGCTGGCCACATACAGCTGCCCGCAATATTCAAATAGGGCTTTCAAACGCAAGATAATAACGTGAAGCAACTTGGAAGAATGGGTATGAATGCGAAGTGTATGGGGGAATGCATGTAGGGCGAAAGTGCGGGTTCGAATCCCAGGATATGCCTGAAAAAAAAATAGGAGAATTGAAAAATTTATAACATCCTATGCTTTTTTGCCCTCAGATACGGATAGCGCCAGGCGTGACACAAACAAACAAACAAACACACAAACACACAAATACCAAATTAAAGCTGTGTGGACCCTGGCTAGCGCCAGCCGTTACTGAAGTAACGTCTTCTGCATAGCTACGGGAATAAAAGGGGGTTTGTCAACTGACAACCGCTCTATTCAGTTGCTATTCACTCTTTAGATGAACATTCTTTTATTCATGATGTCGAAAAATTATTGACGTTTCGGACCAGTCACCCATCGTCAGAACAATGTACAAGGAGCGAACCTGGCCTTTTATAACGAAAGCAAGCGAGAGCGTAGTGCGCTGAAAGAGTGGGTATGCAACAGCTCAGCAGATAAAGCGCAGGAAATGTGTATACGAAGGTGTATACCACGATCATTGACCCGCATCTTCAAATAGTAGGGGAGCTCAGGAAGACAACCAGGATACCTGCAGCCTGTGCAATTTCTTCGTCGTACCGAGACTCTCACAGGCTTGTTTCTGCATTGTTATGTACTTCAAACGTAGCAAAGGGGTGTGCACAGTAGACAGGAGATGTATGACCCGCATCTTCAAATAGTTGGGGAGCTCAGGAAGACAACCGGGATACCTGCAGCCTGTAAAGTGGATATTTAGAAAGCACAAACACAAGGCTCACAGCGGAACAGAACAGGTAATGAGAACGTAATACGTTTGTATCGTGGATCACCATTTCAATAGTGCCAATCTGCCCAACATCATCCTTATCAATCTAACCAGGCAGTCAACTGTATACTGATTTATTATTATTATTTATTTATTCATATTTTACTGATTTACGCACCGAGTACTCCTACCTTGTATGGAGTATGCTTCACATCACGAATAATCCTAACAGCACATAACATACAATGAAGCAAAGAAGGGAAATGATGCCTTAGATCATGAATCACCTACATCCTGCACACATTTCATCCGTCTCTTTTCTGTATGGGTAAGACGGAAAAAATGGGTCTCCGCGAAATGCTCTTATGGATCGCGTAAATCTTGATACCTCCCTTGGCCTCACTGGATGCCAGTTCAACCCATTACAGAGTGAACAGTGCCTTGCTTAAGTCTGTTTCTGCAGTGCGACGCCTGTCGAGGCTGTCAAAGACAGCAACTTTATCAAAAGGACCATCATGGCCACCCTGGAAGGTGCAGACCCAGTGGTCACCCTCCACATGCACAACCTGTATTGTGTAACCAAACATGGCCTGTACAGCCCCCTTGGGTACCTTAAGGAGTGCGGGAGGTTAAAGCCCACCTATGTCTGGGTATTCTGCTTTGAGCAGAGTGCAAGAAGAGTTGATTACACCATGGCTAAGCATACTACTGCCACACAAATCTGACCGATCTTCAATGGAAAGGCCATCCATGGGAGATTTGTGTGCATCTGCCTCTTCTTCGTGAGAAAGATCTGCTTCATCTCCCGTGAAAGCTTGTGTCTCTCCGCCTTGTGTCTCTGGTCCCTCTTCAATCAAACCACCATCCATGGAGGCTTCATGTGGCTCATGGTTCTCCTGGTTGCCACAAGTGGTGCCTTTGTGACACGCAGATACACAATATTCACTGGCATTTCTTGCTTGTGCACCTACCCTTCGACTTGCACTGGCATGATATTGCTGGTCGTGATGTGGACGACGTTCTGCGATTAAAATGCCTGCAGCCCTCTCTCAGGGAAACCTTAGGACATGCAGACCAACCTAGGGTGGTGACGCCTACCTGTCCCTGGAAAAGCTCAAGGTCATCCGCCCGGTAACAAGTGTGCAGTGCGGCTGCAGAAGTTCTGAGTCTGTACAGGCTATTGGAGACCTCCACCACTGCGCCAGGAACCCTTAAAGCATCCACACCCATCTGAGGGCCGCAGGAACCGCGTGAACCTTGGTGCTGCTGTTGGCTCGTGGGTCGGATTTCCTTGGCCACGGCACCGTATGTCATATCCAGGGGTGTCTTGCACTGAAGTTTCACTGCACAGGGTACTGTAATGTAAACACAGCGAATTGTGACGAAGAGGCGTAGGGATTTAATTCTGGTGGTATTTTTTTAGCGGCATTAGAACGGTAAGCAACAGCTTCCGGCCTGTTTTTGTTTGTTTTGCCTAATTCCACGTCCACCTCGATGAGGTCAGGTAGAGAGCACATGTGGTGGTGGACGTGGAATTACCGTATTTTCCGGAGTATAAGCCGCATTTTGAACACTCAAAACTCAACGAAAGGGAGGGGTGCGACTTACACTCCGATGATCAAATTAACGTTGCCAAATAGGATAGACTGTGTGTGGCAAGAAAGGGGGGGGGGGGGCAAGTGATTGAAATTTTTTATCTGATTACTGGTACAGTCAACTTCGCTTATAACGACACTCGGCGGGGCATCAGAAAAGTGTCGTTATTCACAAAGTGTCGTTATAACCAAAGTCTCATATAATTATGTATTACAATTGGATGGGACTTTGCTCTGGGCATGGAAATTCTGGCGTTATTCGCGAATTGTCGTTAGGCCAAAACAAAAAATTATTCTTGTTTCCGGTCGGCAACCCCTCAAAAAGGAGACTCGGTCGGCCGGAATGAAACTTTTTTTGGATACTTTTTTTGGTTCCTCAATCGTTGTGGTATTGATGGACAAGAGCACCTACACATGTACATTGTACATATATCATGGCAAGGATCAATGTCAAAGTTGACTGACTCACTGTTCTTGTACAGCATGTGGTGTATTCCTGTTTTCGTACATCCTGAGAAATCAAGCAAACAGTTCGAGTCCTTCCAGCTCCTAGCTCGTATCGACCCCGGAGGTTTTCGAGCCGACAGCTGAGAATCTCTGCTACCTTGTAGGTGTTTCGATTGTGGAATTCGGTTGAGATTTGACTGAGTTATGGCTCGTTGAGTGCACTTGCACACATGGCATTGCCACCGTTTGTATACATTTGGGACCAAAAAAATTTCAGAATTTGGGAAAAAGTGGCCCGGTCGGGCGACCGGAAACAAGGTCATTATTTGTTTTGGCCTTATATCCGCAGTCGTTATTAGCGAAGTTGACTGTATATGACACAGAGGGAGAACACTGGGAGCTAGCGATATCAAATCTTCGCAAAATTGGTGACCAGGTCCATTTGCTGAAATCGCTAAGGTTCCCCTGTCACGAGAAAATCCAGGCTAATGGTTGTTGTTATCACGGCACAGTTTTCCTTGTATTCATTGCCATTTTTACTGTTGTCTCCACAACAGTTGTTGACTTGTAGAGTGGTTTCACCGCTATCCCATGACCATCCCATCTTTGGTTCTAGTTCCAGTCAACCGTTGCATCTATGGATCACATGGTGGCGGCCATGTTTGTGCCACTGTCCACGCGCCATGCAGACATAGCCCGATGTTGCTAGCAATTCGACTTTTTACTAGCAATTCTGCTAGCAAAATATCGAAGAATTTTGACGACAGAATTTGCTGGCAAAACGGAGCAAAATATCGGTATGTTCGCCGGAAATTGGGATATTTTACACGTATACAGTTCCAGTGATTCATTTTCGCACATTTATTCTGGCCAACACATGACTCACTTTTTTCTCATTTTTGCCAACATGTGACCCACTTTCGGTCAGTTTTCCCACACGTGACACAAATTTGGCCTCGCATTGGAGCAAAATACCGAGCGCCCTGGCAATAAAAATCACGGTTCGCATCAAGATCCGTAGGAAAATGGCAAAATGAAAGCAAAAATATCGACGATGAGCCAGCAAAATCTAGCGGCGAAATATCGAAGCTTCACTGGCAAAACCGTGCTTCCGAATGTATCAAGATCGGGCTTTGCCTAGCGCCATGATCACTTTCTATACAAATTCAGTCACATGACCAATGTGTGAACACAGTGAAACCTGTCCAAGACGACCACTCAAGGGACCTTCAAAACGTGGTCTCTGTCACCAGGTGGTCTTCTTATCCAGGGTCATTTGACTGGAAATAGCATCCCCTGATCCTGGTTTCAGTGGTCTTCTGGGACAGGTGGTCGCTTTATCCGAGTGGTCGCCTTGACAGGTTTTTTTAAAACTGTATGCTTGTTTTTCTCCTGTTGGCGGCAGCATGACGATACGTACACTCCGCCGTGTACTGGTCGCCTTGACAGGTTTTTTTTTTACTGTATGCTTGTTTTTCTCCTGTTGTCGGCAGCATGACGATACGTACACACCGCCGTGTACTCCCGGTGCAACCGGCGCCGCTGGTAACTACATCATGTACAGCCGGGCCAGCGACGGCACCAAGAGCAACAACGCGCGCTTCTCGTCGTGCAGCCGCCGCAGCATCAACCAGATCATCCTACGCCTGCAGAAGATCAAGCCGGACTGCTTCTCAGGTAAACGAGACGCTGCAATGAACCTCCCGACACTGGAACCGGGGGGGGGGGGGGGTAGATACTCCGGGAAAGGCCGTAGCACCCGGGCAGGGCCGGACCTTATTCTCCCCAAACAATATGCTAGAACATAACGATGATATCACGAATTTGCCCGTGTAGAGTCGATAAGTCAGCTGCGGTGGTGCTGGACCACCAAATTATGCTGACGCAGGATTCGAAGGATTGCATGACCTCGCGGGTCTGCCACTGCATATAACCCACCCTGTTGAGTTTACAGCCGTTCTGTACATCATCTGTTCTTTGCACCGTCTGTTCCGCGCGCCGTCTGTTCTGTTCGTCATCTGTTCTGCGCATCGTGCGTTGCTCTGTGCATCACAGATGATCCTACGGCGTTCTGCGGCAACAGGGTGGTGGAGGACGGAGAGGAGTGTGACTGTGGCTCAGCGGCGTGCGACGACCCGTGCTGCAACCCCTACAACACCACGGACAGGTCGGGCAACTGCAAGATCAACCGCGCCGCTGGCAGCGAGTGCAGGTAGGCTGGAGTGTGATCAGCATACTGCGGATATGCTCTCAATATAATCATACTGGTCCGGTGTATCTCTGGAACTGCATGACCGACGGTGGTGAAACATCTTACCCCCCCCCCCCCCCCCGGCTCAGCTGTCACAGTATTGCGTAGCTAAGCTCGTACGTACAGTACAATGGGAATGTGTGGGCTTGATGCCATGTGTGTACGATGCAATGCATGATGTTGCAACGGAAGCTCAGAAAGCTTCCTCTGATGTGCAGACACTGCTAGCCAATGCCGTGACTCGGTTATGCCATCTCAACCTCTCCTTTTGTGTGTGTGTGTGCGTGTGTGTGTGTGTGTGCGTGTGTGTGTGTGTGTGTGTGTGTGTGTGTGTGTGTGTGTGTGTGTGTCTCTCTCTTTCTCTCTTCCTTTTTCTCTCTTCCTTTTTCTCTCTCTTTCTCTCTCTCTCTCTCACTCTCACACACTCTCTCTCTCTCTCTCTCTCTCTCTCTCTCTCTCTCTCTCTCTCTCTCTGCTGCTAATGCTTTGCCACGGCGTACTGTCCACTGCAGTCCGAACAAGGGCGAGTGCTGCACGGCGCAGTGCAAACTTATTGGCACTCAGCAACCGACGCAGGCCAGCGAACCTGCTGCTGAAGAGATGCAGGACACAAGCAACACCAGCAATTCGTTGGCGGTCAAGTGCGGCTCGCCGGACAGCTGTCAGGTGCAGCCAGTATGCACTGGCAAGAGTGCGCAGTGTCCCATGCCGCAGAACAAACCGGATAACTCGCTGTGCACGCCGCTCGGCGTGTTGTCCACCGGCACGCGTCGCTTCCGCCAGGCCTGCCTGAACGGCTTCTGCAGCGAGTCGGCGTGCGCCGCGGCGGGCCTCAGCAGCTGCTCGTGCGGCACCACCTCCTGCGAGCTGTGCTGCAGGGTGGGCGAGCGCTGCGTCAACACAAACCTAGAAATGGTAGGCTGAGTGACCCCAGGGGCGTAGCTCTCACATCCATCGTGTGGTGACTATGTACTCATGCTGTACTGCGGCATATCCGTGTTGTGATGACCATGTGCCACTGGCAATCTCATATTATTTTACCTATTTTCACTGTGTAGTACCTGAAGTACCTGTGACACAGTGACAGCCATTTGCAAGTGTGGTGAGCGGACTACGCTGACTATACACGAGCTACTCGCCGGGATATTCATCCCTTCTTTCAAAACCTGGAGGCAACATTGCAGCGACTTGCACAAGTACTACTTTGCTGCTGTTCGATGCTGATAGGGAGATGCTACTGTAGCGAAAGATTTAATGAGCCTTTCAAGTCTATCACAGACAAGGCACTGTTCAAGAGATGGCACCATTTTTCAATGCTAGTGCACTTACGCCACCCAGTATAAAAGAAGAGGGTAGAAACGAACAGAGTCTAAAGTTTACTCTGAACTATCACGACTTAACAGATACTGCAATAAGAGCTGCGTCTTGATCCTGAAACCACCACTGCAATGACATTATTATTATTCACACTTATCCGCCGGATGAGTTTGCGTGGCCCATGCACCATGGGTACCCACGAATACAAACCAGCATATGTTCCCTCAGCAATACAAGCAAAGATAAATGAGAGCCCAGGCAGCGAAAACAAAACGAAGAGAGATGAGGACATAGGCAACGAAAACAGTTCCAAAGCGTAGCCAGGGATTGAATGTGTGCATATGGGTACGACAGTTAATACGGCTAGTGCAGCCGTACAGAGCGCAGCAGTACGAAGATACAAAAATGCCACAGCAGCAGCCAAGAGTGTGCAAACACTAAAAAAGAAGATCAGTCCATGAAAAAAATTATTGTCGCCACAGGTACATTTCCAATGACATGGACGAGAATATTAGCAAAACACCGCCTAACTTGCACATGCACGTGATCACAAGCGGGGCCGGGGTGTGTGTGGGGGGGGGGGGGGTCTATTCAAGAGACGGATTGACTCTCAGAGACAGGAGCACTATGCAAGACAGGGCTCTAATCGAGCAAGTACGGTGTATGATCTCTTGCAGTGATGCATGTTGTTTCAAGATGGCAATGAGGTCATCTGCTGTGTTGTCCGACCTGCTTGCTCTGCACTCATACCATACAGGTGGTGGGGGCCAACGGAGTGGAGCTTGACAAGGTACACCTCGCACCTGGTTATGCCTGCAACAACTTCAACGGACAGTGCGACAGCAAGGGCGTCTGCCGCGACATTGATCTCAACACGGCCCTGAACGGCGTCAACAACCTTTTCACCAAGCAAGCACTGAATGTGGTGGGTGTTTTCGGCACTAAGCACAGCTCAAGCTTGAACGCACACATTCGATTTTTTCTCGTGGATGTATCTGAATAGGTCTGGAAATCCTATAGCCATGACACTTTCACAGTACATTGCACCCCATGTGTTTGCTGTAGGAGATTAAAATCTTCTCCAACTATACATGTTCAATTGGTGAGCACGGGAATGGGATAGAAATGAACTGGATAAGCGAGGCTTGACTGTGCGTGTACTGCAGTGGGTAGAAACAACGCTTTGCTTTAGATTTCACCCAGTACACTGTACACTGTACAGTGTACACTGTACACTATACACTGTACATGTAGCTTGTAGTTTATGTACTGTCTAGCTATTACTCAATCTGCGGACAGGTAGCTGTTTCGACCTTGTTAGGTCTCCTCAACGGAGATCAACGGAGTTACTGGTCAAACCAATCGCAATGAAGTCTAACAACAAAGCATTTTTAAACAGGCTCAACGCATCAAAGTCAGAGTGCTCTAACCGCGATAAACACAGTGAGTGAGCTTTGCACGAGGGTAGATAACGTTGACGCAAACCAGAAAGAATGCTCCACCAGTAGTTTAGCTGTTATTTAGTGCTGCACAATTTTTACTTGTGTTGTGAATTTTGTTATACGTTAGTGGCCTGGAAGCAGTGCTTTCTCGCTCTCACGCTCACTTTTTTCCTTTCCATTTCTCTCTCTGTTTCTCTGTCTGTCTGTGTCTCTGTCTGTCTGTTTCTCTCTGTTCTCTCTGTTCTCTCTCTCTCTCTCTCTCTCTCTCTCTCTCTCTCTCTCTTTCTCTCTTCTCTTCCGGTGCGCGTTCCAATCACGCCCCACGGTACACCGCACTACTATGAGTACACAGATTGCTGCTTGGTTGAAGGACAACTGGTTCTGGGTGATCATCATCATCGTCGTCGTCGCCCTCATCGCCGTCGCCGTGCACTTCACCTACAAATGGAAGAAGAAGCACGACTGGACCGAGGGCAAGCAGTTCGCCAAGACCGCCACCATGCGCCTCGGCAAGTCGCTGCGCGGCCCGGCCGGCAGCAGGAAAAGGCCTGGCACCGAGAGCAACGAGCTGTATGATAGCCGTAAGTCCTTTCAGCCTGTCTCTCCGTTGTAGCTTGGAGGTGCTTCGATGGAATGGGGGGGGGGGGGGGTATTAGTTGAATATTCAGCAGAATGCCTCGGGTGCTGTTTCTATGAGAAGAATAGCTCACATAGTACTCAGAATTGAGCTGTACGCACATGTCAGTGAAAGGTTCCATTCATGTCTGTTTTCGGTTAAGACAAAGGCTTCAGGAACAGTGATCTTGGTTTTCTTCAGGTCTTGCTTTACAATGTCGGTCCATCTATATACTGTATAGCAGGAAATTTTCGGACGGAATTTATTTTCGTACGATTTCGTACACGGCCTCTTTTGTACTAAAATTTGTTCATGTGAAATTATGTACACTATACATGGGTACTGCTTGCGAACACGTGCATTTAGCATGCAGCACTGTACGAAAATAAAACCCGGACGAAAGGTCGAAATTCGGCTTTGTCCGAAAATATTTCCGTCCGAAAATTTCCTGCTATACAGTATAAGGCCTTTTAATTAAGGGTTTAATCTGTGCAAAACTGCAGCTAGTATGAAGGTCAGAGTCACTGCAGTAGAGTGATGTGTAATGCACAACGTGTTGTCCGTCGAAAATTCATAAGTCGAAGGGAGTTGTGCCCCATTTGTTTCCGATTTTCTCCGAATGTGTCTTCGACTCACTGCACCCGGGTTCAAAAAACTGTACGTGTACGGCCCTGCCTTCGTTGTGATCAGAGAGCATGGTCGTGGACCAGGATGTGTCTCTTTATTTTTGCTATCCATTGTCGGCTTGAGATACGGTAATGTTTGGGAGCGAGTTCTACTTGTTGACATCAAGCAAGAGGCCAGTTACAGTAGGGCTCGTACATATTATTGTTAATATGGTTGTATTCTTGACATTCTCAGTATTGTCCTTGGCCTCGGCAAGCATGGCAGTGAGTTCCTGCTGCATACCGTTGGCCTCCAGCCCATGAGATAACAGTGAAACCTGTCTAAGAAGACCGCTCGAGGGACTCTCTCAAGGTGTTACCAAGTTGTATGTCTCCTTATCCAGGGTCATTTTTACTGGAAATAGTGTCCCTTGATCCTGGTGGCAGTGGTCTACTTGGACAGGTGGTCGTCTTGGACAGGTGGTCGTCTTGGACAGGTGGTCGCCTTGGACAGGTGGTCGCCTTGACAGGTTCTACTGTAAACTATGGACTGCATCATCGGATGCGATGTGCTGATGGTCAACCTGCTTGTGTTTGCTACAGGGAACTGTGCGCGCCGAATGCGTAGAATGTTTCCCACCGCCGGCTACGACATTCTGATAAGCAACGCCAAGGACGTGGAGAGCGAGGAGGCGGCCGTCACGAAAATGCTGGACCAGGGCTTCAAGATGGTGAGGTGGTAGGCAAGCCATGGCAGTCGGTCCTGTGCGTGTGCAGATAAACAAGCCGGCTCGCACCCGTTAGCCAGCCGATTCTTCTGCTCCGACTAACACCGGCCAGCGGCTGTCTCAAGCATGCAGACGGGCCTTGGCCCGCTGCTTGCGACATCGCCGAGTCTAACCCCGCTAACATCTAACCCTGCCGCAAGCGTGTGCCATCATGGAGTGAGACGTTAAAGAGAAAAAAAGAGAATCAACCAATGACATGTACACACACACTCACACAGCCGAGTAGGGTGGTGCAGTGCAGTCGCGGATGCATGCCCTCGACGTAGCTCTGGCCTTGAGCGGCGGCTCTTCGCACCCGCAATGTATGCGACAGGCGCATGCCTGTGCGCATCGCTTTAATCTTTGTTCAATTTGTCATAAAGGACGGATGTCACGTCTTCACGGAATACCCTTCTTTGTCTTTCTAAAGTTGTACATCAAAATTATGGTTTGACGTCCCTGCGTGGGTCTGCCAGCAGTTTCTATGTTTGTATCATTTTGAGTATAAAATTTGCCATTTTTATTATTTCTTTGGAAAAATTTGCCAAGCAATTTGTTTTAACCTACTTCAGGTGGTTCACATCAACGTTGCAAGATGTGCACGGATGAAGTGGTCACTTTTCGCCCTTCTTTAGCAACGTCTATTAAAGGACGCCACGGAATGAAAACTGCACTTGATTTTAGTCATTTTACCCATGGACGTGGGTAGTGCAATTTTATTTATAACTTTTAAAGGAGAGTTTTTCATGTCAGTCGCTACACCCATCTCGTAGAGTTTCTTGGTGGAAATGTGGAATTATACGTGTATTTATTATACTTTGACAATCTTGCTTGATTTTGCCCATGCTTGCCAGCTGTGTTGTATTGCTGGTTGTACCCAGGCTCCAGGCCATTCAGCGCCTGTTTACCTCGAAGCACTGTGTTTCTCAGGTCGTCGATAAAGATCACGAAATATTGTGCATGGATTAGCGTTGCGTGAGAGTCAGTCGGACTGCCTCTTTTTTTATGTCGTGAAATACAATGATTATGTACATAATTGTAGCTCAGCTGATTGCGCTCTGCCTATCACAGGCTTTGCGCATGAGCACCAGGGAGTACTCTAGCAGGTTAAGGTGCACTGCCTCTGTATAATACTATATTAATAGCAACAGTATTGCGGTTTACCAAGAGCACATAACCCTCAAGAGTGCACACTGGATAATTTGCCGTGGTTGGCAGGCCCATACGGGAACTTGACTGGAGTTGCACAGTGTTGGGAGTTATGACGTACTCTTGAGAAGTTGATAGCAAATGCTACAATTCATGTAGCTAATTACAGTAATCAGTAAAAGATCATGACTGGTGATTACTCACAGCGACGGGGGACGGGGGTATTTTACGACTCCCTGATACATGCCTTACATGGGTGCGGCCTCCCCCACTCCTACAGCCAGTACATGGCCTTTGTGTCGTCGTCACCCCTACTTTAAAGGGGAAGTGCATCGATTTTTCGAGTATGGTCCAGAAGAAAGACAATTTGATATCGGTTCGAATGGCATATCTCTCGCTTCCATACGATAAGCCAAACTTGCCAAATCGCCAATTGTATGCTCACGTTGCCATAGCGACCAGCGCAGTGATGACGTACGAAAGGCTTAGCTCCACCACAGAGAAGGTCGATCACTGCAGAATTTGGTCATTTTCAATTGGTTTATTGTATTCACGAAGTGAAAGAAGGGCTGTGTTCAATGCTGTTAGTGCAGTGAACTGTTTGTTAGTAGTCCTCTCGATTGTGTACTGGGACGTGACACCGATAGGAGAAAGCTGGAGTGCGGAGACACCAGCAGACAAGCGAAAATAGTGACGAACAAAATGCTGAAATCTTGGTTGGGACAAATCAGACGTTCAGCATTTCCCCCAACCAAGGACCATGCCGTTTGCTCTTTCCACTTCCTGAAGATGAATGTGATGCTTCCTGGCGACTCTCCTATCTCTCGTAACATCTTCTGAAGCCAGGTGAGACGACGGGTGGTGGAGATTGACGAATGAAATAATGTCGTAGGTTTGAAAGTTTGCTGAAAATGTCTCAGGAGAGATGGCGAATTCCAAGCATCTTGTCCTGGAGGAAACCATTTCCTAGGCACAGTCAGCCTAGGAAAATGCATGAGAAGGGCGATAAACAGTTCACGGCACTAACAGCATTGAACACAGCACTTCTTTCACATCGTGAATACAATAAGACAATTGAAAATGACCAATTTCTGCAGTGATCGACCTTCTCTGTGGAGGAGCTAAGCCTTTCGTACGTCATCACTGCGCTGGTCGCTATGGCAACGTGAGCATACAATTGGCGATTTGGCAAGTTTGGCTTATCGTATGGAAGCGAGAGATATGCCATTCGAACCGATATCAAATTGTCTTTCTTCTGGACCCTACTCGAAAAATCGATGCACTTCCCCTTTAATAAATACTTCATGGCTGAAATTCTCGATTTTCGTGTCTAGCACGCTCCTACTTGTTATGTATTCTGGCTCTCTCTCTCTCCCCCCCCCCCCCCCCCCCCCGGTGGCTGTACCAGTAGGTTTTGAGCCATTTCTGCTACATGTACTGGTAAGTCTATATTCCCTTGACCTCTTTTCATCCCCTCCACCCATCCAGGAACTCCCCTGATAACGGTATCCATTTACTTTGGGGGAATCAACATTTTTAAAAAAAAGAGGACCATAACTTTTAAAAGTTTACAAGTTCAATCCGTTTTCTCCAACACTAACGATTATAAGCAGGATAGTGGTGAGTCGAAATGTGCAACAATTAGCACAAAACTGACTGATGTGTTACTGACATTCAACGATCTGATGCTTTGCTCCATCACGTCTGGAATGGAGAATCCTTCAAATAAAGTACTAGTACTTGTAGGCTGAATGAATGAATGAAACTCCATGTCAAAAGTAAGTTAGTTATGACAGTTATGTACACGTACATGTGTCACGTGGTTACCTGTTTTATCATCTTAGGGAGCTGTGGAGGGCTGCTAGCTGCTGCTATGGAGTATCATATGTATGGTTGCTGACGACCTTGTCATGATCATGGAGTTCAAGTATTAATTTTTTGCTAGTTGCTAGTTTTGGTCCTTGCGCTTGGAGATAGGCACTTGAAAACTCATTATCTCATTGTCTTGCTCACTGTCAATACCCTGGCACAGAATCATCATTGTTGCGGCTATGGCCCTATCAGGCTATGGCCATACTACTAGACTGGGAAGGCATTGGCACATGTGCCTGATGTCAGTGATGTCGCCCAGCAGTTAGTCCCCAGCACAAGCATGTAACAAACTCAAAGCTACTGTAGTCTATCACTGCAACAGACGATGAACAGAGTACAGCTATTCTACATGTACATGTAGATCTACATGCTTCGAAGTGCCCTTATCCTACTGACATCTGTAGATTACCGGTACAGGCACATGTACATGTATATGCCATGCATTGTATTTTCATGAATGTTGTAACCCAAAAAAACTTCAAGTGTGACATCCATCAACTCTCCTCAATACACTTAAAGGGGAAGTTAAGGCAAAAATTAAAATTTCACCAGTTGTAGTGTTCGGGGTGCTGAGTCGAATGGTCTTGGTCCGAGAAAGCTGAGACGCTCCCTTCCTACTTGAATCCCAATCGAACTCGCGCACTTCCACCGAAACTGGGTGACTGCGCCCTACGAGATGGGGATTTGTATGCAAAATGTCACTAAAAGCGCCATTTCGTTCTTATAAAAGCACGGATGACCGCGATTGGCCCATATGTTGTAGTCTTTTGGACACTGAGTCGACTGGTTTTGGTCCGAAAAGGCTGCGATGCAGCGTTCCTCCTTTATTCCCAATCGAACATGGTTGAACAAGGGGTCACGTGCTCCTGGGTGCCAAAATCACCTGGTCACCACGCCAGCAGGTGACAACTTTCACACCAAGGTTCAACTCGAGTGACAGGACTGCACCCAAAAAAGGTCAAAACAGGCTGTAAGTTGTACCCTGCAGGCACGGTGACCAGGTGACTGGTGTACGCAGGAGCACGTGACCGCTTGTTCAACCATGTTCGATTGGGAATTAGGGGCGAACGCTGCATTGCAGCCTTTTCGGACCAAAACCAGTCGACTCAGTGTCCAAAACACTACAACATATGGGCCAATCGCGGTCGTCCGTGCTTTTATAAGAACGAAATGGCGCTTTTAGTGACATTTTGCATACAAATCCCCATCTCGTAGGGCGCAGTCACCCAGTTTCGGTGGAAGTGCGCGAGTTCGATTGGGATTCAAGTAGGAAGGGAGCGTCTCAGCTTTCTCGGACCAAGACCATTCGACTCAGCACCCCGAACACTACAACTGGTGAAATTTTAATTTTTGCCTTAACTTCCCCTTTAACTAGTTATTATGACAATGGGCGGGAGGGTGGGGGTTGAGGTGCTGGATGTCCGGGTGTCACTGTGATCAGGATGATGAGAGTAACACGGTGCTGCTGCACGTGGTCTCGACTTGGCCAGCGAAGGATCCAACTAATACTTCCAAGACAGAACAAGCTAGCAGTGAGCGAGTTCAACCCGAAGACGCCCTCTTTTATTTATGCGGATACAACCCATGCTGTCCGCCTGCACATGGGTGCAGTGACTTTTCGAATACTGGGCCTGCACATCATGAACAGCGTTCTTTCTCCATGGTCCAGTCAGCCTAGCTAACGTCAGGAACCACGAACCTCACTTTAATAGTTCAGTTAGTGTGGCGACCAGTCTGACAAACAGTGTTACATGATTGTACTTGCCTCAACGATGGATGTGGATTCATCACACCTGCCCTTCCACCGAAATAGAAATGGAAGACGATGAATGATAGCGATAGTGCAAGTGGGTGCTTCGCGGAAGCGATCGGTCGCACAATCGTGTCTCCAACACCGTACTTCATCAAGCTCATGGGTTCGTCTGTCCACTCCAACCAGCTAGAGAACTAACTAACTGTTTACTTTAGATAAGAAAGCATCGAACACAATGAAAAACTAGAAAGCGCTACTCGACAGTCTACGCACAAGACTAAGTACAAGCAGTAGATCTGCAAGCCAAAATTCACTGCATCTAGCTTAGTAAATGCTGTAGATCTACAGACTTGAGCAAAACAGAGCACCATGGCCATGATGGCACGAGTCTTTCATGAAAATGATATTATACAATCATTTTGTAGGTCTACTCTTGCAGTACAGATTTGGTGAACTCTGGAGATCCGGCCTGTGTGGTGACATGTGTATTATGTGTTATGATGTGTTGGCTATGCTTTGTGGTCTCAATGACACAATCATTATGCTCCAATCAAGCTCATTATTGTTATCATCCCACATCAGACGGAGCCAGCATTCACTGGAACACTTGAGACGTTGAGTAACAGTTGCCGGCTGAACAGCCTTGTCCAGGAGCAAGCTAAGGTCAAGAGTGGACGCCGTGGCGCTTGGGTAAACCAGTCTGCAGGACTCGCGACTTGCGGGCAATCACCGTGATGGCTTGGCTATGTCTGACTGCCTCTCTGTACAGACCACGGAAAGTACAATGGTTTGTGCTTCGTCTTGAACAGGGAGTTGCATTATAATAATGGTCTCTACACTACAGCTCCCTAGTCTTGAGTCTTGAACGACTACATGTATGTAAATTGTTGCATGCCGGAGACAGTGCGACACCTTCTTTCTCGGGATGTACAGTACACATGGTACAGGATTCCAGACAAGTGCACAGAAAACAGGAAATCTAAACATGCATGCCAAAGATACCCTGACGAGTGACGTGGGTTCCACAGGGCGCTTTACTTGGCACGCGTACGCGCACATGCACAGACGTCTAGACCGTCGACCGCGTACCGGTCGACCAGGTCGACGTCGCGTCGGATCGCGGAGCCATGCATGCAGTGCAAACGGAACGAGTTTCGTGTGACCTGGTGACAGTCGCCAGCTAGCTAGCTAGCTAGCAGCTTGCTCTGCAAGTCTCCAATCATACTCTGACTCTGTATCTGTATGTAGCCCCCATGAACAGAAGTCGTGCACAGCATCTGCGATTCTGCGTGCTGTATATTATGTAGTCTACCTGGTCTACCTGCGCTGCGGAGCTGATGACACATGCATCGCTGCCATGCCATGGCATGAGCAAAATGACAAAGCGCTGAAATGCTGGGGGACATGGCAGTTGACACCTCGTAGTCTCTAGTCCTGCCTACTCGGAACTCTCACTCGCCCCACGAGTGGGCTGAACAGAGCTTGTTGTCACTGCATTACGCCATTAGTCAATCAACCAAGACAGCGTGCTCTGTGCCTCTGGCAGCCAAATCTACTGGTACCGCGCTGGTATGTGCATTCCGCTTTGGCTCGACCCAGTCCAAGGCTTCCCAGACTTGATTTCGCCCGGTTCACCTCGAGTCGCGATGTGCGTTGCTTGATGAGCTAACCTGGCCATCATGTCGTGTATGATCTGTCACTGTCTCAGCTATTCACGATTCAGGACAGGTGGAGAGCGAAACCGAACTACAGGCTACAGCGAGAGAGCAGTCCGGCCTGCCAAAAGACATGATATTGATAATGCAGAAGACTCGAGAGCTGTTTCAGTGTTTGTATTTGAGTTTTGCAGAGCTGCGCTGAGTAGCTCTTCTCCGAGAGTGAGTGGGATTGTCTTGAGTTCGCTGATACAAGAAAAGCTTCCGTGCTGTGTTGCTGGGAAGGGAAGGCATCATGCTGAGAGGGAGTGCGTTTGTGCTGCTGGCGACGCTGCTGGCTGTCAGTAAGTAGTAGAGTTACTGAGTTGCCGGGGCGCTAGCTTTCAATCATGGCCGGCTTGCTGAGTTGCTTGCATGTCTTTGTGCGTGGTGCGGGCATACACGTGTGTACTCGTCTGGTTACGGGACAGAAAATAATTATTCAAAATACAAGTAGGCGGTCATGCTTGGAATCGAAGCTGTTCTTCATGCGGCAATAAGCAGTCGCTGCATCCTCGCAAGTCATGCTATGTTTGTTGAGGCGAGCGATTTCAGCTGCCCCAAAAAAACGAGAGAACCGTGCCCTTGATCGATGGACTCCACGCCAAATCCAAAGGAGGTCGAGAACATTGGCCGTAAACGACTAGCACGTTCCATTGAAGCGTGAAGATGTTGCCGGATAGGATAGATTCAGAATTCCTCCATCATTGGCATTATTCATAATGATGTAGAAAAAACGCAGAGAGTATGTACATTTAGGTCTACGCTGTATGCCCGCAGGCGCAGGGCTCGACCACAAGTACAGGACGTGCACCCGTCTGCGCGGTGGCGACGTGGTCGGAAACTGTTACATGCCCTGGTGTACTGGATACTTCACTGCTGCGTGGTCGGGAAGCTTAGCTAGTTACACCTGTTCTGGGACGTCTGTGGGCTGGGAGTGTGGTGAGATCATTCAGCACTTGTACACAAGTGCCATCGTCAGAATCAACGAAATCCCAGTGGTTGCCTCTTTCTGCCAGTTTTGGTGAACACTGTCTTGACCCCCACGTATGCATGCTATGATGTTGGTATATAGGTTATGCGATTATATCATCAGTTGAGATACTGTCTTTGGCCAAGTCACGGTACAGCGCTGCACTTGCACTAGCGCTAGCGACTCACGCTGAATACATAGCGCCTAAACGCAAATCCGTTGACTCACGCCGTATGCTGAGCGCACATAAGCGAATCCGGTGTGCAAGAATGGACTCGGATGGAGAGCCAAGGATAAATTTATAGAAAAGAAAAAGTACCAAGGAACTACAAGTTACGCTATGATAGGTGAGCTGAGCTGATTGTTTAGTAACTGGTGGTGTTAGTGGACGTTATAGCGTAACTTGTAGTTCCTCGGTCCTTTTTCTTTTCTACAAGCGAATCCATTGAGAAATCATCACATAGCCTCTATACAACTGTTGAGGTGATCTTCTGTCCCGCTCGTCCGTGACGGGTCTGTATTTTACAATTGTTCCGCCAACGTGACAGGGGCAAGGAAATTCCATGGACTTTTAAAAGTTTCTGGCAACTGTCGATCTATAGCGAGTCACAGTTGAGTTTCCATCTCTTGCCCCACGGCCAGCGTAAAATTTTGGCGCTGACATCCATGCACACAGCGGAATAAGAGATGGAGTGAAAGCACTTTCTTCACATTTGTTAGAAATGCCAAACATTAAAATAGCCAAATCACCTTGTAGCTCAGCTAGTTGATTGCATCTCAGCTCCCTCTCTCCCCCCCCCCTCCCACGGCTGTATGACTGGGTTGCAGTTAGCCATTGCAGCTTGGTGGATAATGCTCACAACATTTGGCAGATTCTGCTCGAAAAAAAACAGTGAAATTATTGGCAGAACCATACGTACAAACCGTATGACGGGGAACTCCTCGAATTGTGCTGCTTTTCTGTATCTGTTACGACGTATATCAAACATGAAGACACCAGAAAAGACTATAGCTTTTTACTTTTTTTCTCTCCAATACTTCTCTGGGAAGTCCAGACTTGAAAGTACCAAACTCTGACACTTTTTCTGCCAGCATTACCTGCCTGAACTACTGCCGTGGTCCACACTGAAATCCAAGGGAATGACCAGGCCCGGCCCCCTTACTGCTTTTAGCGCCTACATGCACATGTGTGATGTAGTTCACGTACACACCGTAAAAAATGGACCATAAGTGCTCGTGGCTGCAAGTCCAGCACCTTGTGGCCGGCCGCTTGACTTCTGAGCGGATTTTAATGTCTGCGACGGTAGTTGCAGCAGAATTCATGTACGTTTTGGAAATTCCAGGAGATGGCTAGTCCATGTTGCTGAGACCACCTGCTGTGCGTAGTGGCCTCCCCAGCTTCACACTATCATTTTCCTGTTAATACACCGATGGCCAATCTGTGTTAGACATGGCGCCCGATTCATCAGCCATGGTGTCCTGATTTCCCCCCAGGCCATTGCTTTTTCGGCTCCATCTTGTTCAGTCGTGCAAAGCCGTTACACACATATCGATCACATGGCCGCTGTACAGCCGGGGCAGCCATGTTGGTTTCAACTCCAGTGAATCAATCCTGCATCCGTGGTTCACATGATGCCGGCCATGCTGGTTTCACTCTCCCCATGGCATGTACAGTTTTAACAGACTTGTAGTCACATGACCAATGTGCAAAACGCACTCTTTTTGACAGTTTGACAGTAGCGGGCTAAGCTAGTGGCAACCGGCTTATCATTGTTAGGTACCTCCTCCTAGGTACCTCCTCCGGTACGTTCTACAACCTTTCCCAAGCTGGCCTGCCCTGCATGCACCCTCGTACTCACCTTTCGTCTCCTTTTGTCACCTTTTTGTTCCGTTGGCCTGGGTAGCTACTTGTGCGCCCATATTTGCCATAGCTACCCAGGCCCTTTCTCTTGCCGCCCTCACTCGATCTCTCTCTCTCTCTCTCTCTCTCTCTCTCAGGCTCTCTCTCTCTCTCTCTCTCTCTCTCTCTCTCTCTCTCTCTCTCTCTCTCTCTTTCTTCCATACTGTAGTCGTTTCCGGTTCGTCTTTGTCTCTGTCTCTTCGTCTATAATTAATGTCGTTCCACTCACCTACCAGTAACCTGTTCCCGTTGTCCGTTGTGTCTGGGGAGTATGACTCCTCTTCGTACCCAACATCATGACAGAACGTATACTGTCAAATGACAATGAAATGCCTTCTGTTGTGGACTTCTCTTCAAGGCCGGACCTGCAACTGCACAGCAGGGGCGTCACACAGGGTACGACTATTCGACCACGGTCGCACCACTTTTGTCCAGGATGGTCCGTCCAATTCATGTGAGAAAAAAATAATAAGAGAGCGGTAAAACTTGCCCTGTGGGTCGAAAATTCCGATTTTTTCCCACCGGTATCCCCCCCCCCCCCAAACCCCGGTCGTGCCACTCCCCACTGCCCTGTGACGCCTCTGGGCTGCACAGACTACAGTAGTGGCCACTCAGGACATTGTTAGTCCTAGCTGATTGGCAGGCCGCGCCACGTGTGAATGTGTTCCTGTTATCAGGCCGTTTCCCCGGTAACGCAGAGGCGTAGTAGCGCTCAGTCCGGCAGGGTCTAGCCGGAATGGCTGGACAATGGACATGCAGCAGAGCTTTAAAAAAAAAAAAGAAGGTCTCACCGTCGCTAGCTGTTCATGTGTGTGTTGTTTTGTTTGTGTCTACTACTGCAGCGCTGAACACTGCACTGGCCGCATTGTCGAATATCGACGATTCTAGTCGTAAGTCCCCCCCCCCCCCCATCCAGCTTTTTATGCCCATTGCACATTACCAAATATTGAATGCATGAATAATGCATGCGAGTACGCTGGGATTAGGAATGCACTGTTCAACACCCTACACGCCGGACCATGCCCAGGTGGCTGTGCCGTGTGGGGGTGTTGGCAGTACTAACTACATTGTACGCCATTGCGCAACGAGCTTATTGGCGGGTGTGATTGGAGCAGATGAGTTGTGCATTCGGTCTAAATGAATTCCCCTTAGGAGATCAATTAGGAGACACACACAGACAGACATGCACCCTAAGGGGACTGAAGCCTGCACGTATGCATTATTTCCCAGGATCTAGGATTCAACAAAGAATGTACATGGTTCTAAAGCAGAGTTCCAAAACATGCTGGTAGACAGGCTTGAGCGGCCGGAAGAGACAAGTGAAAAGTCGACTAGGGGTACATGTGGGGATCATATTCAATGTCATGTCTGCTAGCTCGGATCCGTGACTTGTTTTATGAACCGTGCACTGTGAGGCAGTCAGATTCAGTATTTTTTGTCTGCCTTGACGATGCTCAACTCTGGCCTCCAAGCTGAGCATCATGATGCATGTGTTTAGTGACTGGTGGTGTTAACCAAAGTTAGTGGACATTATAGCGTAACTTGTAGTTCCTGGGTCCGAGTTTTTTCTTTTCTATAAATGTTTGTAAGACAATTACTATTTGCAGGTTGCGTTGCTCAACGTTGGAGCTTTCGTTTCCCGGCAGCTGAAATCTTGACTTGCATGACTCACCGACGGCTGCCCACTGAGAACACATGAGAGGCTGAAAAAACTTTCCACACAATACCATCCATACCTCGCCATGCGATACGATGAATTCTGCAATGATAGCATATGGCCGGCGTAAAGTGCAATGGAGGTATCAGTACATGCGGAGAATGAAGTCACTGTCATCCTGTGCATATCACTTCGAAGTAGTGCAATGATGGTGTATAGAATGAGGTCACTGTGTCGAAAGCCGGCGCAGTGATGGTGTAGGGAATGAGGTCACTCTCTGCTTCTTGTAAAAAATCAATGGAGGTTTTGTATAATGATGTCACTATGCCAATTAAAGTGCAATGGAGATGTAGAGAATGACATCACTATGCCTCTAAAGTACAATGGAGATGTAGAGAACGACATCACTAGGCCTAGCTGTGGGATGGTGATGTAGAGAATGAGGTTGCTATGACGTCCTAATGACCTCACTGTTTTTTTCCCATGGCCGAGTAATGCTGTTGGCCTTCTTTTTCCGAATAACGTTATTGTCGTAGCGCCTTTCTCAGATCTACTAGTACAGTCATTTTTTCCCGATTTTGACAGCATGTTACAAGGCGAGGACGCGTAGTGCTCCTGACTACAACCATAAACCGGTTGGCAGAGTCCCGGTCTTGCGACCATTTGAACCGTATTGGGAACCTTGTAAACATGCTGTCAAAATCGAAAAACATGTCAAACTAGCAAGCAAGGCTTCTTTATAATTTATATAGTGCAGTCATGTAGTCCTTCGAACCCATGCATGGAAGATAGCATGTTGGTGCAGCAGAATCTGGGATCACAGATAGGAGAGAAAACAAAGCCGTCTCATATGGGCGTTTTCTATCTATTTCACTATTAATTTTGTATTCATGTACGATACAGTCATACGTTTTACAGGTAAAATGGAATGCACAATGCATTGGCATCTTTTCACGTGTGTGTTTTGTGTGCTGCATTGATGCCGTCTCGTATGGGCGTTTTCTATCTATTTTCAGGCTAGTGTGATACAGTCGTATGTTTTGCAGGTGAAATGGAATGCACAGTGTAGGGACAGCTTTTTTAATGTTTTGTTTTGTGCTGCATTGACGATCCTTCGCCTACATTGTATCTTTGTCGCAGGATTTTTCATGTGCTTGATGCCTCGCGAGGATGGACGATGCCGTGCGGCAATGCCACGGTTTTACTTTGACTTCAGACTGCGGAGGTGCATTCCGTTTGTGTTCAGCGGATGTGGAGCGAACGACAACAACTTTGAGTCGGAGCACGACTGCTTGCAGACCTGCTCTGTTGTCGGTATGTACTATGTGTGCTTGGCAGTATGATAGGTATGGGGAGGGGGAGAGAGAGACGTGCTGAGTATTATAGTTTGTGTGTGTGTGTGTTTGCCTATGTATTCGGAAACCGTGCTGTACCGCTCACTGTCCCATTTGTGAACGCTGCTGTAAGTCGATCCAGGGCTTTGCTATCCACAACTGCAACCGATCCACCAGGCGCCCAACTGCTGATGAAAGGGACACGTTCCAATTGCAATGTCAGAATTGCCAGAGGCGTTTCAAAAGGCGAAACGACTTATCCCGTCACCAACGCTCATGTCTCCTCTCGTCTCCGTCTCGCTCAACGAGAAACACGTGACCTACATGGCAGTGTATACCAGGACCAGGACCAGGTTTAAGTGTGTGTGTGTGTGGTGTGTGTGTGTGTGCGCGCGCGTGTGTGTATGTGTGTGTGGGTGTGCATGTGCACAGCTGTGTGTGTGGGGAGGGGGGGGGGGAGGTGTGAACCGAATCCATACTCTTTTACGACCAGGATATGGTTAACGATCAACGTGTGGTATCACTCAACATGAAAATTGATTACACATACTGCACTAACAGTAGTGCAGTATGTGCAGTAGTGACCGCTGGAGACCGCCAGTGACCAAGTACACATGCATGCCACAGTGCTCCACACACTGTGGGCTAGTGCATGTCCGGCGTATTGGTTTCATCACGAATCTCTGCACAGTACCCAGGAATGAGTTCGGGTTTGTGCGACTAAAAATGCAGAATCAAATACCCGTTCCCTTTTCTCCTGATTCTACTTTTTGTATGGTAGTGTATGCCATGTTGATCAACACTGGACAATGTTATAATTTAACTCCGATAATGAGCCAGTAATAGATGTGAAATAGAAGAAGAAAACACAAGGAAACGAGTTATGAAGCAACTGTCGACGACTGTGTATCTGTATGTGTGTGTGTGTGTGTGTGTGTGTGTGTGTGTGTGTGTGCGTGTGTGTGTGTGTGTGCGTGTGTGTGTGTGTATGTATGTGTGTGTGTGTGTGTGTGTGTGTGTGTGTGTGTGTGTGTGTGTGTGTGTGTGTGTGTATGTATCTGTATGTGTGTGCATGTGTGTGTGTGTATGTGTGTGTATGTATGTGTGTGTATGTGTGTGTATGTGTGTGCGTGTGTGTGTATGTATGTGTGTGTGTATGTATCTGTATGTGTGTGCATGTGTGTGTGTATGTATGTGTGTGTGTGTATGTGTCTGTATGTGTGTGTGTGTGTATGTGTGTGTGTGTATGTGTATCTGTATGTGTGTGTGTGTGTGTGTATGTGTGTGTGTGTGTGTGTATGTGTGTGTGTGTGTGTGTATGTGTGTGTGTGTGTATGTATGTGTGTGTGTGTGTGTGTATGTGTGTGTGTGTGTATGTGTGTGTGTGTGTGTGCCTGCGCGTGTGTATAGTCCAGCATATGAGAAGCACACGAGGGCCGGAGCACACTGCTGCACCTGAGCCGACCACCACACCCACAACAATGCCATCGCCCACAACAACGCCATCGCGCACAACAACGCCATCGCCCGAGCGCGTCGCCCCGACACTTGCCGACATCGCCCTTGGCAACGCATCCGGTTGGGGACTGTGGAACCAGTGGGGAAGATGCTATCCATCACCTGTGCCGATCGCATCGTGCGGTGCACTCTCGGGAATGCAGAAGCGCCGACGCTCCTGTCTGGTCAACGGACGCTGCAAGGGCATGCGCGTTGAGACACAACCGTGCACGCTGCGAAAGTGTGAACGTGAGTCTCAACGTGAGACGGCAGCTCCTAGCCTAGCGGCGGATATGATAGCACTGAAATTTGTGTTGCACTGAATGTATGCGTGCTGCTATTCCCAGGCATTTCTAAGGTCTGCTGATGTTGGTTCACGGCGTGTGTGTGTGTGTGTGTGTGTGTGTGTGTGTGTGTGTGTGTGTGTGTGTGTGTGTGTGTGTGTGTGTGTGTGTGTGGAGGGGGGCATGCGAGCTGGCGCGCGCGCTTGTGTGTGCATGCGTGCATGTGTGTATATGTGTGTGTGTGTGTGTGTGTGTGTGTTTGTGTGTGTATGTGTTTGTGTGTGTATGTGTTTGTGTGTGTATGTGTTTGTGTGTGTATGTGTTTGTGTGTGTATGTGTTTGTGTGTGTATGTGTTTGTGTGTGTGGGGATAGGAAGAGGAAGCTTTTCAATCCAACTACATGTATATTGTTTGAGTTGTACTTGTTGATGTACTTGTTGATGTACTTGTTGATGTACTTGGTGATGTGTGCATGTGAATGTCTTTGCTTTAGCTGTGTATGACTTTGGCAAGTGGTCTCCATGCTCGGCTAGCTGTGGCAAGGGAGTGCAGGTCCGTTCACGCACATGCTCATCGGTGCAACCAAGTTCAGTGGTGTGCGGCGGCCCGGCAGTTGAGAGTCGCCATTGCAAGATTGCCTCATGCCTCTCAGCCACTGCTGGTGGGTATGGGTGTGTGTATGGAGGGAGAGGGGGTGCATGTGGGTATTTTTGTGTGTTCTACGACTGTATTCTGTTTGTGTGTGGGTGGGTGTATGTGTGTGTCACTGTGTGTGTGTGTGTGTATTTGCGTGCGTGCATGCGAGCGTGTGTATGTGTGTGTGTGGGGGGGGGGGGGGGTGCGTATGAGTGTGCGAGTGGGCATGCTTGCATTTGTGTACGAGAGTGTGAGTGTGTATGCCGTAGTGTTTGCAGATTTGCTTGGACACACGTGCGGGAGCATGTGCACACGCATTTGTGTATGTCACGGTAGCAGAGGAGTTGGCTGTTCTGATCTGTGTTGTTTGTTTGTTTCCTTGGCCAGGTCACATCTGTAACAGAGAGCCTTGTCGCAATGGTGCTACATGCGTGATGGTGGGGCAGTTCTTCCGCTGTCAGTGTGTACTGGGAACGTACGGAGCGCTCTGTCAATGTGAGTGAATCTACTTCATGTTATACTGTCTTCGCCGCTGTCGCTGCTGCTGCTGCTGCTGGTACTGCTGCTGCTGCTGTTGTTGCTGCTGCCGGTGTGGCTGCTGCGGCTGGTGGAGGTGGTGGTGGTGGTGGTGGTGGTAGTATTGCTGCTTCTGCTGGTGGTGGTGGTGCTGCTGCTGCTTCTGCTGCTGATGTTGGTTGTGGTGGTATTGTTGCTATTGCCGCTAGTGTTGCTGCTGCTTGTGCTGTTGTTGCAGCTGCGTTTCCATTTCTACGAACTTACCAGTACTACCAGTACTACCAAGAGTCCATAACCCAAGAGTATGCAGCTGTGACCTCTTTTCTATGGGCCAACCGCGCGGCGCGCTGCCTTCATTACATCATTCAGCTGCAGTCCGCGCACTGCGGAAAATCAAACACCGCACTTTCCCTCTAGTTTGAAATGAACTTTCGTACGGAACTGGAGTTCACGCGCCAGAATTCAGAGATTGTGTAGGTACTGGAACGAATCGAGCAAAAACGGATGGGCTCGTGCGAGAAATTGAGAGTTTGAATGCATGCTTTCAGAGCGTGATGAAGGCAAGTTACGTAATGAAGGCAGCGCGCCACGCATGCACCCATAATCACAGTTGCATACTCTTGGGTTATGGACTCTTGGTACTACCAGTAGTACTAGTGTAGTATTAGTATGCTGACTATTCCAGAGCAACGTTACATTGCTGGCATTGACCTGGCCGGAAATAGCCGAAAATAAATGTCCGCTGGATATTTGTTGACTTATAGTAAGACATTCCACTACACAACGTATTTAATAAGGCAAAGGTCCTCGGTTCAAGCTAGTAGCGTCATCACACAATGGTAGATAGCTGTGTATGGGCTGTGTATGGGCTGTGTATGGGCTGTGTATGGGCCGCGGTGGCAACCACTTAACAGTCTCCCTGAAATGCAGTACCGTAAAACCTGTCAAAGTGACCACTCGGATAAGGCGACCACCTGTCCCAGAGGACCGCTACAACCAGGACCAAGGGATGCTATTTCCAGTCAAATGACCCTGACTTAGGCGATCACCCGTACACTGGGACCACATTGGTAAGATGCATGGATTGGCCAGCTTAAACCGGGTTTGCTGTGATGATTGTAATGAACGGATGAAGCTGGCCAACGATCGACGGGGTCCCCCCCCCCCCCTCCCCCAGTCTGCCCAGATCATGGAGTTTTACACACTGACCTGACTCGGAGGATTCCGGCGGGAACGACGTGTTGGCTCGTGTAGCGTAACTACCCAGTGATGTTCTGTGTGTTTAGTCTCTCACCGTATGCCCGTCACCAGGGCAACGCGCCCTACGACTGAACCAGCGACCACCACGGCCGAGCCGACGGAAATGGCGACGGAGATGGAAACGGAAATGGCGACGGAGATGGAAACGGAGATGGCGACGGAGGCGGCAACCGAAATGCCGACGGAAGTCGCAACGGAAATTCTTTCCCGAGCGCAGGGTACGTTTGGGAGTACTGTTGTTGCAGCGCTTGTTGCATGTGCTTTGAGTTTTGAATCATCATGTTCAGCAGTACTGGATGAACTGAATTACGTTGCGTTAAAGGGGAACTCCGGTCCAAAATCACCCCCATTTTTTATTGCGGAATCCATTAGAGTATGTCGTAAGTGGTAGAATGGCGAAAACCGGAAGCTTCTACGACAAGGATAACATACCTAAATTACCAATTGCAATTTTCCATATTTGGCACGAGGGGGCCCCCTCCCACCCTGTGACGTAAAACGTTCTCAGCCCGGTCCACTCAGATGAAATTTTCAAATAATTGAAGCAAGAATGAAAAGTCCTTGGCCATTGTTGAAGTGCTTGTTGTTCTGTGCCATGCCCGATTTATTGTCACGACTCGCTGCTGCGTCTCTGGATGCAACAATGTCACGAAGAAAGAGGCGCCTGCGGGCTGTCGTAGCATGGCTTTCCTCTGGCTGACGCGAACCTGACGACAGCTTGGCTATGGAGAGTATGTTGGAAGGATTTTTCTCCGACGAAAAATAATCGTGTCTGCACTGAGCATTTCACTGAGATGTGCTATGAAAGAGATTTCCAACAAGAGTTTGCACAAAGCATTGGTGGCTATAAGCAGAAGCAGCAGCGACGCTTGAAGCCAGGGTCTCTGCCATCCTGAAACTTGGCGGTGCATGTCATACTAATAGTTAGTAGCTCCTCTACCTCTGCTGCCAGCAAAAGCAGACCATCTTCGATTTACTTCCAGGAACGTGAGCACGATGAGGTAAGTGAACGGCATGATTTTGTGCCGTCCAGAACGTAGCTCTAAACGACTACAGTCCTACTCAAAGTCCTCTACTCAAAATCCTAGTCAGTGAAGTCGAGAATTGATGTAATGTACATGGAACGTTATCATGTGTGTTATTTCGGTTCTCTTTATCTGTAAGTTTCCATTGCGTTACTTTCCGGTTGCAGCTACACTGCCACAAATACAAGGTACAGTATGATTTGTAGTCTGGAAATTTTCCATGCTGTCATACTGAAGTGGGCACCAAAACGTGTCCACTTTTCGTACAATGGCATGAGAGCACGGGTACAGTCGGCATGTCTGTCCCACAATGCCAATATTGGGAGAGCGCACGCCAAAACCAAGGAGGGTGTGCTCAGGTACAGGCTGGAATACACCAAAAGAACAAAGTGGCCAAGAAGCTGCACGACAATGTCCTGCAACTTCTTGAAGGACCTGTTGAACGATGTGCATACAACCATTCTCTGCATTCGCCACGGCACCGGCACAACCTCATGCTCCCGAACACAGTACAGTCTTGTGCCATTGTATCTGTCAACTTTACCAGATTGTTCGTGCAGCTGCATTGGTGCAAAGCATGCGCCCACCCGAAAACACAAATATTGCCCGAGTCAAGAATAGTTATAAATCGTGTCTGTCAACTGTTTTCAGCATTCTGCATGCACATGTACCAATGATTATGTGAACGTCAACCAGGCCAAGAAGCATTATCATCATCATCATCATCATGTCCAACTGCTTCCTCAAAGCCCCAGTGCGCATCTGCATTGGCTTCTGGTACAGCTGCTTTATCTTCGATACCACGCAAGACGGTATCACACGCCGCTGCTTGCGTCCAAAGTATCCATGGGTGAACCATGTGTATTGTCTATACGCCACATGTCTCCAAATCCTGCACAAAACAGTTGGAGAGATGTAGATACACATACCACGAGTGTCTTCATGATTGTGTAAAAGTAAATAGTTTCAGTGTAAATAATTTCGGATTCGAGTTAATATTTCTATGGGCTACTATACTGAAGACACTTTGGCCTTTTTTCAAATTTACATCACTTTTACACACAGTTGAAACACTTACAGTGCTAGGAATAGTATGAATGAAAGACATCGTTGTACCAGTATAATTATATTGGCATGGGTGCAATAGAACTTCATGATTGTGTGATGGAAGTTGGTGAATTTGAATACTGTACACAAAATCATTGCACAACACTTCCCATCTACTTTGTACCGGTACATGAAACATGGAAAGAAAGGAAATAATGAAACCGATTCAGTGAATCCTCACCTGTTTGACCACGGTCCACACCTTGCCCGAAATTCTTCGAAGGAAAGCAATGCCACCTCAAGCACTGATTTTTGCAGGCAAACAACAGCAAACTCTGAGTGCTGCGTGACGCACTGCAGCCCTTCCTGCTCGCCGCGTTTACTGAAAGCTGCAGGAACCTCCCAGCAACAAGTCGACTCGACCTCGCTCCACATCATGCTGCATTGTCCGCAACGGCATCAAGCAGTGCTTCTCACGCGAGCACTTGCAACCAAAGCGTTCTCTTCACGTTCATCTGTTTTGTAGTCTCAGAAATATTACTTGTAGACAGTTTCGCAGACGCTGATGCGCGCTTCGGCTCGAACCTAAAAGGCCTCGGTGTTGTTGAATCCGAAGTGGCGTCCACCTCCACACCTCCCGTGGTCTCCTCTTCCTCCAACATGATGATCGAATGAATACTAGTACAAGGGTTATTGATTGAAGAAAAAACAGTGAATACCTTTTTCAAAATTTCTGCAGGGCTACCATTTGAATAAAAAAATTTGGAGGTCACTGAGAACGTTTTACGTCACAGGGTGGGCGGGGGCCCCTCGTGCCAAATATGGAAAATTGCAATTGGTAATTTAGGTATGTTATCCTTGTCGTAGAAGCTTCCGGTTTTCGCCATTCTACCACTTACGACATACTCTAATGGATTCCGCAATAAAAAATGGGGGTGATTTTGGACCGGAGTTCCCCTTTAAGTGCAGTTGTTGAGAGCTACAGAAGCTACCCATACAATTGCAAAAGGTGCATTTTGCTCTTGTTCAGAAGGTTGCTGCTTACCTTATAGTATATATAAAAAGTAAGCTGAGACTGGATCTGGCCAAAAATCTGAGAGATGCCTCGTGCCATATTGGACGTTTCTGCCTCGGCTGTTCGGCAAACAATTCCAGCCGCCTGTTCTGTTGTTTGTTGATGCGCTCGTGTATGCGTGTGTGTGTGTGTGTGTGTGTGTGTGTGTGTGTGTGTATGCATGTGTGTGTGCGTGTATGTGTGTGTGTGTGTTTGTGTGTGTTTGTATGTGCGTAGAGATCAAAGCCGACCCTTGCCCAGCCCGTAAGAAGCCACAGGAGTTGGTGGACGAGTTCCTGGTATGTCTAAGCACGGAAGTTGGCACAAGTAAGTCCACAGGGCGAGAAGCTCACGTATTTGCTAAGCCGTTCCTTTGTCAATGAGATTGCCGGTGACGAGGTTCAATGCACCATTTGGGGCTCCGCATTACGGTTCACAAGATCGGATTTCACAACCACAATTATTGGTGGAAATCAGTTGGGCGCTTGGCCGTGTGCAATACCATCACCAGTGCTACGGGCGCGAGCGTTGTGCGATCGACGTTTTCATGCTCCGCCACGCCATTTGGGAATGCTCCAGTTAACAGTCGATGTATTTAAGGGCGGACTCTGGCAAGACATTAAAAAAAATAAAAGCAATAAAAGAACTAACTCTGCCGTCATCATCATGCGTCAACGAAGTCAAATGTTTTCCAGAATCGATTTTCATGTCACTATCATCAGTGGAATATCGTGACTGAATTAGTTACTCGTCTAGTACTGTCGCGGATATGGAAATCCAGTCGATAGACCGGGGCCGGCACCCTCAACGCGTACAGAACGTAAGTCGTTGCATGCAGTGCACAATCATGTTGATCCTGGACCAGCAGCTAGCAGCGCATACATGCTACGGCTGCATGGCCAGCGCCCTGTGGCCGCTAGACGTGCGGCCGGATTTCCATGTCCACGACAATAGTTTGAAGTTGAAGACACCACTGCAGCCGTACTTATGGTTGATACATATGGTGGTAAAGACACACCTGGAAATATGGCGGTAAACACATGGCGGTAAACACACGCCTGCCCACACACGCTCTCTAAGCTGCAACGTTCTGGCACAGAGCTCTCCTTCTCACCACCACCACCATCAGTTCGCGCCTGGCGCCTCGTCGATGCATGGTTGGCGGTCTCCGACATAGCAGGCTGGTACATCAAGCAGCGCATGGCACATAGAAGATGACACAGGAGAGTAAGAAGGAGAGCTCTGTGCCAGAACTTTGCAGCTTAGAGAGCGTGTGTGGGCAGGCGTGTGTTTACCGCCATATTGCCAGGTGGCTTTACCACCATATTTATCAACCATAAGTACGGCTGCAGTGGTGTCTTCAACTTCATTCTCCCGAGTCAAGCTCCGTATGAAGACATCCAAGAAGAAGATTGCCTGATGAGTCCAGCGGGGACGAAACGTACGTCGCAATCGAGCTATGTCGTTGCGGTGTCATCTTCTATGTGCCATGCGCTACTTGATGTACCAGCCTGCTATGTCGGATACCGCCAACCATGCATTGACGAGGCGCCAGGCGCGAACTGATGGTCGTGGTGGTGAGAAGGAGAGCTCTGTGCCAGAAATTTGCAGCTTAGAGAGCGTGTGTGGGCAGGCGTGTGGTTACCACCATATTGCCAGGTGTGTCTTTACCACCATATTTATCAGTCTAGTAGTTCTTTTTTATTGCTTTATTAAAATTGTTATCTCTCCGGCGTTTATTCATATAAAAAAATATTTAAAAAACTAAAAAGCTAGGGATTGAATTTGCTATTTTTGCAATCATCACACATTCGCAGATTTATATCGCCGCAAACTGCTCCGTGCTTTGATTTTGTACAGAGCCTGATCTGACTGAGTTGATAAAATCGTAAATTTTTCAGAGCTATTCTTGAAAACACGAAATTTGTGCACCGGGAAAGTTTACCCCTTTACAGTATTGTTTTTTTTTTTTTTTTTTTTTTTTATCACGCAAAGGAGCCTCTTTTACGGGCCAATAAAAAATAAAAAATCCAATCTGAAGAGCAATGTCAATAAAGCCGCTCATAATGCTAAAAATCAAATCAATTCAGGAAAATTCAATTCAATTCAAAGTCGTGACACATCCGGTAAAAACAGCAAGAAATAATATCTCGGTGCAAAAGAAGAAAAAGGAAATAAAAAGCCGCTTCATTTACAGTATTGTTCCTGCGGACTTTCCTCCTTCCATCGCTGCTCAACAAATTGATAAGAATCCTTTTACGTTGTATTCTGTCTTGCTTCCGCAGATAGGTCAAATATCATTCGGCATTGGCCAGTCTTTCAACGTGAGTAGAATGTTGCTGCTGTTGTTGTTGTTGTTGTTGTTGTTGTTGTTGTTGTTGTTGTTGTTGTTGTTGTTGTTGTTGTTGTTGCTGCTGCTGCTGCTGCTGCTGTTGCTGTTGCCACCCATCCCTCTTCTCTTGCCTTTAGCATGCTCTTCTCTGTGCTCACATTAAACAAATTCAAATAATCCCGTACGTTTCCTTGTCGCGCCATAGGTCGATTTCGTGCACGCGTTAGTTTTCTAATATCAACAATACCGACGACATACTTATCATCGAATTGGAATGAAGCATAATCGATAGTTCCCTATGGTTCGGACACTAGTTGACGAGTCCGAAGTAGACATACCGAGACATCCGTCATTTTTTCTAATACTTGTTAGGAATGTGTAAAATACAATTACAAACAGTGCATTCGGACAAGTGACAACGATTAGAAATAATGTGCAATAGGGTAAAAGAAGAAAGAGAATTTGGACCCGGATGAATCTGGAGTCTGATTCTAAATCAATGCAAATGCATACTTTTAAGGTAGGCGAAACGTGTCTTTGATCTATTCTGCTGTGTTCTCTCTCCCTCCCCCTGTGTGTTTGTGTGTGTGTGTGTACGCGCGCGTGCGTGCGTGTGTGTGTGTGTCTGTCTGTGTGTCTGTCTGTCTGCCTCCCTTTGTGTTCTCTGACTCTCTCTCTCTCTCTCTCTCTCTTTCTTTCTCTCTGCCCATCTGATCTCTTTCATCAACCACCTGCAAATGTCAGTATTCTCTCCCCACCTTAACAATACACAGTGTAAGAAGCGGGCCTTGAAGAAAGCATCTTCCAGTAAGTACACATTGTGAACCAGTAAACACACACATGCGTACACACATGCATGCACACATGTACACACAAATACACACTCACATATACGCACAAACATACACACACACACACACACACACACACACACACACACACACACACACACACACACGCATACACACACACACACACACACATACACGTACACACATACACATGGACACACATACATGCACACACTCAGGGCCTGCTCTAGACATTCAACACAGCCCGGTCAGAGTGTACCTGGCGCATGCAGGCCAACCGGTTCAGATCATCCGGCAGAAAAACAACCAAACGCCTGCTCAAAACTTGCAACTGTGTCAAAAGCTATAGCCAAAGTTACGCTTTTGACTGCCTGCCCCATCGACTTTCAATGTCCTGACTTCCTGCTCGCCGCGCTGGCCAGATCGCGCTCGAACCAGTTGACCCCAGTTGACCCAAGCCGAGTTTCTGTCGCTTGTAGACTGTAGTCTGTAGTGTGTACGGTTGCGCTAGATTTGCAACAGATGGGGTCCGCGAGTCGTAAAATACCGGTATTTTAGGAATCCATTGTCAGTTTGAGACATTTTTCAGCCGGGTCAGACTGGACTCGGTGTTATCTGTTCAGCCAGGTCGTGCAGTTCCCCAACCGGGCGCGTGACCCGGCTGACGCGGCTCTCCAGCAGGCCCTGACACTCTCTTTGCGACTACGCAGTTGGCAGAACCGGGATTTAGTTGCGCGTCAGAATTTCATGCGAACGCGATCTTCACACAACAATTTAGAATTTAAACTCGTATGGTGAGCCAATCGTATTCATGTACTGTAAGTCGACTAATGTTCGGCCTCCCAGGGCTATAACACATTTCAAAGTTTCGGCCTGTACTCCTGCTGCTTGTATACACTGTCACACTGAACCTTGCAAAACAAAATTTCGGCTGCAACAAATTTTCAGCCAAATATGATCCGGCCGAAAATCGCCGGAAAACAAATATGCGCCGAGTATGTGTTTACTTACAGTATAAGAGAAAGGACCAAACACACACGCAACATTTTGGTCCTTTTGGTCCTTTCTCTCAGGCAACAAAACTTGTGCAAAGACACCACAAACAGGGACGAAAAGCTCTTATGATAATGTAATCATGCACCAGTAGACTGCGTACAGTGATAGGGCGGCATTAGACATCCTTAGCAAAAGTACGATAACGCTAACGCTTACGGTACTCAGTCCCAGCCGTGACCAAAGACGTTATGGGATAACGGAAAAAACGTTACAGAGCTCAAAATAACGGGCCGACGTTCGTTTTGGTAATTCTGCAAAAACTGCAAAAACTCGCATTGTTTTGTAACTGGCGGGAGATAAAAAGCACGTGCAGATCGAGATGAGAGTCGAGATTGCTCCCTCTTGTGACATTTAGCTTTTTTGGCGAGTTTTGCCTTTCAGTTGACAATGTCTGCGTCCTCTGCTTCGTGCCGTTCTTTCTCTATCCCATCTCATGATCTGGGAAACAAAGGACCGGTTCCACGGCACTCCTGAGGAAGAAATTCATCGGCCTATCCCAGACGTGCTGGAGCTGGAGAACCCTTACAGTCTTCGGTGCTGCATTTAGGAAAGGTTTTCCAAGTACCTGGGAACAACGAAAACTCATTTTCGCTGTGCTTTTGCTATTCCAGAGTAAAAGACCTCGCCAAGGTATTCTTTCGGAACGACAGCAAACTAATCCCTGGTTCAAAATTTTGAATTTCCCGCACCTGTTTCCACGAAAATTCATATTGCCATGGTTGTCACGACTACTTCGTCTCAACTATAACGTACATTGTGCTAAGGGAAAAGTCTGCTTGAACGATCCGAAGTACGGAAAGGTTTGCGTTTACGAGCGTTTTTTAGCTAAGGATATCTGTTGACTGCACGAAGGACGCCAATGGCGGACACGTTTGCCGTACATGCAGTTACAGCATATAACAATCAGATAGGTAGCATGTTACAAGATGGAGGAGCCACTTTGAGGAACAGTTAGTTCTCTTGACTATAATGAACAGCCAGAAACCTGCTGCCAACAGGCTATCAGGTCGACTGGTACCGTATTCTCTGCAGTGGAAGCCGCACTTTGATTACTCAAATTTCACCCCCAAAAAAAGGGGGTGCGGCTTATACTCCGATGATCAAATTCATGAAACGATACTTCTAATGGATTTGTGGGAAATGCAGTGCTCTCTTGAGTGTAGGCAGGTTGCCTGCAAACTATTCGAGTGCAATGAAGCTGTGTGAGGCGTCCTTCAAATTTTTGAAACGATCAAATTAATGGTGATAAAATCAATAGGACAGATGTCTGTATTTCGTGGCAAAAAAATAGGGGGGGGGGGGGGCTTATACTCCGGAAAATACAGTACTCGTATGTCATGCCGAGGAACCAGGCACCTCTGCCGGATATATAGTAAGTGTTTACTATAGTCAGACCTTGCTTATCCGGATCCCTCGCCATGCGGAAGAAATTCGTTGGTTACCGATTTGCGGCATATGCCATGCATACATGCAGTATGTGTGTTCAATTATCCGGTTCCCTTGCCTATCCGGATATTTTTTGTGGAAAACGGATGTGTGCGGTTAAGCGAGGTCTGACTGTACTGTGCAAGCCTGATAGCCGGCACGCACGGTTGAAATATCCGCCATGCCCAGTCGAGATATCTGCCATGCCCAGTCGAGATATCTGCCATGCATAGCCGAGATATCTGCCATGCATAGTCGCGATATCCAGCACGCACTGTCGAAATACAGTCAAACCTTGTTAGGACGAACACTGATAAGGCAAACTTTCCATTAGTACAAACTAGGGCCAATCCTTTTAGTTGGCCAGGCATCAATTCAAGTCAAAATTATTCGTTTACGACGAACTTCTGTACAGCGAACTTTCGCGAAGACGAACTATTATCAAGTGTGATTTGAACAAAATCATCGTGGTCATGTACATGTAGTACGAACTTTCGGTCCACGCCCGTGCGCTGGCTGCCTTTTTTCTTCTTCTTTTTTTTCAATAGTCGAGGCCAATTGTACGTACAGTGAAAATTGTTTTTAAGCGTGTTTTGAAGAAAATCAGCGCGTTGTACGAACTTTCGGCACAGTTGTGATTCATTGTACTTACCTGGTTCTGAATAAAATGCTTCCCATGTACCACAGCATGCACCTTCACATAAATACAATCCATATGCATATCGATGTTTTTTGTCAGATCTGGATAAGAAGAACTCCCGATAAGACAAACAAATGTGTTTAGTCCCTTGAAGTTTGCCCTAACGAGGTTTGACTGTATGCCTCGTGCACAGTTGAGATATCCTCCTCGTGCACATCCGACATGCAGCAATGTAGACGGAAGCCACTTTGAAAGGACTCCGCCGGCCTGCGCCCTGGACCATAGGGCCATGTGATGCAAGAGGGTCCGAATCAGGGAGAGTGACCTAGCGGTTCATACGGCCATGCAGGTCGAAACCCTACCTGATAAGTGATAACGGACTCCCGCATCCAGTAGTATGCTGCACTTTGCTCAGCATACGGGCAAGGAATTGTAGGCTACATTTCAGAATGCTCTGTCTCCAATCTCCACATCAATGCGTTCTGCCTACTGAGTTCCCGAACTCTTGACACCTTTTTTTTTAGTGAAATTCATGATTTAGTGATTTGTTTTGTTTTATTGTTGGTGTTCACGCATGCGTGAACGGCAGTTTCTACTGATGAAAGCCCTTGTTCCCTCTATGTTCTTCGGCCTTCTGGATGGCGAGCCTCGGAACAAATCAACAGACTCATCCAGGGAGGGTCAGGGTTGGGACGTTGATATGTTCGACATCACATTCTTCGTATAATCCAGAATAGCTGGCGACCACTGCATGGTCTGAGCCATTCTGTAACCCTCAGTTTTGATTGTTCTCTCTGTGCATGTGTTCACTGTGACTTACTGCTGTAGAATGGGAGTGCCTGTGGTTCAACGCCACGAGACGACAGGTTGAGCTACTTGGTAAGTTTCTTGCGGCCATGTGAAGCACATGAGGTCATTGCCCAGGCAGGTGCAGGGCCTTGGTCTTGTGGCCATGTGAAGCACATGAGGTCATTGCCCAGGCAGGTGCAGGGCCTAGGTCTTGCGACCATGTGAAGCACATGAGGTCATTGCCCAGGCAGGTGCAGGGCCTTGGTCTTGCGGCCATGTGAAGCACATGAGGTCATTGCCCAGGCAGGTGCAGGGCCTTGGTCTTGCGGCCATGTGAAGCACATAGGGTGATTGCCCTCGTTCAATGAGCCTGTCTGTACCGCTCTAGGGGAGGTGGAGTGAAAGCTACATATACATTCAACTTTGCTAATGAGTCATGACGACTGCGGAGATAACGACAATTCGCGAATAGCGGCAGAATTTCCATGCCTAGAGCAGAGTCCCATATCACTGCAACACATATAATGAGACTTCGGGTATAACGACACTGACACTTTTCTGATGCCCCGCCGAGTGTCGTTATACGCAAAGTTGACTGTACCACCACGCTGTAGACAGTGTGGGCAAGTACATGCCGTCCAGAATACTGTAATTTCAGAAATGATCAGTGCTCAATATTTTCGGTATGAGGGCAAAAGGCCAGGTTAGGTGAACAGAAAATTTAGGTGCAGAGAAGCAGTTCCCTATTGGATTATGTGTGTTGGTGTTTGTTCGGTGTATTGAACTGTCCCCGGGGAAAATTGCAATTCCGCGGCCGCGTTTTTTTCCGCGTTTTTTGCGATTTTTTAAAAGACCGCGTTTTCCGCGATTTTCCCGCGTTTTTTGAACTTTTTTGTTGCACTACACGTACACACAGTGCACTGTTTGGTCAGCAACGTCTCATCGTGGCGGCTTTTTACTCAAATATGACGAGTGCGTACACCAGAGACTTGTAACTGATTGATTTCACTACATACTCACTGAAAATTGCCGCACATCAATATTATTCACCGCATATTTACCGCAAATTCACCGCAAATTATGCCATATTATGCCGCGTTTTTCCCCGCGTTTTTTGCGATTTTT